TTCTGATCGATTCCACAATGTTTCTTTCACAATGCATGATCATAACTGGTCTTTATCTTTAATGGTATACTATTAGAGGAAATTAAGTGATTTTTAGAAAAATTTAATGTACATGTACACTGCACAGTTCAGGTCCTTACTACTCACCTGCCATATCTTGAACTTATTGTTGCGAAACAGATTTTTCTAAAATTTATTTGGTTCTAAACATTATATTCTGAATATTCTTCCCCTTTTAAAACAAAGGTGCATGAAATATTGGACTTTTAATTCCTCTTTATTACAAAACAGATTCTAAGTTTCTAAACATTATTCTTCCTTTTGAAAACAATAACTCCATGAAATTTTAGAGCTTTCATATTAAGTTCATCCCTCTTAATATTACAAAACAGATTATAAGTTTCTACACTGTATACATTATTTTCTTACAATTCTTCCTTTTGAAGACAGTAACTACATGAAATATTGTAGTTTTCATTTCTCTTTATTACAAAACAGAAATTAAGTTTCATAACATATTTTCTGACAATTCTTCCTTTTGAAAACAAAAACTGCAAGAAATATTGGACTTTTCATTCTTCTTTATTACAAAATAGATTTTAAGTTTCATAACATATTTTCTGACCAATATTCCTTTTGAAAACAATAACTGCATAACATATTAGAGTTTTCATGATAAGTTCATGTTCAAACAGATTATAAGTTTCTAAACATTATGCTTCCTTTCGAAAACAAAACCTGCATGAAATATTGGGTTTTCATTCCTCCTTATTACAAAACAGATTTTAAGATTAATAACATATTTTCTTACAAATATTCCTTTTGAAAACATAACTGCATGGAAGTCATGAGATGTGGGATCCCCCCCCCTTATGCAGTTTTGGTTATATGTTAACCTCATTTTCACAAAGAAAGGATGAGTCAACTTTTGACACCATATTGTGAAGGCTCTCTACTTCCTCTTTGTTGAAAAAAATTACCTGAAGTAGGGCTAATCTTCACTTCTGTTTCTTGAAATAAATTTTAAATGAAAACAGATTTCAGTCATTCTTATTTTCATATCAAGCATTAAAATCCTTTGTGTAAATTACACTGGTGTAGGTGTACACTTACCTGTGACCAAAGTATCCCTGTTCAAACAGTACATTCCTGTCATAAATGTCATACAATGAGTCAATTACCACTCTCTGGGTTTTATTCAGATTAAACAATTTGCAAATAAATATTTGAACCTTGTAGGTGGTACTGAAGGCAATGCTTCATTTGTTTTACAGTTGTTGTGTCCTGTTTCGCTAAATCGCACTTTAGAATATGTGAAATGAGGCGATCAAAATGGGCCAAAAAAGGGGATGCACCTGGGTTTATCAAAAGGTCTTTCAAATTGCACAATTAGATGACTGAATGGTATATTAGCTACAAGGAAATAAAGCAGTAATGGCTTTCTATTAGTCCTGAGCTTCCTAATAACTACCGGTATGGGTGAACTTATATATTGTACATTTTAAAGGTGGATGTTACTCATAAAACATGAGCAACTGAAGTTGAGTACTGGCCATGGTTACATTGTGAACATATAATCTATGATGAAGCAATTTAAAAAGGTATATTTTATAAATCAAAAGAAATTGATTCAGTTTTGCTGAAGTTCTCATGCACTGCACACAGGAATAGGTATATATGGGACTACAAACCCCACATGGTTTGATTGTTTGGTCCAAACTTTTCACGTTACACTGTACCTTTTAAGAGCAACCCTTATCGAGAGAAACAAGTATTTCTAATAGATATTCTTCAAAAATTACATACATGTACATGTACTAAGAATGAGAAAGTTCTCAAATTCTATTTCATCTTTAACCGACAGAACCCATACTTTCTCTCTTTTATTAATAATAATAATAATAATAATAATAATACTGATATTGGGTAGTTATATAGCACACATATCCACCCTGCAAGGTGCTCAAAGAGCTCCAATATTACCCCTGCTCTGCTAGGCTACCAATTTCGGTGCTCACAGCATTCAAGGAATTCCTTCCTACCTGCCCCCATTTACTCCACCTGGGTGGAGTGTGACAAATGTAGATCAATGTCTTGCCAAAGGACATTAGTGCCGCGGCCAGATTCGAACCGCTAACCTTGTGATAGACAGTCCGACGACATATCCACTCGTCCATGCACGATACCTCTTGCATACGTGTGCATGTACATATATATATATATATATATATATATATATATATATATACGGTGTTTGTTCTTTGATCTATAAGAAATTGTTGAAATCATCATGAATGGAAACAAATCAAACTATGTTTATTTTGTCTGGTCTCTCAGAAGCTGAACCTTATATACTGTCCATGTTTAAAGAATGGTCTAAACCTGCGGTAATCATGGAAATTACGTATAGTAAGTAGTTATTACTAGCATGCCGCATGTTGCAACTTTAATCCTTTTGGTCGGATGAAATAATATCTTCTTTATAAATTTACAAATGTAGGAGCACATGACTGAAGCACGCTGTTGTATTGATGTTAATTTAGTTTGATAAACTAGATCAAAAGTCTGTTTGTGTTTGTATATTATCTATTTTGTTTTGTTTTTATTTCTCTCTTCACCATTATGTATACAGTAAGAACATGTATTTTACAAAACGTACGATGTTCCTCTTTTGCATGAGTACTTCCACACTTTTAATTTTTTAACAGTTTGTATAGGTCTGATGATGTATTTTAGTTGATTTATGGAATGGACTTCATGGCAGATTAGCTTTGAGCTAAACAAGTTATCCAATAGTCTACTACTTCTACTACTACTACTACTACTTTTAAGAATCATTAAATATTTCCAGATTTATTTTGCCGTTCATGTGTAAGGGAGCATGCCATGAGCATGTGAATGAAATGTTAGAAATTCAATCAGAATTTTTTTGTTAAGAACTGGAGTTTTTCGTTAGCAAGAAACTTTCATGAATGGCACTTAGTCTTCTTTTATTTTGTGCATGCATTTTTATGCCTCCGTTACGAAGTAGCCGGAGGCATTATGTTTTCGGGTTGTCCGTCCGTCCGTACGTCCGTACGTACGTACGTACGTACGTACGTCTGTACGTACGTACGTCCCGTTCTCGTGATCGCGTTATCTGAAGAACTGGTTGATGGATTCCTGCCAAACTTTGGTCATGTATGTATCTTGTAGAGCCGATGAACTGATTAGATTTTGGGGTTACGAGGTCAAAGGTCAAAGGTCACAGGGCTCATTATGTATGCAAAACGAGCTCGTGATCGCGTTATCTGAAGAACTGGTTGATGGATTCCTGCCAAACTTTGGTCATGTATGTATCTTGTAGAGCCGATGAACTGATTAGATTTTGGGGTCACGAGGTCAAAGGTCAAAGGTCACAGGGCTCATTATGTATGCAAAACGAGCTCGTGATCGCATTATCTGAAGAACCGATTGATGGATTGCTGCCAAACTTAGGTCATGTATGTTACTTGCAAAGCCAAAAAACTGATTAGATTTTGAGGTCACGAGGTCAAAGGTCAAAGGCCACAGGGCTCATTATGTATGCAAAACGAGCTTGTGATCGCGTTATCTGAAGAACCGATTGATGGATTGCTGCCAAACTTAGGTCATGTATGTTACTTGCAGAGCCGATGAACTGATTAGATGTAGGGGTCACAAGGTCAAAGTTCAAAGATCACAGGGCACATTATGTATGCAAAAACAGCTCGTGATCGCGTTATCTCAAGAACCGATTGATGGATTCCTGCCAACTTAGGTCATGTATGTTTCTTGCAGAGCCAATGAACTGAGTAGATTCTTGGTTCATAAGGTCAAAGGTCATGGGCTCATTATGTATGCAAAAATAGCTTGTAATCACAATATTCTGAAAACCTGTTAATGGATTACAATTGAACTTGAATTTGAAAAATTTCTTCTGTTTTGGTTTGTAAAATTGCTCTATGACGGAGGCATCATTTTCGACTGCGCGCAGTCGAAGTTCCATCTAGTTTACAATCTGTTACCACTCTGAAAGCAATCAGTTTGAAATATTTTGGTGTGATATACACACTGTAATTATCCATGCTACTGCATTTGATTTGTCTGATTTCTATATCATTTTTTAAAATCATGAAATGTTTAGTGGTTGGTCTAAAAGTGAGGCAGGTCAACAACATGCTGTACGAGTAGATCCTGGCAGGAATTAATTCCTTAAAATACTAGAGTACCATAATGGCAGCCTTGCTAAAGCCAGGAGTGTCAAGTCTGACAGACACAAGCGCTATACAAGAACCCACTATTATTATTATTATCATCATTGACATGGGTGTCGATCCGTAACTGATACCTATTCATCAGGGGGGATGATCTATTCATTCATCCCCCCTGATGAATAGGTATTACGTAAGTATCGACACCCATGATCATTGAATTCAATTAGCTCTACATGATTTGTATTAATCATGCATTTAATTGTTCAAACAGGTGTTTCAGCAGTTGTTTTAAATAATAGAGTCTTGACAGTCAGCATACTACAGGATTCCGCTCAACTAAAGGGCAATCTAACCCTTGTAATACGTTCATTTGTACGAAAGCAGAACAATAAGATAAAGAAAATGGTAAAAAGTTTGAAAAAAATCATTAGATTAGATTAAATCATTTCTATGTACATGTACCTGCACATGTATGTTGGGTCATTAGATCACAGAGCAATTTATATAATGTTCAGTTGTAATTCAGAAGAAGAAAAAAGTCAGACTTATTTGCTGAAGATTTAGAATACACTGTAATTTCATTGTACATGTACTTGTACTACTGAGCCCATGCACTATCTCTTTTAGACCAAGAAGTAAACGAATCAAAACCCAAGCGGTCATTCACAAAAGTGTTTAATTCCAAAGTCCAAGAACTTGAGTTGACTTTAAAGACATGTCTGAGTGCCCAACAACCAACTTTAACTCTTCACTAACCTGTTTTATGTTGTTTTGTTTGATTTACAGATTTGCACTCTGCAGGACTCTGTGGCGATAGATGCACCAGGTAAATCTAAAGGATGTGTTACTTTTAACTTAGAATAGTCAAGCCCAAAATTATTTGTCAGAATTATTATCTTTAAAATCACATCCATATGCACATTAATATAAAGTACACAGGACAAGCTGCTTCCACACCCACCTCACATAAACAAAAGTAACTATTGGAGATGTCGCTTTTACTTGCGCCACTCCAAAGCTTTGGAATAACCTACTACTAAGTGTCCCTTTATGCCACTACCTACTACTAGACATAAGAAAAGCCTCATATGTTGCTCTCTTCAAAGTTTGGTTAAAGGTAAAGACCAGTATTGGAAACGCCCCAAATTCAAAAAATGAAATGGAAGCTCTCATTACCAATCATGTGAAAGAATATGGTTTGACTAATACATGATGATCAAAAATTTGCCGGGAAACCGCCTACTAATTCATATATTTGGTAAATTTGTTTCTCTCATGGTCAGTGAGAGATATAGGGTAGTCCCATATACATCTTTCTGTGTATAGTGCTTGTAACTTTACGAAGAATGGGCCAAATTTCTTATCATTTTGATGATTCCAGAACCTTGCAGATGCTAGATGCTAGATGATCAACCTTTTCTGATCGATTCCACAACGTTTCTTTCACAATGCAATCGCATGACCATAACTGGTCTTTACCTTTAAAGATGAACTTGTTAGTTTTCAGGAGCTTTTGAATAGTTTTTTTTTTGTGTGTGTGTCAGTAAAGTAGCACCGTTAGGAGTTTTTTTCATCACAGCGCGTTAGAGTATATTTATATTGTACGTGTAGCTGCGCTTTATACAGTAAGTTGATCTAGTCATTATTAGTTATCAACTTTACATTTGGATTGATATCAAAGTGGACATTCTACATAAAATACTGACTTAATGTAACTATTATATTGAATACTGGGTCCTGTTTCATAAAACTTGTTATCAAGAACAAATGCTATAAACTGTCTATGACAAATTTGCTTCCAGCCAATCAAATGCTACGATTTCAGTAGCTTATAACAGTCATTATAACTTATTATTATAACAGGGCCCTGATCATCAGATTGATGTCCACACAAAATGTGGTTGGTATGTCATGTGACATAATAGCTTTGAATAGCATAATACATGTACCATTGGAGGAAGTCTAGACGTAAAATTAAAAAAATGTAAATAAATAAACACCCTCTAATCAAATAGAGGAAGTCTTTGATCCTGTCATTATGATTATCATTATTATTAATGTCAATAAAAGAGAACCAGTCAGAGATATTTCCTGGTTTTTAATTGGAAAGGCATTCGTTGAAAACCACAGTGCAGCTCAAGTGTGAAATTACATGGAATATGCATGAGGAAGAAAATACTAGGCAAACTACAACATACAGTCCATATACAGTTAACAACTAAATTATGCATACCCCTTGTAAAAAAAATTTATATTTTGTTTGTTTGTTTTTGTTGTTGTTGATATTTTTGATATTTTTATTTTTGGGGTGTAACTCAAGAATGAAAGGTGGACTTGCTAAATTAGGTACTTTGTTAAATATTTATAGATCTACAAATGTAAGCTTAAATATATCACATTGTCAGGAAACATACTGGAATTTTTTTCTCCAAAACCATAGCTGATTTTCATTGAATGTACTATCTACATGTACATGTACAGTATGTTTATAGGAATCAATTAAACATTTCATTGAGGGAGAGGAGGAAATTGATGGAAGGCATAAATTGTTGAGGAGAAAAGAAATATTAGATCGAATCGGAAGCTAGTTTAAAGATGAAGTTGAGTTCTGGTCATGCGATTGCATTGTGAAAGAAACGGTGTGGAACCGACCAGAAAAGGTTGATCATCTAGCATATTAGAATTTGTGTGTATTGCAAGGTTCTGGAATCATCAAAATGATAAGAAATGTGGCCAAGTCTTGGTAAAGTTACAAACACTTGCACAGAAAGATGTATATGGGACTACACGAACACGTGGCGTAAAAAGCCGGCCCCCCCCCCCCCCGATTTTTACGATGTTACATGCATATTTAGAATATGAAGGCATTTGAAGAGCCATGCTTTTCAGGAAACATGTCTTAACTGATGTTCTTCCACACTTGCATAATAAGAATGAGTAATGCTCTCAAATTATTTTTCACCTCTTCCCAGAACTCAACCTTCTCTTTAAGTACAAAAGAGGATAAATTGTCTGTTTATAGCCAGAAGGACAGTATTAAGTTAGGCCCCTTGAGCTCTAAACAGACAGAATTTCCTGGTTACCAGATATGCACATAGCAGAGCTGCCAACCATTCTGATTTTGCTGGAATAACTAAGTTTTTTCTTCCAAATTACGGTTCTTCATAAAATACTCTTTTTTTTGCCCTAAAATGTTAATTTGATCACTAATTCAATAGAAAACTAAGTTTAAAACATCCTTGAAGAGAAAAATGTTCTCAAAAAGAATGAAATGCTGATATCCAAAATGAAAAATGAAAAAATACCTGCTTGTATGGCAAAAAACAGCATGAGGAATGAACATTTCTGCATTGGAAGTGTGTCGCGCGTGGTTGTAAGTATTGATTTAATGAATTCCTTTTTTTTGCTATAATGGTTCCTTTTTTGGGTCGCACAATTAAGGTTGGCAGCTCTGATATAGGGCCAAAGAATTTTGATTACATGGGCATTCCAGAGATGAATCTAGGTTAATGCCCATTTGCGTGCAGTATTTAGTTTATTGCTTGCACAATAGAAATTTGAATAATTCACAAAACAAAAATTAATTGATGATTCAAAAGGTCAGACGTAGTCAAAGCATAGTTAGCATATTACTGTAGCTAATCAGTTTCACTAATATTTGTGCTTCCAAGCAACCATACAAAGAAGGATCGTATCTTTGTACATGTATTTTATCTGTAGCTTTGAATTGCTTAAAGATAAACTTGAGTTTTGGTAAATATAGAAAATAAATTCTTACAGAATCCAACAACACTTACATTGAATGTTAAAGATTACAAATAAATGTAATATGTGCCAAACAAAATTTGGTAGAAAATGTATAGCGGCTGATAACGAGCAACTGCATAGAAAGATAAGGAAAAAGGGATAAGGAAATCTGGGTAGGTAGGCGAGATATGCTTAACTGTTTTAAAGACAGGTCACTATGTGCAAATGATGATGCCCAGTAAGTGTTTGTGCATTTTTTTTTTATTTAACTGGTTCAAACAACCAATCTATTGCAGGACAGACAATACAGAATAAATCATAGCAATTTTCTCTCAAAATACATTTCCCATACTGAGCTCAAGATAAGCATTAATTTTTTGTTGTTGAGTTTTTCTTTCTTTCCATTCCAAAGCCTTTAATATGTTCATATATTAGGAACACTTTGTATTTTTTATACCAGCAATTAATCATGACATGAAGTAAACAAAGATTAATGTAAGTGACTAAAGATATTTTTTGATATGGTTCATATTCATATGAATCAAAGTGGAGATGGGCTGGGCATTTAGCAAGACTTCAGAATAGATGGACAAATTGTTTAACAGAATGGCAACTAAGGGTGGGAAAGAGAAGAAGAGGAAGGCAGAAGAGAAGATGGAGAGATGACCTAACATCATACATGGGAACAGCCGCTTGGACTAGGACAGCTAGAGACAGAAGAGAATGTAAATTTCATGAGGAGGGCTTTGTCCAACGTCTGGATGAACTATAGCCTGATAGATAGATAGATAAATATTCATAAACATCTATAGGTACTTCAAAATGTGCAACATACGGTATTAAAGCGTGATGGATTTCCATGAAACATGACACTAATACAAAACAGAGTATTACAGAGCTGCCAACTAGTATGGATTTTCTTGTAATTGGGAAATTAACGATCATTACGGAATGTTGTCTAAAATTACGGATTTTGTAGTTGCGTAAATATGATTTATCGTAGCGAGTGCTGTGCAGTATGGCGGTATTTTCTTAATAGAAACCAATTTTTCATGGAAAACTGATGTGTTGTCATGACCTGATAATAAATATTTAGCAACTTTGTGTGAGTAAACTCACCAAAATTTCAAATTTCAAACAATCATGTGCGTCCGCGCAGTGTTGGCATGCCGTTTTTTTTAAAGATTCATAGCACCGCTTTGATAGGAAATTACTGATTTATTCCCCAAATTACTGTTTTGAGCCTTTTGATATTACTGATTTTCTGTTCTGGAGGTTGGCAGCTCTGGTATTAACATGTTGCCTGCTGCATCCTCTCGTTCCCACAGGGTAAATACAGGAGCTACCTAGTTCCAGTAGGCAAAGGGTTAAGTTCAAGTGTCTCTTAGAAAAAATTCCCCACATTTTTACATGTATTCATGTAAGCAAATAAGCATGCATAGATACTCCTTAAAAATGCCTTGATTGTGCTATTTTTCATTGTTCGTAAAATCCGCCCCTCTTTTGATTTTGATTTTGTGTAAAGAACTTCCTGTTATAGTTGTTTACACAAGTGCATATCACAGTACACATCCAGTTGTGGAGACATATTTAAGTCATTTTGTGTGGCATATCGGCCAATTATTTAGTTACTTGTTGATTGATAGATTTTTCAAATTTACTTGAATAAACACACACATATACACATACTCACCCACCCACATATAAATACATATACATGTATATTATATACTTTTTCAGAGGGGTTAAAACGACTCACCACACAAAATCTAGCCTGTCCAAATTTCTGTTTGGAATCAGAGGAAAGTTTCTCTGTCATCTTTAGTTTTAAAAACAACATTGTTACTATTATTTGTGACAAGTTCACAAGCACTTAAACTGCGTCTCGTAATAAAAAAAGTTCTTCCCTGCCCTGCATGGCTTGGGTTTCCGAATGGTAATGATCGTTGAAATAAGACGCAATCTGATCTGGCTTGCTACCTTTGTGGTGTCGGCAAAACCCAAAGCAAACTTATTTTTTTTAAATCATTTATTTATCTATTTTTTTGGTCCTAAAAATAGGGTTCATCTTATACACAGGTGCGTCTTTATATACACAGAGATTTACGGTATTTATATATACATGTACACCTGTAGCATTGATTCCATTTAAAAAGTCATTGTGTCAAGAAAAAGTTTAGAAAGAATGATGGTTGATTGAATTCTGTCTTTATTTCAAAGAAAGGTAAAGCAATACATGATAATAATAAAAAAAAAGTAAAAACTTATAACAATAATGGTAATAATAATTCTACTACTAATATTATCAAAATTGTTAAGAATGATAATGATGGTAATGATCATAAAAATGATGATAATGATATTAATGATGATTATGATTATAACTATTATAATAATGGAAAATTATAATAATGATATCAATAGTAATGATATTAATAACTATTATAATGCAAATAATAAAGATAGTGTTAATAATTGATTTTGATTTGATTTGATTTATTTACCAACAACAGCAATACATTTCATACAATGATTTGACATGTATAAGAAGAGAGACTATTGGTTGGTAAAAGGGGCCAGATAATAGCACATTATGTGCAAGTCGAGCCTACCCCTTTAGCCTCGGTCACAAATGCCATTACGAACTTCTACGAACGCTGTACGAACGATTTTCAGACAATGGAAAAACAGGGAGATTCGTACAAAATTATGGTTCGTACGAACCTTTGTGACCATAGCATTAAACAGCTAAACAAAGTATTTTGGTACAAATCAGTTTAGATTAAATATTATCATCAATCAGAAGAGCAGTGTTCTAGAAGTTACATAATTGTATTTGTAAATTGGGCTTAGATTAAGATCCAAAATCAAAGTACAGGAATGTATACATGAATGTATGCTAAAGGTTTTGTTATAACATGCAAGAGATTAGGTATAACATTATCAAAGAGGGAAATTCCCTTTAGGACCCCTCGTACATGTACGTATATCCTAATACATTACATATGAAAGGGGAAGTCTGCGCTTCTATGAACTTTAAAAAGGAAGCAGGAAAACAGGAGGAGTTTAGCTAAGGTTCAGTGAATCCAATAATATGCAGTGTACATGTACATGTAGGTCCTGTGTAAGAAAGTTATTTATGTATGATGGTCCTAGATTTTGGAATTTTCTAACTGAAGATATTAAAGATAGTCCATCCCTAAATTCTTTCAAGATAAAACTAAAAATATTTTTGCTCAAATCCTTTAAAAATATACAATAAAAATCAGATAACAGCTGGTAATCATCTTAATTTTTATTTAGGTCTTCATCATCTGCTCGATTATTTTAATATTTATTTGGTCTTATGATCTTACCTTCCCAGAATCAGAATACAACTACCTCTTCTTCCTTCTTCCTTCTTCCTTTTTCCCATTTTCTTTTCCCCCTTTCCCTTTTTCTTTTTAGCTGTTTTCCTTTTCCTTGTTGTTTCGTGGATGTTTGTTGTTTTGTAATATTGTTTTGTGTTTTCCAAGTCTTCGTAGGCACAATTTGAAACAATTTTATTTTTTCTGGGGGATCCACAAACTACAGTGTACAAGCATTGCTTTTTAGTGGATCCCCCCATTTCCTCAGAAATTAAGAATTTTTTGTAATAATTTTATTATGTGTACAATGTATTTGTTAACTTATCAAGATATAAAATTATTAAATGTACATACATTTTTTCATATTTTCTGTAATAATATCTGTAATGCCTTGGTTTATCTTTCTGTTGGAAATGAAATAAATACAAATTGAATTGAATTGAATGATTTTAAAAAGAGTTATTGTCATTCAAATACAGATGGTAGCTTTTCCCCCCATTCAGATACCCAATCTTCATTGCTAAAGCTAAAGAAAGAGAAATAGCTGTATGTAAATATTCCAACTTTGTGGGCAGTGTTTTTTTTTTTTTTTAATGAAGGGTAAGATTCTTAATGGGATGAGTGTAAAACATACTCAACTCTCCCATGCTCTACATGTCATGACATGTTCATATAATAGATTACATTGATTTTTATGCCTCCGCCACCGAAGGTGGTGCCGGAGGCATCATGTTTTCGGGTTGTCCGTCCGTACGTCCGTCCCGTTTGACCGTTATCACAATTTAAGAACCATTTAAGATTTAAACTTAAGACTCGGGAATAGTATTTATCACCATAGGAAGACGATCTGATTAGATTTTGGAGTACGTAGGTCAAAGGTCACAGGTCACAGAGGTCAACTTATGAAATTCCTTGTATTGAGATTGTTAGCGCGATATCTCAAGAACCATTTGAGATTTAAACTTCAAACTTAAGGATAGTATGTATCACCATAGGAAGACGATCTGAACAGATTTTGGAGCACGTATGTCAAAGGTCAAGGGTCACAGAGGTCAACTTATGAAATTCCATACATTGAGATTGTTATCATGATATCTCAAGAACCACTGGAGATTTAAACTTCAAACTTAGTGATAGTGTGTATCACTATAGGAAAACAATCTGATTACATTTTGGAGCATGTAGGTCAAAGGTCAAGGGTCATAGAGGTCAACTTATGAAATTCCATACATTGAGATTGTTATCATGATATCTCAAGAACCACTGGAGATGTAAAAACTTCAAACTTAAGGATAGTATGTATCACCATAGGAAGACGATCTGATTAGATTTTGGAGCACGTAGGTCAAAGGTCAAGGGTCACAGAGGTCAACTTATGAAATTCCATACATTGAGATTGTTATCATAATATCTCAAGAACCACTGGAGATTTAAACTTCAAACTTAATGATAGTGTGTATCACCATAGGAAGACAATCTGATTAGATTTTGGAGCACGTAGGTCAAAGGTCAAGGGTCACAGAGGTCAACTTATGAAATTACATACATTGAGATCGTTATCGCGATATCTCAAGAACCACTGGAGAATTTTCACTTCAAACTTAATGATAGTATGTATCACCATATCATAATATCTCAAGAACCACTGGAGATTTAAACTTCAAACTTAATGATAGTGTGTATCACCATAGGAAGACAATCTGATTAGATTTTGGAGCACGTAGGTCAAAGGTCAAGGGTCACAGAGGTCAACTTATGAAATTCCATACATTGAGATTGTTATCATGATATCTCAAGAACCACCGGAGATTTAAACTCCAAACTTGTTTAAATTGCTCTATGGCGGAGGCATCATTTTCGACTGCACGCAGTCAAAATTCCATCTAGTTTTTTTATAACATACACCTGTAAGGCACATTTACACATCCCAAACACCATAAAAACCATCATACTGAATTTTGGTTATTAGTGTGCATGTTGGCCCCTATCACTTGTTGGTGCCCTAAAGCGAGCAAAAATCGTTATCTTAATGCTGAAGTTTGCATTTACACTGCAAAAATCTGTGAAACTTTGTCAGGGGTTTAAAAAAAACACACTCCAGTATGCAATTACCGGCAAAGAAAACAGAATGTGAGAAAAATCTTTTTTTTAATATTTTTTTTTGTGTTTTTCTTTTTTGTTGCAGTGTAAACGCAGCTATGAACATGTTGTATCTTTACTTCTTCAGAAGTATGTTTACAAGAGATAGCCTTGTACATGAATCTGAGAGCTGATTATTCTATGTACAAACTTCCTTCTTGAGCACAATAAATAATTCCTAGAGAATTTCATATACTACATTAAATTTCAGGAAGAATGGTATCTATAGTGGTGTTGAGGAGTGGTTTAATTGCTTGACTGGAAATGCAGAGGTCGTGGGTTCGATGCCCGGTACAGTACTTGTGTCCTTGAGCAAGGCATTTTATCTGCATTGCTCCTCTCCACCCAGGTGTTAATAGGGTACCCGGTAGGAAGCAAATGTCATGGGGGTTAGGTTTACATGTAAGATGTTAATTTCTTTAATTACGTAAGATACTTTTGATTGTTTTGACAAATTGATGTAAACAAATTTATATCACTTTAATAATAGCCACTTACATGTACTTGTACATGTACTATGTAAACAACATATAATATAGACAAAAACAAGCTCTGTGAAATAAAATGGAAAGATGGGTTGTTAGTTTTTATTTTGAATGTGGATAGTTTTTCTCCTGTTCAAATTGAGCATGGTACATTGTTCCAAATTCTAGAATCAATTACACTAAAGTATTGGGGGGGGGGGGGCAGAATCGATCTGACAATTACAAGAATTGTTACAAATATAAATGATACCTTGCTTTTTTCACTTTTCTGCACCTTAAGATATTGTCACCGTGGAAAATGAAGGAAACACTGACTCTCTGAAAGTGACATGGACTCCTCCAACTGGTGCTACAGATCAGGTGGTCACATGGTCTCCAGCTGACGGCTCTGGCAGCGACACATCATTTGGTCTTAGCGGAACAGCGACTGAGCATACCATCCCTGGTTTAACACCAGGGACGCTCTACAACGTGACTGTTACTGCACAAAATGGTACAGATGAGACTAGTGATGACAGTGAACAGGGTAGAACGAGTAAGTCTCAACATCAATAGATACCTGTATTTCAATGAATTTCAAACCCAAACGCTTGGTTCAAGCGTTTGTTCAAAATGGGATTTAACAAATGAGGTAATAATCTGAAGTCTACATTTTCCTTTGTTAACATGATTTTAGATCGGGGGTTGGTTTCAACTGAATTAGTAAAGTAGGGACCAAAAGTATGACTTCATTTCAATATACTGTACTCTCAATAAACAATGTTTTAATGAAGAGTGATAATGATGATGATAATAACGATGAAGATAATAATGATGATGATAATGATATGACAGATACCATCTAATAAAAATGATAATGATGAATAATACTAATAATAATTTGATTTACCGGTATATAGTGCCTTTTCCAGAGGATACATTGTGCTGTCATATAGTCATAGAGAGTACCTATTTATAATACTTATTCTTTTCTGCAGAACCTTCTCCCGTGAATCTTACTGAATCCGGAGCCACTAACGATTCCATCTCAGCCGAGTGGACCAAGCCTAGTGGAGCGATAGACCAGTACACCTTCTCATGTTCAGAGGGTACAGAAGACCCATCTTCACCAATAACAGACGTTAGCAGTAACATGTACGAGGTATCTTGTGTGGGACTATCTGCTGCCGGGGCGGACTACACTATCACTGTCACATCACTTAGTGGAAATGAAATCAGTAATGAATCTACCACCACCATCACAGCATGTAAGTTCTCTAAAAATTGTCAGTGTCTAGGGCTCAAGGGCGCCATCGACAATAGCCCTCACACACTCTCAATTCATTCAGAAATCCTCAGTTCAAACATGATTTTTGAAAAAGGAAAGTGTCCTTTGAGATCCTGTATTAAGGTACCTGGTGGCAGCCCCTCCAAATACTGGGTAACAGCCCTCTATGTCCACCTCCAATTCATTCTGAAAATTTCTGAACATGACTTAAGCTATGGTCACAAATCTCAGCAGCGACAAACCGATCAGTAGCCTGCTCGGTCGCTGCTGGAATTTAGGCATCGCCCAGCAATTAGGTCGGTGCCCGGGCAGCGACCGCCCAGGCACAGAGCGTATTTTGGGCGGCGAGTGAAAAGTGAGCAGGCACCGCCCAAATTTTAACTCCGCGCTAAAACTTCAGCGGCGACAGAGCGGTGCCTGGGCGGCCGCCGCTTGGTGGCCGGGCAGCCGTCGGGCAGAATTGGTTAAAAACTCGCCGCTCGGCCGCCGAGCAGGCTATTTTGGGTATAAAGGAAGGTCTTAGGTTTGAAAGCAATTCAAAGAAACATTTATCATCCTCTCCAAACATAAAAATGTGATTCATATAAAGTTCATTTCATGTGTTTATGTGTGCAGGGCCCTTAAGAGTAACAGTGTCAAACTAGTCCACCCTGGGTAAAAAAGACCCCAAAAAATATTTTAAAAATAAATAAATAGAAAAATAACATTGAGAGCTCATTTAAATGAAATAGTACTGGAATGCACTTTTCCTCTGTGTTATTTTTTTTTTTTTTTTGTATTAGTAATTTTAGACCAAATACTAGTATGTGCCTGTATGGATTTAATGTAATAAAACATGTTCCTCTTTTTTTTGTTTAACAACACTCATCTATTTCCAACCTGTTTTGTAGTACCTAATATGGTACACATTGAAGCAGGTGATGCTACAAATTCATCCTTCGTTGCCTCTTGGAACCATCCAGAAGGAGAGATGGACTCTTTTCAGGTGTTTTGTTATGAAAATGATACAGCTCCTGAGGAAATTAGCGATGTGGGAAGCAACAGCACCTACATGTACGAAGTCACTTGTGAGAGTCTACCCACTGCAGGGACTGGTTATCAGTTCTCTGTGATTTCTATCAGTGGTAGTAAGAATGTGACTTCAGAAACTGTGTTGTATACCAGTAAGTTGGGAGCTTCCTTTGGCATCAGATTGTATTATTTCCATACATCATCTTGCAATATTTGGCTGATCCTTGGACCATTTTGCAATATTTCGCTGGTTCCCATGCAGCACAATCCAGTGACCCATCTTCAGCCCCTACATGTACATCTTCGACAGCACTTCATCACTTGCATATCATCTGGGGTTTTTTGTAGTATGATCTAGCAACCATTCAACATTTGATTCAACTTCATTTTCTACTTGTTATAAAGTTCATTACAGTAAAGGAGAGGTCCACGTTGGTTTAAAGAAAAATATTATATTGGGTAAGAAAGTAATGAAAGTAATCAGTCGATAGTGAAGGTTGACTGTGATTATCTTTCAGCAATTTTTAAAAGTTATTAACTTTTTTTTAAAATCATGAATTTATAATTTCCTGCGTACAATGATATATCCAGGGCAGAGGTATAATGAAATTATTTCTGTGGAGAAAATCGAAATTCAACAATTTTACAGAACTTACAGGAAAGGCACTTGTAAGGTTCACAGAGTTGTGATTAATCTGCCATGAAGTAAAAAATCTACAAAGCTTTCCAGTCCTTTACCAGATTTTCTGAAAATTTCACTGATTTATTTCGTTTTTGTGCCTTATATTTCATCCACCTTGATACCATCTTTCCCTTTAAGAAATACATCCCCCCCCCCCATTTTTTCACCAACATATAGATGTTATACTGAAAGGTGATTGGGAGATTCACGCATTTCAATGTCTTTGATAGTACGTTTCTTTATAATACTTGATTGATAGATTCACCATTTTCATATAAACATGCAAAGTCAAAGAATACAATGAAATCTTTATTTGAAATATAGTATTAAATAAATAATAACATATATGAACTTTGATTTTTTTTTTTTGAAACAAATTTTCTCTTTAAGAAAAACAAATCATTGATTGATATATCTGATTTACTTAATTGATTTCTTTAATTGATTGATTTATTTGGGGAGCTGTTTTTAGTAAGTACCTGTAGCTAGCTAGTATTTTTGGGTTTTAACGCATGTAGCGCCATGCTTCTAGGTAGTTTTTATGCTGCTTAAATAATGCCTGTAATCAAAAATCAATTGTTTGTTTTAATTCACATATGCTCGTCAGCCACCGGATGAATTGTTTATGTTAACATTTTGCCAGAAATTAATTGTATGTAATATGATTCATTAGGCCAGAGAAAGGCTTGGTTTTGTTCTTCCAATTTGCGACAGGTTGATGAGTCAGATATGGAAAACTGTAGCCTTGCATTTTGAAGAATTCATGAAATAGATGTACATGCTTGAATACATTATTTTGGTGATGGAACATTCATTTGTTTCTTCCTGCAGGACTTCATTTTATAAGGTAATATGCATGTTTCATTTTGAAGTATGCTCTTCAGTAAAAAAGAAGAAAAAGACGAAAAAGAGGCTCCAAATTGTATGGGTGTGTCATTATTCTCGGAAATTACTTTAATAGTCCACTTGTAACAACCATGTTACATGCCTGTCAATTCAAGACGAGTTTTAACGATTCATACAAAAGGAATACTTTGTAAATTGATCATTTACACTACTCTAATTACAATGAAACGTGCTAATATGAGCCTTCATTATTCAAATGGAAACAAATGTATCACTTTGTCCCATGATGCAACTGATACTGAAATATTTAATTGCATTCGTATTAGTTAGGTTCACACAACGGTTTGTTAACTTTAAGTTAAGTTTAGATTGTAGTTTTAGACTTCAAAGTTATCTTGTAGTTGGGGACCATTAGGACGCATTCATGGCTACTAAATTTTAAGTTTACCTAAAGTTATTAACCACAAGCAATCTTAAAGTTACTGTGATAAGTACCAGCAACGGATGGTCCTCACTTAAAGTTACAAGCATGATATGTGTTGTGCATACACAATTAACTTTTGTAGTTAAAATGACTGGTTGCATGTGGTTTTAAACTTTGAATACTCATTTTAGGGACCCTTGTTACCCTTGTGAACCTCCATCATGGTTAGTGGATTGTTGTTAGTAACTTGGATGTTCAACACCTTTTAAAACTAAGAGGGTCCCTTGCAAACTAAGCTAATGTTTTCATTGCAGATGTTTATTAGGAAACTTATTGGAAGAGGTTTCAATTGAGTTTAAAGAGGAGCTTTAGTACTGATAAGTTTTATAATAGGGGAAATTGGAGATGAGAATTCTTTTGAATTTCGGTTTCATATGAAACAACTTCATCCTTGAGATGAATAGGCATGTGTTAATGAAAAGATTGTGGGCTTTCCCACTCTTTGTACATCTGTTTTAATAGCACAATTAAGGCCTTCCATAAATTACAAACAATACATTGTCAGATACACACTGTTGATTAAAAGCATGATTAAAAGCATGCAAATATATGCATAGGGGAACATTGTACATGTTAAAATATCATTAAATATTTACACAGTGGTGAATAGAGAAACAAAAACAAAATGGATACAATGTGGCATATACATGTAACTGTCAATATTAGTTGAAAAAAAGGAAGATAAATACATAAAGCATTTTCAACAGCATTTAGGGAATTTCTTTCTGTGTAGATCGTTCTAAAAGTACACCAATTACATGTATCATGTACTTTGTGTATAAGGAGAAAGGAAAATGAAAAGAAGCATATAACTCTGATTGAATGTAATTCCAGAAAGTTATGTTATGTTCCTGATCGCCCAAATGAAGGAAATGTAATACTTGAAGGGGCAGAAGCAACATCCTTAAAGGGATCCGGTAACTTTGTCTTAGATCCTTTTAAAAAATCCTTGATTTAGCTCATGCTGCAATGTTAATTATAAACCTTTAGGTCAGTCAGGAACCCCATGAATTTTACAAGCCGATCGCCTGTCTGATTATCAAGATATTTATGATGGGAAATCGAAACCAAATTTTGAGTTTGGCTAACGGTTTTCATTACACTACAGTCTATTGGAGAAAACGAGTATGGTACAACCGGTCACTCAAAGGTTTTTACTTTTTTGAGGCACTTCTTGATCATTTTGAAGCGTGATTTTTTTTAAGAGCTTCAATATTACACCATATCACAAAGACTGATATCACGTAGGGCCGTGCATCTCAGATTTAACATTGTTAAACAATCCCTTTAAAACTAAAAACAGTGGTTCCCTATGATAACTGTCCTATTGTGGAACATTTTATTTTATTTCCTGGTCCAAAGCTCAAGTGTCGTAGGTTTGACTTGCTTTCTGATTATGAAGGAAATATCCAAGAATCAACAAATGCTCATCTTATTCAAATAGATACAGTCATGTGCTTGTAATAAATACATAGTGGTTTATTACCAATGATCACGTTGTTCCATAGACATTATACATCATTAATAGAGTATGGAAGTTTATCATGGATTGCAAACTTTTACTTCCAATTATAAAATCAGACAAGTGCATACTATGACAAGAGTTCACATTTTATATGATTTAGTGTACAATGACACTGCCTTCAAATCTACTTATTGCAGAGGTAAAAAGTGCTTCTGTGTATCATCATTTGTTTGTGTGTGACTTCACTTAACATTGACATACATGTATATGTCCCAAATCATGTTTAACAAATATTATTTTTCTCATTTGGTTTATATATACTCTAATTTTGTTTTATTTACTTCTTGAAGAGTCACCATATCATTTTCACATTCTCTATTCTGATTCCACATGTTTACATGGAAAAGTACATTGTATATAAGATTTTCTCTTGAATGATCATTTATCAGTCAGTTTTCACTACATCAGAGGAGAACAAAATATGAATATGAAACAAGAGATCATCATTTCCCATTGCTAAACACTCCCCTTTAAAAAAAAAATATTAATAATGATTATCACAATCTGCATTTACAAAGTGCACCATACTCATCTAAAGCAATTTACACCCTTTTACATATTACACATACAGTACATGTAAATGACCATCAACATGATGATGATAATGTGGACATCAGTGATAGTATTTATATTACAAAAATTAATGTGAATTAAATACAAAATAAATTAAAGATTTTTTAATTTTTTAATTTTTTAAATTACAGTACCAAACCCAGTAGAACTGACAGCAAGCGACTCTGCAGTGGACTCTGTGAGGGCAACATGGCTGAAACCTGCAGGAGAGGTTACGAGCTACGAGGTACAGTGTAGTAATGGGACCGTGGTGCCCCCTCCAGTCCAGACTGGTGATGGTCCTTTCACAGCATCCTGTGAAGATCTTCCAACACCAGGAGATGAGTACACAATGAATGTTACCAGTGTCAGCAATGGAAAGAGTTCGGATGTAAAAACTATCGCCTTGAGAGCATGTGAGTTGTAACTGAAATAGTTGTTTCAAATAATGAATGATTAAATGATACAAAAATAGTAATAACAATATTTCATATACTTTTTTTTATTTTTAAGCAATTTTGTTTTATTTCTCCAAATGTGTAATACAAACCATAACATACAATTGAATAAAATAAACGTGTTCAATATTGATTGCTTGTACATAAACATAATTAAACAAAAATTTATTTGCAGTGTATATAACTTAGCAAGAAAGTAAACGTATAAGTACCTAAACATAATATATATGTCAATTGTAAATGTTATTCACTTACGGTATATAAAAAAAAAAACTTAAACAAATTTTACTGGAACAATGCCTGCTCCTCCCTGCCCCCTCCCTGCCCGCCTCCCTGCCCCCCTCCCTCACACAAACACCCCCGCCCACCCACAGATGCACATACTCACCCATCCTCCCACACCCCCCCCCCATATACACACACATAGACACACACACACACACTCCCTCACCAATACATGGACGTCAATACCCACCCACAACCTCACACCTCACACATTCAAATATAGACCCGAACAGTTGTGGGTAAAATTGTATCCACCTATTCATAGAAGCAACCAAACCTACATCTACTCGCCCACCCACAATCAACCCTTCAAATCACACACTCCCACATGAACCCTACAGTTTAACAGATAAGGTTTAAATTCTACTGTCTCTGCACACACATACACACACACACACCCACACTCTCCCTCAACAATACGTGTTCGTCAATACCCACCACACACACCCACAACCTGACACCTCACACACTCAAACATGGACCAGAATGGTAAAACAGTTATGAGTGAAATTCTATCCATCCATTCAAACATGCATCTACACCCACATCCACTCATACCCCCACATTCCACCCTTCGAACCCCACACACTTACATATGAAAGCTACAGTTAAACAGATAAGCACACACACACATGCACACACCCACTTATACACCTGCCCTCACCAGTACATGTACATCAATAGCCACCTTCACACACCCACCTCCTCAAACACCTACCCTACCCACACCTCACACGCTACCACACGGACCTGAGCAGTAAAAACAGTTAAGGGTGACATTCTATCCGTCCATCCATTCAAACATGCAGCCATTCCTACATCAACTCGCCAACCCACACACCCAACCACAATGCGACCCTAATAATAAAACAGTTAAAGACCGTCAATACTACTGGGCCAGAAGGGATTAGACCACGCAGCAAGGTCACTGACAGGTGGCTATCTCATCAACTCGGCTCTCAACTAAAATAAGAAAAAGAGGATCATGGGGGACCAACAGGCACCGATTGGGGAATTTTCTATATATCTGTAGAGGGAGCAAGTATCTACAAGTAGGACAGTGGGGCTTTATAAGAACTAAAGGTGCAGACAAACCCCCACACACCTATGCTAAAAGTGTCCAGTGATTAATGATTTTAAGGAAGAATACACCCTCCCCCAAATTATTTTACCTTTGACCCATGTATGTGTCAACTCATTTCTAAATATTAATTTTTGTCTGTGCAGTACCTGAAGCAGTCACCTTGAATGAAGAGAGGGGCATGGTAACCACTACCACCATCGCTGCATCATGGACCATGCCCAGTGGTATAGTGGAATACTATGACGTCTTCTGCCTAGTTGGAGACCCTTCACCAGTCATGGGCAACCCCTCAGGCAACCTGACAGCATCTTGTGTCAATCTAACAATGCCTGGAGACGACTATAATATATCTGTGACTGCAGTCAGTAATGGTCAACGTAGTGAGACAGACACTATCACAATCACTGCGTGTAAGTTTATCCCATAAATCACTACAATTTTTTTTTTTTTTTGGGGGGGGGGGCAGGATTTCTTGCTCTAATTTATCGGTGTCTGGAGGTCCCCATATTCTAAACAAATGTACGCTTCTTCGTTGCATGAACAACGGACGATGCAAATTTACTTGTCATTTTGATGATTCCAAAACGCTTACTAATACACCAATATGCTACATGAACAACCTTTAATAATTGCTTCCAGAGATCCTCTTTCACATAACGATTGCTTAACCTGAGCTAAACTTTATCTTTATTGGAGAAGATCCAATATTGCATGTTCTTGACATTTATGCATGAGTTTTTCTTTTGAACCTACATCAAGTAGTCCATTGACTTGAAATATTACCATGAAACCTTACCATAACATTCTCTGCAATATATGTAAAAGTAACTTTTTCTTTGAAGCTTGAAATGTTTGTCAGTATGTCTGTCCGCAGCAAATATATTTTCACTGTTTAATGTTGGTTAAAAATGAATGAGAGCTTGCTTGTACAAAAACTGTTGCCTGCTTTGAACTCTCTTTTCTAAATGCTTGCATACTCCGCTCCTCATTGTCCAATAAATGTTGATTTTCATGAACATAGCAATATATGAAAATATCTTTCTATATAACTCCAGAAATGCTTGAAAACCTGTAATTTCATCAGCAGAAGAAAGTAAAGCAAAAGCTTTCTTGCCACTGCAGCCTTTGTTTACCCTTGTCAAGTAATCCCTTCCCTAACATGTAAAACTGTCATTGATTTTAATAAAAACTAATATCTAGAAAGGCCACCTATCTATACAGGCCTCATTTCTTTTGGTTTCCCTTCAGTGGCATTCCTCAAAGAAACACCCTTTTAACAGAACCTGTATTTAAACACCACCTACAATGTATCTACAAAGGCCACATACCTTTTCTTACTTGAACAGTCTTTATACAGGTCTAACTGTGTATGCAAATGTAATCAATTAAAACTCGGGAGTTGTTAGAGTCAATCTTACTGCTGGAACCTGTTATTTTACAAGACCACGTCTTGCTCTCATTAGCAGTCTCTATTTTACATGTTTAACTATGTATTAGTAAATGTATACATTTGAAATTCAGTACCACTTAGTGCCAACCTTACCGCCGGTAACTCCACAATAAACTCTGTCAGTGCCATGTGGCCCTATCCTGGAGGATTGGTGGACGTCTTTCAGGTGAACTGCAGCAATGGTACCGAGAGTAACGTGACAGTGCTTGTTAATCAGACAAACCCTGATCCTAGTTATCTAGTTAGTTGTGATGGTGTCTGGAATCCTGGTGATGATTACACCATGGTTGTCACGAGCGTTAGCAACGAGCAGGAGAATTCAGCGAGCATCATGTTAACAGCTTGTAAGTGATTGAAGGAGCAAAAATTACAAAAATTGCATAAGATTACATTTCCCACACACACATGTCAACTCTCAAAACATGTACATTGTCACTGAGCAGCAGATTAAGATTAATGTCAGGTATTGATCATTATGAAGTCCCTTCCAACAAGTGACATTATCAGAATGTGTCCATTCTTCTTGAAAGGCAAACAATAGACTAAGTCTGCTGAACTTTTGTCAAATGAAACTTATGAAAAGGTGGAATTTCCCCTACTATTGATATCTTGTTTGATACGTCAATTCTAGAGTTAAGAAAGCTGGGGATTAGCTAATAAAGTGCATGTGTATTAATTCTTTTTGTTTATTTCTGGGTTTGCTATGAATAAGGACTTACATGAACATGTAAATGAAGATGCACTTTAAATACACCTTTGATTATTAGGTAGTACAAAGTTTTGGTAAATTTTGAAAATTGGGTGGATAGTGATTCTTTACAATTTTGACATATCTGGATGCCTAGGGATGTATTATAAATACAAACAAATTTAGCCCCTAAAACACTTCTGCTTTCGAGAAAAATTGAATATACAAATTTACAAGTGCTCCCGGTAAATTTTGATAAATTTCAAATAGCGCCTACGACCATACGATGGTAGCTGCGACCATGAAAATCTCAGAATATGTAGTTGTGATATATATATTCTAAATGGTAATAGCAAAAACGGTCGATTTTATTTAAAGAACATTGTTTTACAGCTAAATTAATATATTGACCTTGAGAGGGCACTATACAGCATAAAGAGTTTATTATTTACAATTTCATCACTTTAGAGTCGCTTTTGAACCGCGACAACATCACTGAATATTATAGGGTCGCATATGCTTCCAATAATGTTCATTTGAACCAAATTTATGACCCCATACCAAAAATTTGTATTACCTTTAAGGAATGACTATTTCTGGCGCTTTATAATCAGGATTTAAATATATCCTTCCCAGTTACTGTCAGAAACTTTCCTTGACATATAATTCACATCTCTTGAATCATCCAACTAATTTGTTCATGATAAACCGTCAATAGTAAGACAATCTCTATACATTGTCCACCTGTAGTACCCCTTAGCGTCGAATTAGTTGCTAATACTTCTACTGCAAGATCTGTGAGTGCAACCTGGCAGTTTCCGGGAGGTGTCGTGGAAGACTTTGAAGTTCAGTGCAGCGATGGCAATGAAACAACTTATACGGTCCAGGACGTGGAGTATATGGCCTTGTGCACGGGCCTAGATACTCCAGGAAAAAATTACACAATGATGGTTACCAGTATTACTAATACGCAGAGAAATGCAGCATCGATTGTATTGACAGCTTGTAAGTACATGTATTACATCCGATATGCAACCGTGGTGAATTATCATCTGCTCCAGTCACGTTTACTACCCATCTATTCACTACAGCCCTGGTATGTGTTATCATACATTAGTCATGAAACATCTGCAACATTTGGGGAAAAATTCATTTAGTATCATGTCTGTAGTAAGACAATCTTTACCAGAACTCAATATTGTAAGAGGCATCATTGTCTAGTGGATACGTTGTCGGACTGTGGATCACATGGGATGCGGTCGGAGTCCTGTCGCAGCACTACATGTATGTCCTTCCGCAAGACATTGATCTAAATTTACTGCTCTCTCTCCAAAGTTTAAATGGGTATTCCTTGAATAATGTGAGCACTAAAGTTGGTAGCCTAGCAGAGTCGGGGTGGTATTAGAGTGCCTTGAGCACCTTGCTTGGTGGATATGGACTCATTATAGATATCCAATATTATTATAATTATTTTTTTTAAACAGCTCTTTCTCGTCAATTCAATACATGAATCAAAGACTATTTTTCTCACTCTCCCATGATGCATTGCCATGCTTCATCATTCACGCACCACCATGACGTATCCATGTGCAAACAATTCTGCTCATTGTGTTGGTAATCAAGGGATTATGAGTTTATACCTCTCAAAAATATGATTCTGTGAAATGTTTTCCATGCATCTTATTCATCTTTCATGTATCTTTTATATTTTCTTTTATAATTTTTTTTTTTCATGAAAATTTGGGCAACTTGAAGAGGAGCAACCCCCAGCAATTTAGTTAATTAATAATTCATTTTCATGTTCTGTTGATGAGAATTTTATTTTACCATTGAAGTTTACATCCATCATCTTGAGTTTGAATGCATTTACATGTATAACAACACATTCATTTTTGCAGTCTGGTACACATGTATACTCTTAACTAATTCTTTCTTCATGTTTTGTTTATACTTGTTCTCATTTAGGGAAGGCCAATTACTTTTTTATGTAATATACATTTTTTTCCAACATGACTGGATAATCAGGGTGAAATCAACAAATATTTGAAAAGCATTTCGCCATAATTTGTTTCCCAGTAATATCGCAGACCCTTTTCATGTCGTAAACTCGTCAAGAATAATTTTAATGAATATGTCCGTATCATTTCTGTGGAAGGAAAAAATACTCTTCATTCTTTTCTTCATATTCCGGGTAGTACGAGACATTTTCTTCTACATAAACCGGTACATTGTACCTTAGTCGTTTTTTTTTACTTTCATGATTTGGCCCGAGTCATTTAAGTTTTTTAATCCAGGCCCTGACCATGTTTTTCCTTCATCTGATACCGGTACTCTGATTTTCTACAGATTTTCTACAGATTTTACATTGACTTAATTAGACCATATACATGTACCTTTAACTAGGTCAGAAAGATGGCTAAAATTTAACTTTTCATACTAGATTAGATTTCATGCCACAGTTCATTATCAAATAAAACTAGTGTTCATTCATTTAAGACTGCTTAGATCTATTGATGACCTGATTTGAAAAGACCGTTTTGAGTTCAAGGATTTCTCTGGATCCTATCCTACTTAAACATGGCATTTTCATGTTCTTGCAACCCGGAACGTGTATCTGCGATCGCTAACATGACCACTAGAAACCATATATTCTTAAGAATACCACCAGGCGAAAGTTGCCTATTTAAGCTCGTTCAGATACGATGTGGTAAACCCCAACAAATTATGCCTAAATGAATGGCAACTGTGTACAAGAAAGGTATTATGCCTATTCACTGAGCTCTTTCTTATTGGTATACAGAAATGTGACCGTGTTACACTTTTCGTCATCATTTCTAAACAATTGCGTTTTGCCACTTCATATCTGAACGAGGTATTATGTTGCATTTTTTTCTTGTAGTGCCTGAATCAGTCATGTTGAATGAAGAGAGAGACAGGGTGAATACTTCCACCATCACTGCATCATGGACAATGGCCAATGGTATAGTGGATTACTATCAAGTCTCTTGCTCCAATGGAACTGCTTCACCAGCCCAGGTCAACCCCTCAGAAGACCTGGAAGCGTCTTGTACAAGGCTATCAACTCCTGGAGATAACTATACTATCTCTGTGACGACAGTCAGCAATGGTCAAAACAGTGCAGTATCGACCATCACAATCACTGCTTGTAAGTATTTCTTACAGCGTTTACACTAAAAGAAATTTATATGAAAAGTGTAGAAAACCTTTGTTTGTTTAGAATTATAGTACATGCAAATAGTTCAACAAAAGGGCCATTGACACGTGGAAAAAAATATCATGTAAAAAAAAGGGAGGCTAAAAAGACTAGGTTTAAAGAAGTTAATTGACATATGTCGGCCTAGATGACAGCTGGCCAGTCAGTGTGTAGTCATGATAAGCCACACCCAGGAAAAATGCAGGATTTTTTACAATAAAACATTCACATTTTAAAAATGAGCCCTGATTCTTTATTAATTTTTCATTCAAAATGATGCTGAAAAATCTGTTTTGCTGTATGACGTTTTGTTATACAATGTTATACTGTACAAAATAATTATGGACTGTAAAATTAAACTATACACTTTTTGTATAATGAAATTATAGATGTACAAAACATTTTTAATTTCTTAATTTTACATCAATAGCATTTAATTATTGACATGTAAAATGTTTGGTCCAAGGTTGAAGTGAGGATATACATGTATGAGCTTTAAACTTCCCACATCTATTTCTTCTTCTTTTTTGTACTAAGAAAATGAATAACTGACTTGTTTATGGTGCTTTAAGTGGTTGATATTTGCAAGGTACATGCTGTGATGTCATGATGTCTGTATATAATAAAAGTTCATACAGTTGTAAAAAGAAATGGAGAAAATGCCAGTGAGAAAAGATGTCCCCTGAAAAGGATGGGATGGACTTGAATGGAATATATCCTGTTTTCTGTCTCATTGTATTTCCCATTTAAAAGTTATGCCAGTTGATTTAGATGGTTCCTAGTTGAATAAGTGAGGCATAAAGATTGATACACAAACTTATACTTAAAAGAGTTTTTTCTTTATCTTCTTACAATTTAGTGCCCTCGCAAGTTACTAACCTTGCAGAATCAGGAGCAACCAATGATTCAGTCTCAGCAACATGGACCAAGCCGGATGGTGTGGTCAGTAGCTACAATGTGACCTGTCCAGATGGGACCACCCGTACAGAACCCGAGGAGAATGATGACAGTACACACTCTGTGACATGTTCTGGTCTACCAGATCCAGGACCTGGGGGAAACCACATTATCATGGTTGTAACACTGAGTGGTAGCAAAGCTAGTGATCCAGCTACAGTTACCATAACTGCTTGTGAGTTGATTATTCATTTGGTAAAATTAAGAATTTAATAAGCAAATAATTACCGTTGGTGAAGGTGATGGGACAAACTATCACTTCCGAGGCGATCTGGATGTAGCTATCTTTCCGAAGCGAAGCTGAGGAAAGATAGCGTATAAATTCTGATCGACGAGGAAGTGATAGTTTGCCATCGCCTGAAACCAAAAGGTGATTATTTGCTTTATATTCCACATCTAAAAACAATATAACTACAACAAGAAAAGGATGTGTATGCATCTACATGAAAGACACCAGGCCCAAATAAAATTCACACCAAAAAGGTTAAAAGTTTAACCCAACCCCTTGAGGGTACGGTGCGCACATGTGTTTGCTTTAATTGCACTCATTGGTAATGCGCGCTTAATTACGCCTATTTTAGTGCGCTTTTGGATAATCTTCAGTGAAAGTGCGTTGCCCTTTGTAGATAGTACCTCTATCTTCAGTAAAAGTGCGTTGCCCTTTGTAGATAGTACTACTATCTACAAAGGGCAACGAACTTTTTGCTTCTCCCATCAATGATGGGCAAACTATCTTTGATCACGTGATTTACTTATGACCAATCGTAGAGCAAGATTCTTAGTATGTGGAATATAATACCTTTTACATCGAGAGATATATATTCATGCCTATTTTAAAATTCATTCAAGTCCATCTACATGTACATGCATGATTAATGTGGAAAAAACAGTGTTTATGGTAAAATTGTACTGTATACACCCAATCGCTTTATGAAGCCCCACCTATATCCACTTATCCACCCCTCAAACCTTGTACATTCTAACATGGAACTGAACAGTAAAACAATTGTGGGTGAAATTGTATCCACCTATTCACACATGCAGCCACACCTACATCCACTGACCCTCCACCCACATCCCACCCCTTCGTTTCTTACAAAATGTGACCCTTATATTTGAACAGTTAAAGGAGAACTAAACCAAGCCCTTAAAGTCTCATAATCCTGTACAGAGTAATAGTATAGTATTAATGACTGCTTTGAGAGAAAAAGTTGTTTTTATACGCTCAAGGGAAGGTTAGAATTGTGTTAGAATTGTGCTAATAGTTATTTTTTAATGACGTGATAGCATGTTAGTTTCACTGCTTTGGAATTGATTGTGATTTCAGTTTATTACCTGTACATGTAAATCTCATTTAAAAAATCTGAAATCATTGTTCCTGAACTTTGTTTGTCTGAACTAGGGAGTATGGCAGTGAAATACATGTATATATGGTTTATGAGGTTTAAACTTCCCACATCTATTTCTTCTTTTATTTTGTAATAAGAAAATGAATAACTGGCTTGTTTATGGTGCTTTAAGTGGTTGATGTACATGCTGTGATGTCATGATGTCTGTATATAATAAAAGTTCATACAGTTGTAAAAAGAAATAGAGAAAATGCCAGTGAGAAAAGATGTCCCCTGAAAAGGATGGGATGGACTTGAATGGAATATATCCTGTTTTGTGTCTCATTGTATTTCCCATTCTAAAGTTATGCCAGTTGATTTAGATGGTTCCTAGTTGAATAAGTGAGGCATAAAGATTGATACACAAACTTATACTTAAAAGAGTTTTTTCTTTATCTTCTTACAATTTAGTGCCCTCGCAAGTTACTGACCTTGCAGAATCAGGAGCAACCAATGATTCAGTCTCAGCAACATGGACCAAGCCGGATGGTGTGGTCAGTAGCTACAATGTGACCTGTCCAGATGGGTCCAACCAGACAGTATCCGAAAAAAATGATAACAGTACACGCATTGTGACATGTTCTGATCTACCATCTCCAGGACCTGGGGAAAACCACACTATAACGGTTGTAACACTGAGTGATAATAAAGCTAGTGATCCAGCTACAGTTACCATAACTGCTTGTGAGTTGATTATTCATTTGGTAAAATTAAGAATTTAATACCTTTTACATCGAGAGATATATATTCATGCCTATCTTAAAATTTCATTCAAGTCCATCTACATGTACATGCATGATTAATGTGGAAAAAACAGTGTTTATGGTAAAATTGTACTGTATACACCCAATCGCTTATGAAGCCCCACCTATATCCACTTATCCACCCCTCAAACCTTGTACATTCTAACATGGAACTGAACAGTAAAACAATTGTGGGTGAAATTGTATCCACCTATTCACACATGCAGCCACACCTACATCCTCTGACCATCAACAAACCCACCCACATCCCACCCCTTCACATCTTACAAAATGTGACACTTATATTTGAACAGTTAAAGGAGAACTAAACCAAGCCCTTAAAGTCTCATAATCCTGTACAGAGTAATAGTAAAATATTTTTGATACGAAAACTCGCTCATTCTAGCCTTCAGATGTGGTTTTATTAACTATTTAATATGACACGCGCCGTCTGTTCTTGTACTAAATAGAGAATCCAGAGATGCCAACCAGTACGATTAAATCGTATTTAGTACGATGATAAGAGTAAAATATGATAATACGATATCACCTCTCAAAATATGATTTTTCACCTTAAAAAAAAAAAAAAAAAACGTGGAATCGCATAGAAACATTTACAAGTAAATATCAGCAACCCCAACAAACAATTTACTTTACAATTTTCTCATTAAATTTTAATGAAACAGCAAACATTTAACTTGACCGTTCTTAGCAGTAAAACATTTTTCTGAAATGTTACTGGCCCAGGGCCAATGTGCCAGTGGTTGTGTCGAGTTTTTGTGAAAATTTGATTTTTCTCTCCAAAATCTAATTTTTTATGATATTCAGTATTTTTTTGTGTGTTAAGAGGTTTTCATCTCTGGGAATCGCCATTTTCACGGCCTAAGCCTGAACCCCTGCTGAGTTGTGACGTGTCAGCGGGTAACTGCATTAGGGATTGTATATTCATGTGTGTACTTATCGCAAAGAAGATGGTGTACTGCCAAGCGTTTGGGTTTAAAAATGCCTCCGGGAAAGGACTCTAAGGAAAAGCAACCAGAATCGTTTAGGCAATGAAAGGGCTGCGATTAAAGTTGAAAATTCTTAAAAAAACAGCTACAAACACAGCCATCATGATGTGATCTATATACTTGTGTACAAGTGATTTGTGTACATAGGTATACGATTTTTGTACATTGCTGCAGTGGGTGCTCGATTTGAAGATCGGCAAATTTCTCATTTTCGTTATGTCTATTTCGAATATATCAAACTAAAATAATTCATCAAAAAATAAATAACTGGTATTAAAAAAAAATTATTGATAGTAAAGTCATAAATTCTCTAAAATTGACAAAAAATTTCTAACAGAAATTAAATAATGCGACCATAAGTATTGATCGGGTCTTTAACCAGCCATCCTAGGTGCGTACGTTACTCTGCTCATACGTCACATGCCCACGATCGGTGGCAGCACTTTTGAAACAATGGCTACTACACATTTGGCAATTCAGCTATCATACTCAAGGCCCTAAAATTTTACTAATTTTCTTTCTTTTAGTGAATCTTTCATATGTGGCTCTTAGGGGTATGTAGGAAGTTATTAACACCCATTTAGATCGCAAATTGATGTAGTTTGGGTTTAGTTCTCCTTTAAGTGTTAAATGCACAGACACACCTACACACTCCCATACTCAATTCTTTTGAATAGTTGTTAATGTAAGTTAAGTTAACTCTGTGCCACTGTCACGAACCATGACTGTGTATAATATTAAAACTGAATGTGTCAAATTTGATTTCATGAATCATTTTCTTGATTTCATACTATGCGCAGTTCCGAACAGTGTGGTTCTAAGAGAAGATGGAGTGACAACCAGACAGATAACTGTGCAATGGGTTGATCCTGTGGGAGAAGAAGATTCCTTCATTGTAGACTGTGGTGATGATGGTAGCAATGACATCACCCTCTTCCCTGGTGATGCAACAGACAATACTTTTGAAGCAACTTGTAACACATCGGCGGCTGGAGCTCCCTATGACATCACTGTGACCAGCGTGAGTGGGGATAAAGAGAGCCCTGTCACCGGGACTTTTACAGCAGCAAGTAAGTACTGATAACTCTTTTAAAAGTAGGTTCCCAGTAACAAGACAAGCTTATCTACAACGAGTTGTTCAAAGACATGCCTGTGTTTTTTTTTTACAACCAAGTAGCTCATATGTACAAGTGCTGTCATCAACAAGCCTTTTGCTGATGTTTGATCCTTTGACCAAATACACCATCATTGAGCTCTAACTGATAGTCACACCATGCTTCTGGTTGGTGGTCCTGTAATGCCTGGTCGAATATTGAAATATAGCAGGCTGTTTATGAACTAAGACAAAATAATTGAAGGATCACTACTCTACCAATAACTGTCAAACTTTTTTGGAGATTCTGGGACCAAGTACTATTCCAGGAAGAGGTACAAGAATTATCCATTAAGAAGTTTTGTGGGCACTGTTATGGCAGGAGAATTTGATATTGGCATGTCAGCAGTGAAGATCTGTGCTGACAATTTTAATTGTACTGTGGTTCATAGAAGAAGAAGACAATTTAAGTCACATAGATTTTTATTTTTTATTGACCCATTAACAATTGTTTTTTCATGGTACCCATAGGCTGTGATACAAGATCCACTGGTTTTCCATAGCCATGGGATAAGAAAGCTATCATATACTAGCATGTAAATATAGAGAAGAAAAGGAGTAAGATGCAGCTGAGATTATAGCTCATGGAGACGGTTTTGAGGAACCAGTAATTCAGAGAATAAATTGTTGATTTAAAAAAAAGGCTGGCTAAGTGTACACCAATTTGGTTTGTAATCATACAACCCAATTCTATATTCTCTTCAAAACAAATTCCATTGTACTCGGGTGACATAAATTTCCTTTGGCAAGACATTGATCTTCATTTGCCACACTCAACCCAGGTGATGTAAATGGGTACCTGGCAGGAATGAATTCCTTGAAATGCTAGAGTGCTGTAATGGCAGCCTTGCTAAAGCTAGGGTAATAATCAGGAGTGCTATACAAGAACCCAATATTATTATTATTATTATCTTCATACTCTTTAGCTCCAGATGGCGTGACTTTTGAAGAAGGTTCAGCAAGCACAACGGCCGTTACTGTCACCTGGATTGCATTAGCCAGAGCTGATGGGTTCAGAGTTAACTGCTCTGAGGGCACCCCATCCCATGAGGGCACCCCATCTCCTGACTCTCCCCTTCCTGGTTCAGCTACTGAGGTGACTTGTAATGGAGTCACACCAGGGGGCAATCATTCAGTTAGTGTTATCACCCTGGAAAACAATGGAGAGAGTCCAGCCGCGGTCATGTATGTCGTTGCAGGTAAGTTGATCTTTCATGTTTACTAAATTAATTAGTATCAGTGTCGTTGTTTAGTGTCCATCTTTCCCACGCTGTTGGGTTAGACGTTTCAAATCCCTTATAGCTTCTCTCCTAGCATTCCGGCCTTCAGCATCCACCTGGGTGAGAACAGGTGCTCTTCTGTCTTATTTTTGTTTCTCCTTCCAGGTTTTGTGATGGTCTTCCACAGAATTTTCAGTGACAACCTGAAAATTCATTGCTACATGTATTCATTACTGGAAGTTTTTGTTAAATGGTCATAGTAAAGTAGTATATGAAAAGTTTGACAAGTTCACTTGTGATTTATTTGCTTTTGTTCTTCGTAATTTTTATGTTTTTATCTGTAGATTGTCTCAATTTGATATATTTACATGTTTTATTTGTATGTTTACCTTAAATGATACCTATTTCCGAGAAATAGCTTCAGTTATTCTGAGAGATTTATTGTATTTTTTCCCATTAATCTTCATGATTCCCCACCAAATTGTATAAAAGAGATATAAAGAGAATAATGTACATCAGCAGGACATGGGCATCACCATTTTCTTGATAACGTTCCGTACTATGCAAAGTCATTAATCAACTATTATGCATTCAAATTTATGGATGCTTCCTTCCCAGGTTTGTGTGGTTGTGATGCATTCCATCCACCTGTTTTTATCCTTTGTATTACAATTGCCAGAAAGCAAAATAATTTTACCTTTTCATCTGTGATTTTCCCTCAGTGTAAAGTAAAGTTTTTGTTATCAATTTGTTTAATAAATCCAACTGATGCTTGGTGCATGATACACGTTTGTCTGGTACGTCACATTATTAAGAAGATGGCTGCGCCTATGTCATGCTAAAAGGCATATTTCTTCCAGGCCATTAATCGTACTTTGTTTTTATTCTTGCATTTAGCTTTTCCTTTTTAATCTGATTGGAAACACATCGTCTGGAGCCAGAAGGGCACAAGTCATGTAATTGCGCACAGATTTAATCCCTTTTGGCTCCAGACTGACGATATTATGTTTCATCTGAAAAAGTACTGCAAGCTCATATGATAACATTGTGTGTTCCTGCATCATATTAGTATACATGCTTGTACACTATATTTTACATTGTACATGGTTAATGAATTCACAATTCTTCTGTTCAGAGTCTCCTTTTAGAGGCATTTTTTATTGTCTTTTCATCCAGAATACTTGGAATTTCATATTCTACATTTACATGATCAGAATGGTCAAGGATCACAGAAAATTTGAGTCCATTTCTTATGCAATACATCGTACCTTTCACGAATACGAATTTTTTTAGAAACAAATGTTCTTATGAAAGAGGACATGGATTTCTTAAGCCAAATATGCCTTTCTGTGTGTGCCACAAGGCCCTACAATTGGACCTATGCTATTTCCAAATACAAGGTTAAACAATAAGGCTACCAGATCCAATGCCAGGTTCAACCTGTTGTTTTTTTGTATATTAAGTGCAAGCCAAAGTTGTTTGCTATAATCTAAACTTGAATCCATGTTGTTGACATGCAGTACCTCTAAGTGCTGACCTCGCTGCTGATACCTCGACAATAAACTCTGTCAGTGCCATGTGGCCCTATCCTGGAGGATTGGTGGACATCTTTGAGGTGAACTGCAGCAATGGTACAGAGAGGAACGCGACATTGGCTGCTAATGAAGATCTTAATTCTAGCTATGTAGTTAGTTGTGATGGTGTGTGGAATCCTGGAGACAATTACTCCATGGTTGTTACAAGTCTGAGCAATGGAGAGGAAAATTCTGCTAGCATCATACTAACAGCTTGTAAGTGATAACATCAGCTGACAATAAGAAAAGAACATTTTTTTAAACGATAATTACAACATTCTGTATATTTGTTTATTGAATCTTGTCAAATTTTAACGTCCTCATTTTGTTTCGAAATACATTTAAAAGAAGTTGTTGAAAAGGGTACAAAAATGAAGTGTAAGAATTTTTCCAATAGTTAAGTTTAACACCAAAATAGAAATTTCTGTTTAAATTCCTTTTTCAGCAGTGAAATCCCATACAGTGTACATGTACAGTATAGAACAATGCTGTCTATGATGTAATTTTATGAAGCAAAAAAGGGATTATTACTATAACTTACTAGGTATTTAACACTGGTGACTTGAATTATTTAAATGTATCACTTGTAATACCCGTAGATGTACAGTATGCTCAGATTTTTCACTAGTTAGTTGAAAACTGCAGTGTTTAGTTTTCTCTGTGATCATTTAAAACCAATTTCAATTTTCTTTGATTAGAAAAACTCCTTGTATTCTGCTGATTCATTCAATTTTCAATGAAGTCTGCTCAAGCATTTAATTTTCAATGAAGCTAAATGTAAAATGTAGTTCCATTTCATAAAAAGCTGTTTTACAAAGAAGTGATCAAGAGTGTTTTTTCGTGAACGTCCACCTCTAGTACCTGTTAGTGTAAACCTGACAGCCGGGGGTTCTACAACCAGCTCCGTGACTGCAACCTGGGATATTCCTGGAGGCATAGTGGACGAATTTGAAGTTGAATGCAGTAATGGTACTGCAAGTACCCCTGGTAATGGTTCGGACCAGGATTATTTAGCCTCCTGTGACGATGTAGACTCTCCTGGAGATAATTACACTATGACGGTCAAGAGTCTGAGTAACACACAGAGAAATTCAGCTACAATTGTATTGACAGCCTGTAAGTGAATGACCCTTATAAGCTATTCTGCGATTACCACCATGGCCATTTCACTCTTCTTGGACGTACATTACATGTACATTGCACTGCACCAACCATTGGGACGGTACAAGAAAATGGATAAAACTCTACTATTTATATTACATTTCATGGTCTCATTATGGCTGTCATGAGTCTGAGTAGCATGCAGAGAAATTAAGCTACAGTTGAAGCTACAGCTTATAAGTGATAGACTGATGTAAGCTATTCTGCAATTACCACCATGGCCATTTCACTCTCTTGGACCTACGTTACATGTACGTTGCACTGCACAAACCATGGAGACGATACAAGAAAATGGATAAAACTCTGCAATTCATCTCACATTTCTTGGTTTCATTTTTGATGTAATAGAGTTATGGCCTCTTAAATCAGTTTCAATTAAGTTTTTTTTTCATCAATCAAATTATTTTGACATTGTACATCATTTGAATCATTGGGAGCTTCACTGCTGGCACGTTACTGTCTCCATACCGGTATTTGTTTTAAGGATAGTGTGTATGGAATATGGAAGTGTTTATGGTTTTGCCTTCATTTACAATATACTTTTGCTACTTGTAATGGTATTCATTCATTAAACCTGTACGTACATGTATGTTGTACTTGTATTTCATTAAACTGTTACTGTTACTGTTAATGATTGACACCAGAACTGTTTTTAGAAATATCCAAACAAAAACTCTTTACTTGGCAATATGTTCAATAGCTCAAATTACTTAATAAGTTTTTGTTCTTTATTTTAGGGTTAAAGGAAATCAAACAGTATATATTCATTATATTCATCCTCTTCATATATATATATATATATATATATATAAATGTGATTCAAATGATGTAGCAACAAACAAATATACCAGTGTAATCAATTTGTAGGAAAAAACATGATCAACTTAGCCACACAAATGCCAGTGATTAATGATTTAAAGTAAGAAAACATTCCCCCAAAATTCTATTTCATTTGACGCATGTATGTATTTATTTATTTGTGAATTTTTTAATATTTTATATTTGTAGTGCCTGAATCAGTCAGCTTGAATGAGGCGATAGACATGGTAACCACTACCACCATTACTGCATCATGGACCAAGCCCAATGGTATAGTGGATTACTATGAAGTCTCCTGTTCCAATGGAGACCCTTCACCAGTCATGGGCAACCCCTCAGGCAACCTGACAGCATCTTGTACTGGGCTATCAACTCCTGGAGACGACTATACTATCTCTGTGACGTCGGTCAGTAATGGTCAACGTAGTGAGACAGACACTATCACAATCACTGCGTGTAAGTTTATCCCATGAATGTTAGAAAATCCAGGGGGAGGGGAGGTGTGCGTCGGAAACCTCTGAACCCATACCCAATTTCAAGGGTCATTTGAGGGGGTATAAATGGGTACCCATTATTAGGGAGTTCCATATAAAAAGGAATTATTTTTTGCATCTGGGATCTACCGTTTAGTAAAAACATTGGAAATGGGTGAGGTATAATTCTTAAAGAAAAAATGTTACCCATGATTAAGGTCGATATCTAAAAGTAGGGCAATTTGAAGGGATTTTTTATATACAAAATCATACCCCATACTTTGGGATTTTTTTTTCTCATAAAAAATGCCCCATTAGAGCTGCACATTCGTGTATTAGGGGTGTGTAGGCTGTAGCGTATCCACACAGTCCCTGTAGGTTTTACATGTGTGTAGTGCAGCATGCCATTTTTAGAAGTTACATTGCAGGATGGTTTCTAAATTATTTCAACCTTTTTTGGTGTTTTACCAAATAGGGGCGTTGTCAATCACCAGGATTAGAGTTCAGTTTTCATGGCCAATAAGCCTTATGTAATGCTCGGCATTTTCCACCAATCGCCCTATATGGTAAAGTCATTATCTTACACTTCCCTCTCCAAAGACTCTGAGAGACTAGGGGATATTTCCTGATGGGAATCCAGTTTTACTGTGTGCTAAACTTGTACACCCATTACTGATATTTCCACCAAGTCGGGTGTCGGCAAATTATGAACTACTGCTCATGGAATCTGACTACCATCTCTCTTTAACTCTTACACTGCCATGACATGTAGGTCTAGAAACAATTAGACCATCATACACAGATAGTAAGACAATTTTCTTTTTTTATAATTGTCTGTGTTTACAATGTTCCTTGTGATAAAAGTAGTGTTCTGTACAAACAGTCGTCGAAATCTATAAACTATATGTTTGTCAAATTTCAAGAAAAAACAACAATCTGTTCCAGGCCTGAACAATATGAGATGCAGCATTGAAATTAGGGCAGTTAAAATATTCAAATACATTGAAGAGGTTTACATTAAGTAATCAACATAGTTTTGCAGAAATCACAAAGATTTGATATGTATTTTTATGTTATAAATAGACATCTGTAAATCAGTGTAATAAACGAAAGTACCTGTCATGGTTTTTGATTAAATGATTTCTTTAAAATAGTACCAGAGGCCGTTGAACTTTCCGAGGGTGAGTCTAACACAACAGTCATCTCAGCTACATGGACAGTCCCTAACAGTGTGGTGGATACCTTCAATATCACATGCTCCGATGGTACTGCATCCCCGCCATCTATTTCTGTGGACAGCAGTCAAGCCGGGCAGCAGCTGACGGCTTACTGCGTAGGGTTACCCACATCTGGAGAACAGTACGACCTCTCGGTGGTTGCTATTAGCAAAGAGAAGCTGAGCGCCGTCAGCACCGTTGGAGTCTTTGCACGTAAGTTGAATAGACAGTGCAGATGATAAGACATTGAAACCTCGTAAAAAGACCATCAAATCTTACGGTGTACCAAGGTACATGTACCGGTACATGTACAATACATGCACTTTTAAAAGTTCTTGCTCTTTTTTGTAATCAGTAGTATGTTTGAGAAACTTAAATGTTTAGAATGCGATGTACACTGTATGAATATTTTATCATTATTATTATTATTCTCATTAGTACATTTGAATTATTATTTTTATTATTATTATTATTATTATTATTGTTACTTTTAATAACAAACATTTAGTGCCCCTTGGAGTTGACCTCGAGGAAGGACCTTCGACCCTGACATCAGTTAGCGCATCCTGGATGAGGCAGAATGACACCGTAGAGAGTTACAGCATCACGTGTAGCCATGGAGACGCATTCCCATCCACCATCGAAGACACCAATCAAGAATCATTCTCAGCAGCCTGTGTGAACCTGACAGGACCAGGAGCGACCTATAGCATGAATGTTTTCAGTGAAGTGGGCACAGACTCATCCTCTAACGGCACAAGAGCTTCGAGTCTTATCAATCTGGTTGCAGGTTTGTATTATCTAGTAAAACAGGGCCTGCCTTATAAAGAGTTGTGATCGATCCGGATCAATCGCAAGTCCTCCAATCAGTTGGAAGTTTGCAGTCTCTTATCTCTTTAATATGTCCTTAGTTGGGATTGATATCGATTGCAAATTAGTTGCAATTGATATAAACTCTCTATAAGACGAGGCCCTGTTGTGGATTTTGACACTACAGTGAAACCTGATTCAGCGACCACCTGTATAGAAAGACCACACATTCTGTTTCCCTTGAATACTTTTTCTCATTGGAACATGTACTAAAACAAACCCCTACAGAAAGACCACCTGCCTATAATTATGGTACTGTACGTGTTTCGGTTGGTTAACTCATATCCTGCCATAAGGCCGCACGCACACTTCTGTTATAGTGCTTTGTACACACGGGTGAGCTATCGATTGGCTGCTTAATTCGTGCGAGCGAGCTACTGCTTCGCTGCTTCATGCATGTTTGCTTGCATTCGTAATAGCAGTTATTGTTCATGCCCATTGTACTGTACTGAGTGCTTAGCACCGCTATTGATTTTAACATTGCGTGCATCAGATTATCTCAAAATAAACTTGGCACAGGGAGATTTGTGGCTTGGCACAATGGGGATTAGCCCTGTGGCTCAGGGCTGTATTCATTATGGCAGGATAAGAGATAACTGGTAAAGCACTTGTTTTTGTTATCCTTTAATTGCAGTGCCTGCATCGGTTGAAAGCATTGCTGTCACTGAACCCACCACAACTACTGTTGATGTACAGTGGAATCTCACGCAGTGCTCAGAGTGCGTCTACAACTATTTCCTGTTGACCTTTCAACCCGACAGTCAGGAAGCAATCAGAGTAGATTACATGGCTGGTGTTAATGAGTATTCTTCTCAAGTGTCGGGTTTAATACAGGGGAGGAGCTATAACTTCACTGTGGTGTCTGTGAGTGGGGTTGGTGTTGAAGACGCGACACTAAAGACTAGCGAGGAGAAGAGTGTGGATCAGAGAACAGGTAATTAAGGATAGTAGTAAAAGAAGTAATAGTGATATTTAGGAAATCAATTTATTTTAATTCATGATGAAAAAGAAGGTAGCTAGAGGAAAACAGAAAGGGCCATGATACGGAAGATGAGTGGTGTGAAACTGTCCAATAGAAAGAACCCAACGGAGCTCATGGAAAGGCTGCGTCTGGAATAAACTGTGGTTGAAGTGGTAAAGAGAAAGGAATTGACAGGAATGGGTCATGTGTTGTGGAGGGAAGATGATGAACCTGTGAAAAGAGCGTGGGAGCATGGGATCTGGAAATGGATGGCATAACAGGGAAAGGAAGACCGAATATTTTATGGAAAGATATGGTGACAAAAGAAAAGCAGTAAGGTTGGTCAAAATAAGGATGCTCGAGACAAGAGGAAGTGGAGGGAGGAAGTGTCATTCTTATAAGAGGGAAAATGATGATGGTGATGATGATAATACATGTAATACTTCTACTACTAATTTATGTTTAGGGTTGGGGGTTAGGGTTAGGTATAGTGTTGGGTCCAGAGTTTAAGTTAGAAATTTGGTTACCGTAGTTCAAGAAATTGATGCAGATGAATTGTCACAGGTACCCAGGAGATGCAGATAAGCGTCTTCATGGCAGCATAATTGACATCGTTCCTTACAATTTCCAAACAGTTCCTGCAACTCCATTTGGGTTGGTCATCGTGTCTAGCCAGCGGGAACTAAACCTGGAATGGGAGTATCAAGGAGATGCAGATGACTTTACCATCACAATCACACCCGACCATGGCAGAGCCGTGTTCAATGAAAACTTTACTCGACCGGCTGCAGAGATCACGGATCTGACCCCAGGGACAATTTATGACATTGCCATAGTAACCGTCAGTGGCAATGAGAGGAGTGAACCCATAACTGATACTGCCAGGACCGAACCTGATAGTGAGTTTTTAAAAAAATTACTTCCATATTTTTTTCTTCTCATGTATTAGTTAGAATGGTGTTTAATACATACCTGTAGGGTCAATTCCAGCGTAATGGACATAACATTCCGACCTATTTTGGGTTTTAAACAACATCAAAAATCCTAATACATACATGTACTTACTAAAGAGAATCCGAAACATTTGACTATTATTGACATTTCCAGCAAGTTTCACAGTATAGTAGCCCAAGATTGAAATGGACTCCTCGTAACCGTAATGATTGGACATGACACAAAATGGACAAAGATTTTTGTTGCCCCTGTGAACAGTTTTGAAAATTCTTTGAGTTTAAGGGTGCAATGAATATAATTAAGGCAATATTAGGATCCTTATTCATACTCTGAACATAAATATACGTTGTTAACTATTAGATTACACATTTTCTTGCCAGAGCTGTAAAAAAAGTACATGCTACTTTTAAAACCCCTATAACTTTGTTTAAACATGTTCAGTGGGTTATTAAAATAACTTATCCCTAATATTCGATCCCTTCATCGTGATTTACCATGACAAAAAAACATCAAATCTGAAGCGCTTGTGGCATGAAATAATGAGAACCAAAGATGAGATGTTATGATAAAAATTATGGCCATATTTTGGCCCAAGAGTGGGTTTTTTTCAAAGAACTTCACGCTTTAAAGTATGTTTACCTCAATCCTATTGATTTACCACTCAACTTTTGGGGAGATATCGCCCAAATCATATTTTTTAGCAAGTGAACATTTTCTGTGGAATTGCCCATTTTGGAAACAATGTTAGGCTCTGATATGCAAAGTTAAATCTTGATTTTTAATGTATTTGGTTTTGTGATTTTTTATCATTTTAGAGCCAAGTCCTGTAGGCAACCCTCAAGCAGAAGTAGTAGATAAGAATACAATCACCTTGACTTATGAGAGTCCAGATGAGCCTAATGGTAATATCACGTCTAATGTGATAAGCTACATTGGTACAAGAGATGTAAGTACATTTTACAGAGGTGATGATGATGATGATGATAATGATAATGATAATAATGACAATATTACATATCATTATTTTCATAATAGTTATTATTATTATTATTATATTAATAATAATAATAATAATATTAATATCAATAATAGCAATAATGATAATGATGATACATATACATGAACAAATAAAGATAAAAATTATAATTATAGTGCATGTAGTGGTATTATTAGTTGTAGTAGTTGTAGTAATAGTAATGATGATAATAATAAAAACAATAATAATCATCATAATCATAATCATAATAACAACAATAACTGAATATAATTATATATATATATATATATATATACAATTAAATGTTATGCAATTGATTCCAGTACTCATGCAGATAATTAAATGAATTCATTTGCATGGATCATTTGTATAATATGTTGAATTTAATTCTACTTTTGTCACCCACGTACAGGACAACCCTAGTCATGAATTCAGCAAAGTTTATAGTCCCCCGGTCCTGACAGTTACATACGATGATCTGTATCCTGGGTTCTCTTATACATTTACGGTGAGTAATAAATAATAACTAAATATTGGCCTTATTTACCCATGGTAGCCACATCGGTATTAATACTGCTTTTTTTCTGCAAGCCCTGCAATTATTATTACTCCAGCATTGCCAGGTACCTCCACCTTGGTGGAGAGGGACAGATGAGGGCAAAACACCTCGTCCAAGGATGTAAAAACCAAGCAGCGATCGAACGCAGGACATCTCATATGAGATGCACATTAGTGATAATTATTTTTTAGTGATAAACTGATAAATTGACAGTTATTTGCTGAATGACTAATAGAGAGTGATAACTGTTGAATAGATAAAACAAACAACTTTAAAAAATAATAATAGTAAAATATTAATGATAATAATAATAATAGTGGGTTCTTGTATAGCGTTCATGTCTGTCAAACCTGACACTCCTGGCGTTCTGCAATTATTACTACGGCTTAAGCATGGTGACATGATGGCGCCCTAGCAAATACACTGCAATAACAAAGCCAAACAAATTTCTCTGTATTTCTCTATCAGATAATAGCAGTGAATGACGGACCTTTTGAAAGTGAACCAGTTTCAACTGCACCAGTGGAAACGCCACAAGAAGGTACGTGTTTTGGTGTCATATCTCTAAAGACTAAATACTAGAAAAGGTTGAGTTCTGGTGAAGGTGAAAATTGTCTGAGTAAGCTTTGTCATTCTTTTAAATCAGCTTTGAAGAGTATCGTGGAAGAAATGTCCTCAGAAAAAATATTGGTCTTCAACTGCCCTCATATTTGAAATATGAAGAGGAACAGCTGAAAAGTTTCACCCGAAATTTCATACTGTATATTTGTGTAGTTCCATATACACATTCCTGTGTGCAGAGCATGCAGCTTTCAGCAAATATGTTCTTTTCAATATCTTACACCAATCATTTTGCACTACCTATGTAATCATCATTACCCAATTATTTTCAGAAATTTCTTTCACAGTATAATTAATTGAACAGGGGGGTGTTTCACAAAGATCCTAAGTTGGACTTAACAATTATGGAAAGCCGTTGTCATCTTTAAAAATGTTTTGTAAAAGTTATTTTAAAAGGCATAAAAATGTTGTTTCAAATCATTCATATTTTCTATTATCAAGGAGATTTTATGTTCTTGATGTGGAATTTATGAAAAGTCTAAAATACTTTTTTTTGTTGCTTTTGAATATATGTTATTTTAAGGCTACAAATGGCTCTCCATAATGTTAAAGTCCAACTTAGAGTTAAGTTCGACTTAGGATCTTTGTGAAACACCCCCCTGGACTCAACTGTTATCTTTAACCAAACATGGACATTTTTCTCTCCCTTTGTAGTTGTACATGTACATGTACTTCCGCTCGCCCCAATCATCTGGGTAGCACTTTTCCATCCCTTTCTGACCTGAGCTTTTTTCTTAATTTCATCATATGTTACATCACCTTTCATGTCAGACTCTATCCCAGGGCTGAGGCTACAAATACACACACACCTCTTGCCCCTCTTGCCTTTCATTATCCCTTTTTACTGGGTCTTTAGCAGGTTGGTTACCCTGGAAATTGTACATGTGTCATGTTTATCTTTTAATCCATTTTCTGATTGTTTCCATTTCTAATTTCACTCTTGTCAGAACTTCATTATTAGTGAGTCTATTCCACAAAACAATTCCTTACCCTCTTCTCTACAATGGTTTTTCAAGACTCATTCATTGTGGGGTTTACTTTGTTTTGTTATAAATATGATGTGAGTGTATAACGCTTCACATTTTGTATCTTTTCACACAGAGAAAAGTGAATACCCAGTATGCATTGGAACTTTCTTGCACGCAATTGGCAATTCATTTACACATTAAAAACAAATTTAACAGTTTTACTTCTTCATATCTGAACGAACCTTTAGGCATTCTTTCTTTATTTCTCTTGGTGGTTCTAGTTACTGAGCTATACTAAACATTCTGACATGTTTCTCTAATCGCTAGCAGGAAGTTAATTATCATCATTGCAAAGAGGAAGAACATAGATCCTGCCAGTGTATTGTATGCAGAAACAGTTCTGCAAACTGGCTGAGTGGTCACATGTAGAATTGTTCCAGAGATGTCTCTTTTCTTCTTACTTCAACTCCTCTCTAATCTAGACATGCAGGTAAAGTACATGTAGAAACATTCCTGAGATCTGACTGAGTGGATACATGTAGAATTGTTCCAGAGATGTCTCTTTTCTTCTCACCTCAATTCTTCTCTTAATCTAGAACTGCAGGTAAACTACATGTAGAAATAGTTCTGCAAACTGGCTGAGTGGCCACATCTAGTATTGTTCCAGAGAGGCAATACTAAACGTGAAGTGCCACTGCATCACTGCTCGTGGCTAGCGATCACCGATTGGAGTCACGTTCTTGTTGCAGTGGAGACAAGATATTCCTTTGATTCTCTAGATCCTAATCATTTCATTCATAAAACATGTGCACATGATTTGTCAATGTCATCAGATCCTTCATTGTTGATACCAATTGTTGATACCACAAGGTGTTTTGGATAGTTTTTTTTACATCTGACATTTTTGAACGACAGAGCCATCCCCAGTTCCGGAAGACTATCCCTATGAAGCCAATACAGTTTTCTCTGAGACCTCTACCACCTCGTTCGCTGTGGTGCTTCCAGACGATTTATTCAGCCATGACAACGGTGAACTTTTGAGCTTCGCTATCATCATCACAAAGGAAGGTGAGTTTGGTATAGATGGGTCATGAGACATACTCTGAAAACATCTTCCTTAACAAACCAAAGTCTTAACTTCTAATTACAATCATATTATCCAGTTCAACCCTGTGCCAAATACTATATATGTACAGTTAACAACCAAAAGTATTCATACCCTTTAACTCATATCCTGCCATGAGACTGCTAGCACGCTATTGTTATAGTGCTCTGTGCACGCGAGCGCGCTATCGATTGAATGCCACGTTCATGCTAGCGAGCCACTGCTACTCTGCTTTGTGCACGCAAGGGCGCATATGTAATAACAGTCATTGTTCATGCCCATTGCACCGTGCTGAGTACTTTTGCAGCGCTATTGAAAGTACCATCGCGTGCATCAGATTATCGGCTTTGGATTGTGCATCTTTGTATACAACAGTCAGATTGGATTTTCTCGAGTAATTTAGCGATTTGTTTTTTGTAAAGATTTGAATAACACGCGCTTGAACCAACCTTAAAATTAACTTGGCACACAGGAGATTTGTGGCTGGCACAATAGGGATTAGCACTGTGGCACTGGGTGCATTGTACGGGTGGCAGCTTAAGAGTTAATACCAAGTTTTGTACTTTGTTGAAGTATGTGAAAATTTGATTTGTCCCAATTTATGTTTCTCGAGAATGTGACATATTAAATCACACATCTAAAGTATTTTAAAAAGGCCCTTATTTAACCAGTCCACCTTTCATTCTTGAGTTACAAAAAAAAATACATCCAATTTACAAAGGATATGAATAATTGAGTCGTTAACTGTACATGTATTGTATACCGTAAATCTCCGTGTATAAGGCGCACCTGTGTATAAGGCGCACCCCTATTTTGGGGAAAAAAAAAAAAAAAAAAAAAAAAAAAAAAAAAAAAAATCATTTTTTTTTTTGGTTGTTGTTGTTTTGTTGCCGAAAACCCACGCGGGGAAGGACCTTCATTTTACATCGAGGTGCAGTTGAAGGCGCTGATTTGTGCTTGTGAACTTGTCACAAATAATAGTAACAATGTCGTTTTTAGAAGAGTGTGTAAGATCATTAATGTAAATTAAAAACAAAAGAGTACATATGGTACCAATGGTGCACCTTGTGGAACACTATTGCTATACAAAAAAATATTTGAGGAATTATTATTATAAACTACATTTTGAGATCTATTAGAAAGATTACTTTAAAACCAAGATGATAGACAAATTTGAGTGTTGTTGTAGTTTCCGAGTGGTGAGTCAACACACTGATTACTGAGCTGGGAGACATTGCCAGGCATAGCGCCATAAATCGAAACTAAAAAAAAAAAAAAAAAAAAAAAAAAAAAACTTTTTTTTTCTGTACCTGTGCATAAGGCGCACCCCCGACTTTCAAATTTTTTCGGCGGCAAAAAAGTGCGCCTTATACACGGAGATTTACGGTATATATTTACCTGTACATGTATCGCCCTTGTTCTGCTTTCGGTTGTTGCAAAACCAACCTAGTGAAGCAGGGGCATCGTGAGAATGATGACACCATGTGCATGTGTGGAGAGGAGCGGACTATGCATCATCTCATAGCCTGCCCACATCTACCAGCGCTGTAGAAGAAACAATTATTATGATAATGAAATGTATTATTATATTTCCGTATCTCACAATTCACTGATCTGTGAGTATGTGTAAGGGCCATTGTTATACTTTTTGTGTACCTCAACAATATCGCTGTGCATTTCATTCACAATTTGCATAGAGCCAATATGGCATGAATTATGAAATAACTGAGTTTTACTTTCAGCTGTTCATTGCCAGATTTATTGATCAACGTATCAAATTTAAAAAAAAATGATAGGCTGTTTAATGTTAGACAATTACATGTATCTTGGACTAGGAAAACAAAATCTGCCAATACACCAGTTTACGGTTATGGGCGCCATTTTAATTTATGGGTAAACAAACCATTGACCTCTAGAGGTCAGTAGTTTACGCGTAAATCAAGATAGCTCCCATGCAATCACTGCCTGCGCTATGCGCTCACATCATATTTGCATGGGCGCCGTCTTAATTTACGAGTAAACTGACCTCTAGAGATCCGTGGTTTGTTTACCCGCAAGTTAAAATGGCGCCCATGTCAGCGCATGCGCACTGTTGTAACCGTAAACTGGTGTATTACAGTTATTTTCAGGATTAGATCTGAATATCCTTTTTTTTGTTGGATTCACACTGTATTTAAATGTTAAATGTACACATATGTTTTGAATCCTTTATTTAGCTAATGATCAAACTGTTGGCAGCACAGAACTGACTTACGACGAGGCCAGAGCTCAGAATGGGAATATGCCTGCTTACATCACAGCCATTGATATCCCATATCCATATCCACCGTCATTTGGTAAGAAGGTCAAAGGTCATGCTTGAAGGAAAAATCCACCTTGATATTTAGATGATTTTAAGAACAGCAGAAAATGAAGTGAAGCAGGTCATTGAAGTTTTGAATAAAAATTAGGAAAATTATGAGTATTTGAAGTTGAAATCAATCATACCCAAATTGGCAATGCCGTGACTTATGTTGCGAGTTCTTCTCTGTTCAGAAAATTTTACAAAATACCATTTTCTTAGTTGCTGATGAAGGATTTTTTTTGACAACTTGTAAAAGGCCACAATGTTGTAGAAATCATAACTGAAATCTTTCCCTCAAGTACAGTATTGTGGTAAACTATTACTTATTAGCAAAATTTCATATTATGACCCAAAAATAATTTTTGATTATTTCACAACTGGCACAACATTGAAATGTTTACACTTTGTGAAAGTTCTTGCCATGAAAATGGCTGGTGTTTATTAATTCACAAAATTTTCACATGGAAATTTGTGTGTGATCACACTATTTGCAATATAATTAACTAGGAAATCTAAAAATAGTTTGTGTTTAGAACTCTTAGAAAAATATTCAATTCAATTCAAAATGTTTTTCAATTTATTTTGGTTTATTTTTTTATTTTTTTTAACTTGCAACATAATGTTGAATTGGGCATGATTTACAATCAAAATGATAAAACATTCTTACAAGTTGAAAAGAATAATTACTATGAGTGATGGTTGAAAATAACATGGAAAGTTTAACATATGTAGAGACTAATTTTAAATACATGATGAAGAAAAACATATGTAGTCCTTAACATAATGATATAATTTTCTCATAAATATACTACAGAGGGTACAGACAGGGTGCTAATATTGTGATGGGGGTAATTATGAAGAAAACAAATTAATACTCTGCTGTACAACTTGTAACATTATTTGTTTACAAATGTATGATTGAAATGTACAAGCTGGAGATGAGAGAGAGAATAATAATTTACCAATTTTATGAGATTCATAAATCATAATTTGATATTAATATAATTTGATTGTATGTGGTATGTGATATATTCTTTACATATGTCTATCCAACAGGCTCTAATCGTAAAAGACGGGCAACGGAACCCTCGGCTACAGTAGTCATAGGTAATGGGACCTGTGCAGGTAGTCCAAAGGAATATTGCAATAGAGGTTTGGATGACGACACAGAATACTAGTGAGTATATCAATTTGTGGAGGTATAATTGTTTTGTTTAAAGATAGACTTGATTCCTGGACATGCAGTAAGATTGTGAAAGAAACTAAGCAGTTTGGAATGGTTGATAGTATACAGTGTACAGTGGTATTTTCCATCAAATTACCATTAACTACCATGATGTTCATGATAAATGTAATTTTGGTGACCAATACCACAATATACTACTGGTGGCCGAGGTATTATCCATGGTATTACCATGTCTTACCATGATAACCATGGCAAATGTAAAATCATGGAACAATATCGCAATAGACTAGTGATTACATGTGCCTCTATGCTGATTAATACTGCTAAAATTGGTTAAATTGAGTAGGATATTGCAATTACTTTACTTACATTTCTATAAGAAAACACATGTATTACACAGTCCTCTAAAAAGGAATCATGGTACTACCACAGTAACCATGGTACTTTCATGGTATTATCATGATAATCCATGGTACCAGCATGGTACTATCATGATAATCCATGGTACATGTACTAGTATGATATTTATGAATGCTCTGTCATGGATTGTGGGTAGCATCTTTGGAGACGGATTGTTCAACACAATACCTTGAGAGGAGTGAGAATGGTTGCCTGGTAGCTTCCTGAGGTGCTGCCATAAGTGAGAACATACTTGTAGAATACAATGAGTGCATGGATTTTTTTATTTGTAGTTGGTAAATCTGTATCAATTTGAAATGTTTTTTTCTTCCCGTTATTCAACAGCTATGCGTTCAGAGCATACAATGGCATGGGTAATGTGACATCCAGTACATTTGGACCTGTGAAAACAGGTGAGTTTCCTTTTAACACACAGCTATTTGCAATAATCTTCAGGTCTATATACTATCATATTTCCCCTTCAAATTACTACCAATTATTCTTATTTTCCACTTCTACATATTTTTAAAAAATTAGATACATGACATGAACCAATGTGAATGAAAAATGCTAAATTCTACCAAAAAAAATGCCCATTTGTACACAACAATAGTGATCATAAATTTCACACCGCATTGTCAATCTTAGAGAGTGTATTAAATGACGACAATGTATATACAATCAAATAGTTGTTCTTCAGGAATGGTTCAAAATTGGACTCAAAATTTTCTGTGATTTTTGCTTTCTGCTCATGTACAGTACACATTTTTTTTTTTTTGTTTTTTTTTTTTGGGGGGGGGTCTTTTATTTCCTCAATAAGGCCTACCTACATGTATATCATTGCATATTCTGGATAAACATATACATAAAGTTTGTAGTACTAGTATCAAAACTTATTTTCAACTTGGTACACACATGTACATGTACATGTATAGTTTGGGTTAACGATTACTGAAAATATCTTTCTTTCTTTTCAACACAATTTTAGTTAAAGACAACACAGCGGGGATTGCTGCTGGGGTATCCGTCTCACTGATCATCATCATCGTGGCTGTAGTGGTAGTTGTCGTGTTCTTAAAAAGAAGACAACCAAAGGAACCTTCACCACGCCCAAGGTAATAATATTTTTCTCTAATTTGTTTTTCTTGGTACTGATTTAAAAGATTTTCTTGTTTGCAACACAATTTGAAATCTGTGATTTATGATATTATGCATTTTAAGAAAGGCACGTTCTTGTGTTGTCAATAACTATCAAATCAAAAATAAAATCAAATCAAATATTTTGCTGAAACATTACATTTTAATATGATTACTTAAGACTAATTAATTTAAAAAGTTTTACTAGGCGTTGTGGTGTGCGTCTGTAATCTAGCTAACAATGGGAGTTACAAACTGATTCAGCCGAGGACGCAGGTTTGAAACTGAGTCACGTCTTTCGGATGGTGATGTTAAAAGTCGGTCCCCAGACGTAAATAATCATATCTGATTGGTACACCTCTGTAAAAACCCAATTACACACACACACATTTAACTTTGTAGGTAAATGTATGTGTAATTGAGTTCTACCTGTATTTTCATGAAATTCAAATGCAAGTACTGGTATTTTTCTTTCTTTTTTCAGTCTTGAAGGCAGAGAAAATCAAGGCTATGATGGACCTGATCATGAAATGCGACCAACACGAAGAAAAACCGGCGGCTCAATGCACAGGAAAAGTCATTCTAAGTGAGTATATTTGTCTTGCTTTTATTGGCAACTTATCGAGATCGAGTAGCATTTACATGTATTGTACACATTTTTTTTTTATAACATTTTTATTTTGCGAAAATGAAGAGAAATTACAAAACTAAAACTACAAAAACTAAAATTACAATGTACAGGACTACATAAAACTTAAATAATAATAATAATAATAATAGTAGTAATAATAATAATGATAATGATAATAATAATAATAATTGATGATGATAATGATAATCATTTTTTCCAAAAAAAATAGTTTTTCATCCTCTTTCATGTAATTATTTTATCATACATGTATTTTTTAATGTATCACACGATCATTGATTCCCAGTAACTTTTACAGTGCAATTGTATTTATCTTGAACCCTTCTTCTCCAGGCCCATCGTCTTGAATAAGTTTGAGGGGCATTATGGCCGGATGAAGGCTGATTCAGATTTCAGATTCACAGAGGAATATGATGTAAGTATGGAACTCTTACCCACTACCTAAATCAAATCATTTGTGTGAAGCTGGAATTTATCAATTCAACCTAAAAAAGCATTGTGTTGGGTAATGGTTAAAGGGGAAGTCCACCCTGAAATTAAGTTAGTTTTAATAGGAGTAGAAAAATGAGAGAAACGAGTCAGTGAAAGTTTGAGCAAATTCCGATTAAAAATAAGGAAGTTAGGATTTTTGAAGTTGTGATCAATCAAACACAAATTGGCAACTCTATGACGTATCATGCGAGCTCAACTTCCATTTGCTCAGTACTAAAAAAATCTAAAATTTTCATTTTCCCTCAGGAAAAATTTCAACCATACATGCACCCTAAATATAATAATTGCAAATATGTTTCTATACTCCCCCTGCAAGGAACAAATATATATTCCGTCATCAATAACGAAGAAAACATGATTTTATGGAATATTATGCACAAAGCAAATGAAGGAGAGCTCGTATAATAAGTCACAGAGTTGCCAATTTGTATTTGATTGATCACAACTTCAATAATTCATAACTTTCTTATTTTCATTCAGAATTTGCTCAAACTTTCACTCACCTGATTTTCTTATTATTCTGCCTCTATCGAAACAACTTATTTTTGGGGTGGACTTTCCCTTTAAGGAGTATGAAAAAAAATAAAGAAACAAGTCGGACTATGAGAGTGTGGCAAATTTTTATTACAGGAGGTATTAAAGGAGTTGCAGGTTTTGGGGGTAATAACTGAAAAAGCCCTTTCACCTGGTTTGAGGGAGAGTAAGTGTATTACCGGTAGTACTAGTGGCCTCGCGTGTATTGTACATGGATGTTTACACATAAAGCACATCACCTAGGTATGGTGGGGCTTCATTATTGAGACATTCGTATTACAGGGATCGTTTAACAATGTTAAATCTGAGATGCATGTCCCTACGTTTTATCAGTGTCTGTGATATGGTGTAATATTGAAGAAAAAAAAAATTGTGCTTCAAGCTGATCATGAAGTCCTTCAAAAAAGTAAAAACCTTTGAGTGACCGGTTTTACCATACTCATTTTCCCCAAAAGACTGTAAATGTTGGGAAAACGGTTTTTGAAATTTTGAATTCCAATCATAAATATCTAGATAATCAGACAGGCGATCAGCTTTTAATAGTCATGAGATTCCTGACTGACCTAAAGGTTTATAATATAGTGAGGGTTAACTTTCTTCCACACTTATATGAAAGTTAGCATTGTGTTTGAAGTCGTAATTCTCATTTGGATAACGTTTCTCTGCAGGAAATCCGTCTAGTGGGTAAGGACCAAGCCATTGTATCAGCTTTAGAGATGGTGAACAGAGCCAAAAACCGATTCACTAATATCCTACCATGTGAGTATACTCATACACAGAAATATAGTCAAACCTGTCTATAAAGACCACCTGTAAGGAAGACCACCTGTCTAGGAAGACCACTCGTCTATAAAGACCTTATTTTGGGTTTCCGTTGAAATTGGTTTCTCATTGAAACATGTAATAAAGGATCCTGTACATAGAGACCACCTGCCTATAAAGACCACTTTTCTTGTCTTCCTTGAGCGGTCTTTATACACAGGTTTCACTGTAATTATATGAGGCATTTTAGCTGCAAAATAAGCCATATTATGCATGCTAATCTGAATACGAAACCGAAGTGGGCAACATTTGCCATATTGCCCTCTTCCGGGTTTTCCCCGTAGAACACTGTACTGAATTGGAGGTCAAAATTTGTACATATTCCACTCTTTCTTGTCAGTGCACTTTTATTAAATATATATTTATGATTGACTGTAAGTCCATTTTATGTTACAATGCTCTGTACAACTGTTCGATACAGATGAGCATTTTTGTGTCAAGCTGGCAATTCTCTCGTGGTCAGGCCACATACGTACCACATCAATGCAAATTACTTGTCAATTAGCTACATGTTAATCCCAAAATGAGAAAAATACCTTTCATGTTTAAAGATGAAGGTAAGTTCTGGTCATGCGATTGCATTGTGATAGAAACGGTGTGGAATCGATCATCTAGCATATAAGTATTTGTGTGTATTGCAAGGTTCTGGAATCATCAAAATGATTTTTCACCTCTTCCCAGAACTCAACCTTCTCTTTAATATCTCACCATGTATTTGATTGTTCTGTACAGATGAGCATTCCCGCGTTAAGCTTGCGGCTCTCGCCGACGATTCAGACACGGACTACATCAATGCAAATTACATCCCCGGTTACAACTCGCCACGCGAATTCATGGCTTGCCAGGGCCCGTTGCCGGGGACGGTGGATGATATGTGGAGGATGATCTGGGAGAAGAAGACCTCCATCATCGTCATGCTGACGCAGCTCGTTGAAAAGGGCAAGGTAAGATGATGGAATGTTGTCATGTAGGTCTGCTCTTTAATTTAAAGGGCAAGTCCACCCTGGTATTAAACGGGGTGTAGCATGAAGAGACTATACACTGTACGTGTCTTTTCCGTGGCCTGACTCGGGGCCTATCGGGTATAATATGACTACAGACGGCGCAACCACAATATTCACATGCGTGCAACATACACAAAACCGAAGCGTGAGGAAAACTGTGGTCCGTTTCACGAATGCTAGCGCGCGCCGACCGTTAATCAAGTCCATTTGTTTATGTGCAGTTGTCCAAAAGTAGTCGTAGATGGCGTCAACCAGTATTTGCCATGCTACACCCCCCTTTAAGTTGGTTTTGATAACGGCAGAAAAGATAAATATATCGGTGAAAGGTTAAGGAAATTCTGAAAAAAGGAGAATTTTTTTTTTTTTGAAGTTTGATCAATCATTCATGAATTGGTAACTCTGTAATGGATCTTCTATTTTCCTCTCCCATCAGCTCTGTACTTAAAATTAATAAATTTTCTCTAAAGAAAAGATGCATTCTATATATAATTACACACTTCATTTTTTTTACACAATTCCTGTATAAAGTAAATCAAGGTCCCCACCAGCAACCATGAAAATGGTAATTCATTACACAGTTTATGTACGTGTACATGTACAGGCATATGTATATTTCTTTTCGTACCTACATAATGCACAATTTTGAATCTTTAAATATACATTGTCATTGTACCTGTGTACATAGATGTTGATAGGCGAAACAGAAATCAATTCATTATAAAATTCTATCAATTTCTTTGATCTATTTTGTTTTCCTTCAATTTTGATTTCAGATAAAATGTCATGAATATTGGCCTGCAGATTACAACCCCGTCACATATGGATCGATACAGGTCTCCGTACAAGCACTTCAGCAGTATGACCACTGGGTCATTAGGGAGTTCAGCATATCACAGGTAGATATTAAACAGATATTGAGGGTGTTTCATAAAGACTAAGATCGACTTTAAGTTGCGCTTAACTATGGCAGGTCGTTATGCCACTGTTTGCTCTCACCATTTACTGGCATTGGTATCTCAAGGGACCTAAAAATCATGGACATAAATCTACAGAATTTACATTTTTTGATAATTCATTATTGAAGGAAAAAATATTGTCTAAAGATCATAATGGTGAGAACAAATAGTGGCATGAACGGCCTGCCATAGTTGAGTCCAACTTAAATCCTTTGTTTGTATCTGTAAGAGCTATCTGATGAATATACATAGAAAATATATATGAATTATTTCAGTGAGTCTTAAAAGATTTTTAAAATGTATTGTTTGGCACTGACCGTTTTCTTTCACTTTGATCCTCCAGAGGAGTTGATAACGTTTTTTTTTAAATTCATGTTCCGTTGGGCTATTCACAAGGTCCTAAGTTGAACTTATCTCTTAACTTAGAGTTAAGTTTGACTTAGGATCTTTGTGAAACACCCCCCTGGTCTTATCATGTTCCTGACGATGGGAAAATATTATAAAATCAAAAATTGTTTCAATGAGTCGTCAAGATCATTCCCTGTGGAATGACATTTGAAAACCTGCACTCTGCTTCATGATCTAGCCCAACTACGGGGGGAAAAGGAATGTTCTTGCGCTGACCTGACAATCGCTCTAGGATTTATTTCGTCGAACACATAGGGTTAGACTTAGGGTTGCAACCGAGTTTTACATGTAGATTTATGTTTGGGATTAAGGGTGAAGTATAGTGTTGGATCCAGAGCTAAAGGCGTTGGTTTGGTTGGTATAGGTAATTGACATGGAGCAATTGTGACAGGAGCAAGTGTTGTACTAACGTTCTTACAGATCATCAGATACATCAGGGTAATTTTTATAATAATAATGATAATACGAACAATTTATATAGCGCTTGTGACATAAAAGTTTCAAAGCGTTGTGCAAAAATCAAGATTACTTTAAGAAAAATCAATATAACTAATGGAATTAACATCATTTAAATTACCAAGAAAACAAAATATTACTAACATAACTTAACAAATTAACAACTTCAATTACCAAGAATATAATATATTACTGACATAACTTAACAAATTAACATTACTTAAATTACCAAGAAGATCAAACATTACTAACAAAAGAAATTAACAAAATGTGTAAATTCCTTGGAAGATTAACATATTCTATCATTATATCAATAATAGCAACAATTTAAAAAGACATAATAATAATAATAATAATACATAAGATTTATAAGGCACAAAATCCACTTGACAGTCAAATGCTCAAGGCGCAGCTTGTGCAAATGATGAAATACATGATAAATATACATGTATACAAAAGTGCAATAGGAAAGGTAATGGTAATCAATTATAAGCTAAATTAAACAGATATTTTGGTATTGTAATACTAATTCAAACCTATTTTATCCTGTCCTTTGTGTTCCTGTTCTAGGGAGATGAGATCCGAAAACTTACGCAGTATCATTTCATGTCATGGCCTGACCACGGGGTCCCGGATAAGACCTGGACCATGCTGGACTTTGTCCGAACGGTCCGAGAAGCAATTCAGAAAACAGCCAGCGATCGGCCTATTGTAGCGCACTGCAGGTAGGTTTTGGTTTAAGGACCGGGGAAACTGAGATATAGAGGGACATCTTGCAGAGCTGCCAACTAGTACGGATTTCCCGTAATTGGGACAGAAAGTAACGATCATTACGGAATGTTGTCACAAATTATGGATTTAAGAAAATTAAAAATATAAAGATTTTTTTTTCTCCCTTTTTTTTCTCTTTTTTTTTCATAATAAAAGCCAATTTTCATGGAAAACTGTGTTGTGATGACCTGAAAATCAATATTTAACAACTTTGTGTGAGTAAAATCACCAAAAATTTGAGACAATCATGCGTCCGCGCAGTGTTGGGGTGCCGCTTTTTTTAGACTCATAGCGCCGCATAAGAAATTACTGATTTATACCCAAAATTACTGATTTTGAGCCTTGTGATTACTGATTTTCTGTTCTGGAGGTTGGCAGCTTTAGTCTTGGACTTGGTTGAAATTTAACCCATTGACTATTGACTCCACTTTTCTTTTCTTTTTTCAGTTCAATTCTGGTTTTATTATAAATAAAAAAAAACATACTGAATAAAAAGTCCGGAGACTCATACAATTCAGTTTACAAATTATAAATACATACAAGAATAAAGAAATCAATACTTTTAGCAATCTTTTTATATTAATTACTGATTCTAATGAACTAAACAACTAATTTCAAACAATCTTGAAATAATACATGTTCTAATTATGCAGTTGTAACATTTAAATAGTAAGATATGTTGTTACCCTTTTCTAAATGTCATATGCAATTAAGTAATACACTTTCAAATTAATAAGTAGTCTTTTTTTAACCTAATTCCATGTGAGAGAGGGAGAGGATTGGGGAGTCCTGTTTGAAACGTCGAGCCCCTCCTACCACCCATCCTCTCCCTACTATCGGCGCTGTACTGTAGTTCTTTTTAGAACTACATGTATCAGCTAAAGAATGATTACACTGGTCCTTCTAGGACTACAGACAGTCCTTGTTAGGACTACAAAATCCTCCCCTCTCACATGGTGCAACCGTAAGCCTACTAAAGTATTCATTTGTTTGAGCATTTCATCTTTTCTCTCGGTATTGTTTTGTTAAATCTTTACAGTGCTGGTGTGGGTAGGACTGGGAGGTACATTGCTCAAGATCGGTTGATGCAGGCCTCGACTCCTAGCTTCTTCCATGTTTGATTGAAATATTCTTTTGTTGCAGCATCTATTCACTCAGTATCGTTTTTGTTAAATCTTTACAGCGCCGGTGTTGGTCGGACAGGGACGTACATCGCTCTCGATCGGTTGATGCAGGCCATGCAGGAGAACGACTACATCGATATCTTTGGGATTATATGTGAGATGAGGATGCAGAGAAATCACATGGTCCAGACGGAAGTAAGTGATGCCTTACATCTATCAGAAATATGATTATAAAGTGGGTTCTAGAATTATGGCCTCCTTTATAGCGCTCATACATGTATCTATCTTGCAGTGAAGCTTGGGTATATTACCCTGTGAATTGCCGAACCGCCAAAGTATTTTGGATACCATTTACACCTGGGTAAAGAGATTAACATCATGCCAAAGAGTGTTAGCGCCGGGCTAGGATTTGAACCCGTACCTTGTGATTCACAGACTCTTGGCATTTTGTTCACAGTTTTAGCTTATTCCTGGACATTCATCTCTACATTTTGGGCCCGTTTTATGAAAAAAATAATTCAAACATATGAAAAAAACTGCAACTGCTTAAACCAGTTAAAAATAGAGTGTTATCATTTTTTCCACTATTTATTAATTGTTTTTTTCTTCCTCTCCTCCGTCAAAACCCACCAATGCTCACCCAACAGAAACAGTACATCTTCATTCACGAATGTGTGATGGATCTCTTGCGGAGAGGCGAGGAGGAGGATACAGGGGAGAGTATCTATGTAAATCTTCCTTCCAACGGGTTCAAAGATCCAGATGACGTCAACAAGAACCTGCTAGACCAGGCCGTCTAGTGCATCCTGGGAAGGTTACGAGAGTTGTCTGCAATATCTCTTAAAGCCCCACTGCACTACTTACATGTATAGCTACTTGCGCCCTCTATGTAGCAAACAATGCCTAATCGGTGCCTGTTGGTCCCCCATGATCCTCTTTTTCTTATGTTAATTGATCGAGAGCTGATGGGATGGGATAACCAACTGTTGGTGACCTTGCAGGGAGGTCTAATCCCCCCTGGCCAAACTAGTGCAGACGGGCTTTAAGCAGGATTATCTCAGGATTCAGGAAAGTTCTGTTTACAGCAGGAAAGATTTAAATTCCTCTGATCTTTTGATAATGGTTATTCATTGAAGAGACCATTTAGGATGTTAATTTTTAAAGGTCTGAAGTCGATCAGCATTTCATCTTCAAACTGCAACTCTGGTGTTTTATTTTATTTTTTATATAGTTGTAAATTTAATCATTCATCTCAACTTAAGTTTCTACTTACATGTATATACTGTTCATGTATGTGTATGTAAACAATAGGCACACTGCTTAAGTTTTGCCTTTATTTCTTGTGTTAAATATATCATGGACTGAATGAAATTATTGTATCTTTCAACCAATATAGCTTTCATTTTTCTACTTTACCTTTGTCACATATTTGTACTTATTTTTTACCAATCTGTAAAAGATTATCACAACTATTGATGGGGAGAAAAAGTTGTTTGTAATCATAATTGACCGTCCATGTTATTTTTTATGGACCATGATGCACTAGTAGAGCACAGAGAAATTGAGTGCACCTACGGTATACAAGAACATGAAAATCTGGGTCCTATTGTTGCGAGTGAACCGAATCAATATCAACTCCTCCAATCAATCGCAAGTTTGCAGTCTCCTATTTCTTTAATGAACAAAGTTGCGATTGATATCAATGGCAAATAAGTTGCAATTGATCCCAACTGTCTATAAGACGGACCCTGGCATATGGACTTTTGAGATGAATCACATTTAAGGCATAAAGGGTGTCTTGATATCGAGAGCAAGTGTACAGAGTGCCTGGCATTGAGCCCACAACCATACAACTCAACACAACTCACAAACGTGTTAGTTTGTATGCAGGCGCATGTATATTGTACATGTACGTGTAGTCTGCGTTTAAGTCTCAGGTGTTTCATCTATTCAAAGGAATAGGAGTTAGTGCCCTTCTGGCTCCCAGCTAGTATAATAGGAGAAATACATAAATATGTGTGCATGTTATGTACAGTGTGAGTTTGAGATTTTTGTGGTGCAATGGTGCAATATCCACAAATTTTGCCAAATTGCTCTCACGTCTTTCTGCACCTTGTTGCATTTTGCACCAATGAAGGTGGTTTTGACCTTAACTGTTTCAGTGGTGGTTATCATATGTACATGTAGGTTTGGGGTCAATTTTCATTGCATTTAAAACACTGCAAATAATAATAATAATAATAGTGTAAACTTATAGAGCGCACACACCGTCCAGGGACGCTCATGGCGCTAGCTCAGCAACAGTTCTCTTTGATGCAGGAAAAGTAAATAATTTTACAATTTTTTTTTTTTTTTTGCAATATTTTTTTGTTATGACCCATTTCGGTGCTCAGCTCTGCCCGATGGGGCCCGGTGCCCTCTAGATGTACAAATAAAGATGGCAAACAGGAATATAATTCCTCTATTGCATAATTACAACTAGTACGCATATATACTGAAATGGAAGATTTATGGTTCTTGGAAAATGTCATGCAGAAATCAGGTTTGTGAATATCATTAATGAAAGTAACGACAGCAGTATTGAAAAATATAGAATTTGTCATGTACATGTATATGTAGTTTAGATTATATTCCCTCACTATATACAGTACATGTACTTTAATATACATGTCAATGTACATAATTTGAACAATGTTTCTGTATAAATCAAGATTATGTGCTTGAAGATTTGTGTGTGAGAACTATTATTAATATTAATATTATCATTACTATTGCTATTAGTTATTAGGCAAAGACAAAATCAAGGAACAGTGAATACAAAACAACATTAAGATTTGAAGAGAGTCACACAGAATCCTGGTAAAGAAGGACAAAAATTAACTCAATAACTACAACCCAAAGATCTTCTTTTCCAATCCATGTGATTTTACATCAATAACTAGCACAGAATAAAAAGATACAACAAATAATAATTTGCAAATATATTGAATTGGAGAAAAAGACAAAAACAACTCACTGAATCTTTCAAAACTAGAATGGTTTCTATAGTATATACATTGGTATTGTGCACTAATGTAATGAGTGGAATGTCAAAATGTTGCATGATCATTTTTTTTGTTTTCATTATTAATTTACTTTGTTTAATTGTACAGCTTGTTGCACATGAAAGGATAATGAAGGATTTGAGTTGCAAATGATTGGAACATATTCAATGTTTCCTAGATTCAAATAATCAAGTCTGGAATAGCTTATTGATAATTGTGTGCTGCAATTTATTCTTTGAAGAATAGTGTAATTACACACATGTATATTCTAACATTTTACCTGTTTGAATATTGTAATTATATTCAAACAGTTTGCCTGTTTGTATGAAATAATCATAAGTGACAAGTTACTACTCTTCATATTTATAGAACCTGTGTATTGTGTTATTCAGTCTTATATAGTGTTCATTGTGATTATATTCTTATAGTTGACTCAAATTTTGTTTGCTTTCACTATTATAAAGATTTACTGCATAAGATATAATGCCCATGTATGATTTACATGGAAAAGTGACTCAAATTTCATTGGCTTTCATTAGAATTAATATTATTTACTATACAAAATATGATGTATGTATATAATATATATATATATGTATACACAGACCTCATAATTCTTATGATTGTATGATACATGTATAATCTGTAATTACATATATTTATTCAAGATTCACTTGTGAAGATTTACAATCAGTTTTAGAATGTTCTAAACAGCATTTATACATTTTCCATCGTGTGTAATTAACTCAATTGTCTTTGATTTTATAATTAGGGTGCTATAGATTTGTATACCGATATGTAAACAGAGGAAATAGATTAGTTATACATATTTACGTTTTTAATATATGTATTAGAATTCAATCCAATAATCCTACATGCATTATGCATACATTTTCATTTGATATATCCTACGTTATATATTCATTTTATATTTTCTTATTTAGAATTACATATATATATATATATATATATATATTTATACAGTTTTTTCTATCTAATCAGCATTTTGATTCGTCCACCCTAATGTTATTGAGCTAATGTAGAGAAAGGAATTGTTTCTTATCCCTACCAGACGTGTTTTCCTTAATTGTCCACCTGTTCATTCCATGGTTCCTTTTGTTACAGTTTACATCAAATGTACTTGATGATTTTGTTTGGTTGATAGTCGTAGTATAAATGTAGATTTAAAGAGAAAACATGTTAATGTTATAGAAAGTGTTATCTTGAATGTTAAGCCTCGGTCACAAATGCCATTACAAACTGCTTCGAACGCCATACGGACGGTTTTCAGACAACGGAAATTCAGAAAGACAATGGACAAACAGAGATTCGTACAAACGCATCGATCGTACAAACCTTTGTGACCGTAGCTTTAGATAAAGAGAAAACATTTTAATGTTAGATAAAGCGTTATCGTGAATGTTAGCTAAAGAGAAAACATATTAATGTTAGATAAAGCATTATCTTGAATGTTAGCTAAAGAGAAAACATATTAATGTTAGATAAAGCGTTATCTTGAATGTTCGATAAAGAGAAAACATGTTAATGTTAGATAAAGTACTATCTTGAATGTTAATCTTAATCTTAATCTTTATCATTCATGTATAGTTGGTTTTGTATGGGACACATTAATATATTTGTGAATGGTACCAATACAAGCACATGTAGATGCCTTGAACAGACTGTAACAATTTGTGTTACCAAATCATCTGAATTTGTGCCTTGAGAAGTACTTATGTACATTGCAGCTCTTTATAGTAATGAATAATGAAGTACAAATGAGAACAGTACTTATTGGAAATTTAATTTCACAAGTTTTTATAGTAGATTTTGATTGAAATATATGGTATTCAACTCTTGTATATAAAAGGTATGTGCCTTTAATGTTTAATGCTGATTTTGTACACGTCCATACAAATGAAGTTAAATAGCATGTTGTTTGTCATGGTGCATGATTGGATTGTACAATCCAGTTCTACATTGTATGTTATGTATCAAAATAAATTGATGTACCTAGCTATACTCCAGATAAAGAGAAATAAGCTATTGAAGCTTAAGTGTCTGTAAAGGTTTGTTAGATATATTGATGTAGCTTTGGACTAAAACTGGGCCCTGTTTCATGAAACATGTTATCGGTGACAAGATATGATGATTGTTATGAGCTACTGAAATCCTTACATTTGATTGGCTAAGACCAGATTTGTCATAGATCTGTGGCACTTGTTACTGATAACAAGTTTTGTGAAACAGGGCCCTAGTCATTTGCAAAGCCAGAATGAAAGATTTGAGCCGAGCCAAACACAACCCAGGGACCTGTTTCATAAAACTTGTTATTGATAACAAGATACTGTAGTGGTTATCAGCTACTGAAATCCTTGCATTTGATTGGCAGAGAGGAAAGTTGTCATAGAACTTTGGTTATTTGCTGTTTATGAAACAGGGTCTATGCCTCGAAAACGAAACGTGTCGAGCTGGAAACAGAGATCGAAGAGAAAAGAGTCGTGAAAAGGCCCATTATTTTTCCTCGTTTAACACCCAACTCGGTGTGGCGGGAGTCGGTTTGGCGGTGTATGACTTGGGTTAAGGTCTAGTTTTGAAATGAACATCACACAGGTATTAACTTGGTTTTACTATGTACTTAATCCCCCTTTTTTTCCAGCGCCATATTCTGTTCATTCTATACTAACCACTATCCACTTAGCGTGTTATTTGATATGTACGTACTGACATGTATATTAACATGTACAGTCAAACCTGTTTTTTAAGGCCACCCAAGGGTAATGGAGAAACTGGCCACTGTAGGCAGGTGGCCTATCTATACAGGTTCTAAAGTACACATTTATTTCTTGACGGAAGCCAAATATGTGGCTAGGTTTATAACCAGGGACCCTTTTCACAAAGTCTTTTTCAATGACAAATGACAAAAAGCAGTGACAAATCTGCTGATAACCAATCAGGAGCAAGGATTTCACTAGCTTATAACAAAAACTGTCATTTGTCACTGATGACAAGTTTTGTGAAATGGGGCCCATGTGGTCTTTATAGATAGGTGGCCTCTAAGACAAGTTTGACTGTACTTGAGAAACTTCCACTGTATTCAGGATTTGAACTTATGAAACCACCATCCAGTAACTCTCTGCTTTGTTCATCGTTATTTTTTTGGTTGTTATGTTCAGCCTTGGTGTACATGCAGCATATTGAGAAAGATGATAATGCTGCAGTAATTTTCAAACACAATAATGTAGTACTATCAAAATGCAGTCAAACGTTTAAATTAAAGAAACTGCTGGACAGAAGCAAGAAACAGTTCTCGTTCTTTGACCAATCCCTTACAAAAATTACCATGGTACACGGTATTTTGGCCACGGTGCATATACCATATGGTACTCTCATGGTAGTACCATTACAATTATTACGGTACAATACATATATAGAGCCATGGTAGTACTATCTGTACATGGTAGTACCATGGTAGTACTGTACCATGATAATACCATGGTAGTACCATGTGTTGTTTTTTTGTAAGGGACATTGAATTAAAATTCTAACCAAACACTGGGATTAGGCTTTTGTCCAACATTACTTGAGCAGGACTCAACTTTATCTTTGAATATAATGAATGGTGAGTCTTTGTAGGTTGATTAAATGTTGATGAATATCGTATCTTCCAACCTTACACAACAAAACTTAGGAATATCCAAAGCCAATAAGGTACCTGACATATACAGCATATTTTACATGCATTTATACAGATATTTTCAGAAAAAGAGAGGAATATAAGGTTCATAAGAGTAATTTCAAGGCAGAAAATTAGGAATGGTTGGTAGCTATATATTGTTGAATGTACTATTCTTTTTGTATGTTTTGTTACTATACCACCATTATTTGCAGGTACATATATATTTATACTCAGAAGGTTTGCATCCAGTAATTGTTCAATGTTGACAAGATATGTGATCTCATTGCAAAATTCTCTCCGAATTATTTTTGTGAGAGTTGAATGTTATATTTTTATATTTAATTTGAATTATTATGCATTGCATTGGAATTAAATGCAAACCTCTCACAAAATTGTTGTGTCGTTCAAAATTGTTTGTTTATTCATTTACTGTCCAATAAGTATGCATTGTCTTTTATGAATTATTCATACCCCTTGTATTAAAATTTGATGTGTTTTGTGTTTTTCATAATTTAAGAATGAAAGGTGTATGTTGAATTTGGGCCTTTGTTGAATAATTTTAGATGCAAGCTTTAATATGTCACATTCTTAAGAAACACATTGGGACAAATCAAATTTTCACTTACTTGAAACTACAAAATTTGCCAAGGGTATGAATTATTAAGCTGTTAACTGTATGTATTTATGTCAGGGCTGTCAACTTTGGGGAACTGCTTGGAGGGAGATATTTTTCTTCAGACGAACCAGCGTACTATCGCTTTCAAATTGGTGGTGGTGTTGATTTAAAAAATTTAAAAAAAAATGATTTTATTTTTAGTGATATTGCCCCCTCCCCCCTTCAGCAAAAACAAAATTGATAGTTTGGATGCTGCAACCCATACCAAATTGTTACCTTTCTGGTCATGTAAAAGGGCAAATATGGGTCATGGAAAGTCATGGAATTTTGTTCTTAAATTTCTATGGGAACCCTGGCATGTATATGTAGAGTACTGAAGAAAAAAAGTACTGAGACAATAAAAAAGGCAGCATACACAAAATTGATTTTCACATAGGCTGCTAAAACAGTTCAATATTTAATCAAACACGTTCCGTTACATGCAAGAGGAATGTATCTGATTCATGATTCCTGCTTTCTTCGATTCACAGTAATAATACAGCTTGAAAAGTTTCACGCAAAGATACACTTTACATTGTACATTTATGTAAAAACTATCACTAGACAGAGTCGGTCAATACACATAGCTCTAAAAAAAAAATTTGATTTAGACATTCTTGTACAATCTAGATATCATGATTCATTTCAATAATTCTATTTTATCACACTTCACATCCATTATAATCATAACACAGAAAAACACTATACATGTTCAACAAAAAATACTGTACATTAAAGATAAAGACCAGTTATTATGGTCATGCGGTTGCATTATGAAAGAAACGTTGTGAAATCGATCAGAAAAGGTTGATCATCTAGCATATAAGTATTGGTGTGTACTGCAAGGTTCTGGAATCATCAAAATGATAAGAAATTTGGCCCAGTCTTGGTAAAGTTACAAGCACTGTACACAGAAAGATGTATATGGGACTATAGGCACACATGCGCGACACATGCGTTATATCTATCAGGTCCAAATAGATATAATAATTTACCAAATATATCAATTAGTAGGTGGTTTCTCTGCATAATTTGTATCATCACGTATTAGTCAAAACATATTCTTTCACATGAATTGGTAACAAGAGCTTCGATTTTATTTTTTGAGAGTGGGGCGTTTCCAAAACTGGTCTTTACCTTTAAGACAAGTACTGGACATAATCAGTTCTACAGACATACCTGTACCTGTACTTATTTAAATATTTCATATCATTCTCTCTATACATATCTTACACTTAATATTAAATATTAATATCAAAGCTCCATTTAGAGGAAAGGAGTAGATCCTTAAACAAAGTATACTTCTAATTTACATACAATTGTACAATATTTCACTACACACTACATATGCACATCTGCAAATATTTCACACATTGGTTAGATTTGTTTTTTTCAAAGCTAAAAAACATGTATATCATATACATCTGTTAAACCTAATAATCAAAATTTGCACAAAATACAATGAACATTAATTGAAAGCATGTACAGTAGTACAATAATCTCTTATGCTTGGCAAAATTGAGAAATTACTCCAGTGTAAAACTTAATGAAAGCGCTATGTAGTTAAATGTTTTCTGTATTACTAGTCCTAACTCAGTGATCAACAGGTATATCTGAATAAAAATAAATTCAAATAAAATATCAAAGAAGAAATGTAGATATTATTAAAACAGTCTATGCATTATTCATAATCATCAAATTGAATACATGTTCAATTGTCCAATCAGAGAAACACTATCCACTCTATGGTGAAATGAAAATAATTTCAAAATCTTCAACAATCATTTATTTAAATAAAACAAAACAAAATGAAAGAAACATCCTCTAATCAAATGTTGGAAATCAATTAGAAATTCAAGTACACTTAGAAAGACACTTGCAATGGCTATTAATGTCTTTAAAATGCTTATTTTTCACTATGGGCTAGATGTATAATCTTTTAATTTCAGCATTACATACATATACATGACATGTACATGTACATGATACAATATCAAATATACTAGATAAACACCTACCGTTACATGTATATTTAACATTTAAAACTTTTACAAAAGATGACAATTAAAAGAAAATATATTAAAGCAAGGTGATCAATTTAACCTGAATATGAATATACAAGTCTCCTGAGTTGTTTGAAATTATCAGCGTATTTATAATTCTCTTTTATCACCTGTGAAAAAGAATGCAGATATACAGTCCACACAAATCATTCTTTTCCATGGCGAACATTAAACCAACAACATTTACAAAAAAGGCTTTCAAAATGAAAGGACAAGAGACCACTTTCTCCTTTAAACAATATTCTCACAAAAGTATGCAGACTTTTCTGCACTTGTGGACAAAAGAGTTGAAAGTAGAGGGACTATTCTTTGTACAGTTATCCATTAATACTTCAAACTAGGGATGAAAAGCGAACTGCATTACGAACCAAATGCAAATATGATGATAAAACACTTTTTTCTTGGCACAATCATTATATATTCTTGAATATAAAACATGATACACAAGGTAGATTACTCAAAAAGCTGCAATGATGTTCAACTGATTTATCAAAGAGAGTTGCTGGTGTCAACAAACTAAAATGTATAGTCTATCTTATTTACAAAATTTAAATCGTCACCTAAAGATCAATCTTGAAAGAATATTTGGTCACTGTCCAAATTCAAACTTTATTAGCTTCGTCCTTCCCCTAATAAATGTACAACTGTACATATACAATCAAACCTGCTTTAGTGACCACCTGTCTTTAAAGACCACCTGTCTAAAAAGACAACTTTTTGTGATCTCCTTGGGCGGTGGCTATAGACAGGTTTAACTGTATTAGGAAAGGCTATCCTAAAGCTTTGATCCACAAAAGAAGGCTTGCTCAGTGGTAGAGCAGTGGTCTTGTAACATGGAGGTTCCAGGTTTGAAAGCAAGCCAACACGCTTGGGCCCTTTGGTAAGGCATTAATCCGCATTACCAAGTCCCTTGGAGAGGACTTAGAGCCGTCAGTCCCCAAGGTGTTTATATACAAGTATATACATGCTTTCTCTATTAGCAGCCAGGTCAGACTGTCCTCATCATCATTAAAAATTCTTAATAATAATAATAATAGTTTGCAATTTATTTAGCGCCTTTTTCGTTGGATACAAAGCGTTTTGAGGTGCCCATCTCTGGTTCAGTAGTCATTCGAGTTCAAATAATTAAAAGTTACGTGTACCAAGCAGTGACAGTGTGAGTTCAATGTATACAAAAACGTAGCCAAACTATGTTTGGATTGTCCCAACTGTTGGTGATTATTTCAGATGAAAAGAGGAGACTGTTCCAGATTTTGGAAGCAGTATAACTACGGTAGAACTTGTGAGCGGTACTCCTCATTTCGTTGCTGCTTCACCGCGATCCTGATGTCCTTACGCTCCTGGTTCTGTCGCTCGTTGTTACGGAAGTGCGATCTCCTGCTCAGCTCTTTGTTACGCATTTGCAGGTCCCGTGCAGCTTCCTGCTCGCGCCGTTCGCAGAGACGTTCAACGTGCTGCTGAGAGCGCTCATTCTGCCGCTGCAGCTTGACCTCCTAAAAGAAAAACAAACAATTTTTTGTTAGAATTGATATTCATGTTTTTAATAATTTCTAGCTTTTTGGTATTAGGGATGTTTAGCCTGGCCAGTATATTTCCAAATGCTCTAGTGCCAAATTGTCTAGAATCAATTTTTTTTTTAAAGCATGTGGGTACAAAACAGAACCTTTAACAATCTTTTTAACGTAACATTTATAAATTGCATATTGCGCATAATTTGAAATAATGTTCAGGAGAGAATATTTCTTGTTTTAAATGTCCATACCTACAAATATTATCTTATGGTTTATTTGTATTTCTATTTGGAATAGGTTAAATATCAAATTACACATTTTTTTCCAAAACAAAGTCACATCCTTGCAATATAACATAAAGTGAAAAGTTGAGTCAACTTGTCTTCAAGAGTTGCATAAATTATTATCCACAATTCGCCATTTATATAAGTTTTCTTTTGAGGCAATAAACCTGTGAATCATCTTGAAATTAAATTGTTTAACTTTATTATTACAAATTTGCGTTAATTTAAGTGGAAATACATCCTTCCAAACAAAGTCACTAACATGTTGATATACCTTGAACTTGTGTGGCTTCATGTATTTTCACTGTCTTTTATTCAGAATTTGCTGGAAAAAACAGTATCTGTAGTTAACACAAACATATTTTTTTAACATGTGGATCCCTTTTCTATATTACCTTTACCACAATTTCATGTAAGCAAAGAATACGACTGCCTACCTCTTTCTGTCTCACAGTCTCGTGTAAATCTTGGGCCTTCTGCCTCTGCACTTCCATCCTCTGGTCATTACGAGCCTTCAGCGCATCGATCCTCCGCTGCTCTCGCGAGTCGCTCTGTACCGCAACCTCCTTCTGGCGCTTAGAGATGGTCCCACTGACCGCGCTCTTTGCGGCTTGGACTTGCTCCATCTTGGCTTCACTGTCCTTTTGGCGCTGAACATCACGCCGGGTCACATCGGCCGTGTACTGTCTGTGGAGCAAAGAAAGAAAAACAGGAATATTTTGTTAATTAATGCACATAATAACTTTTGGCCGTCAACTCTATCGTTCAAAGTATCTTCTCCCAGCTCGAGGGTTGATCGCAAAAAAATTGCACACACCAGGGCTCCGTCTTATAAAGAATTGATATCAATCCCAATGTACATAAGAGATACGAGACGGCAAACTTGTGATTGATTGGAGGTCTTGCGATTGATTTGGATTTGGATCAATCGTGCATCTTTGTAAGACGGGGGCCATGCAGGCCGGCCCTATTTCACAAAACTTGTCATTAGTTACAAATGATACACTGTAGTTTTTGTTATAAACTAGTGAAATCCTTGCTTCTGATTGGTTATCGGCAGATTTGTCACTGATATTTGTCATTTTTCAATGAAAAAGGCTTTATGAAACGGGTCCCTTGCTGTTCTCTGCTGCCCTAGCTAGTACACTCTTGCAGTAGTGTTATTTCACTGCATGTCTTGATATTCACCTCCCAGTTAATATAGCCGTCATCTACCAAAGTCTATTTATAACAGACAAGAATTACTGTACACTAAACAAATGTACCGTACATTGTATGTATAAAAGGAAACAGATTGCATCTAAAGGCTTATAATTACATGAACAAAATATAATTCAACAATCGGTCATTTACTGCAGGCTTAATTTCGTCGACGACAATTACATGAACAAAATGTGATCTCATATTTGCTCCAGTCGTGACGTAGCTGGGAGACTGCATGTTACAAATAAGGGTCCTAAATATTAATTCAGACAGGATAACTCATATTAAATTGGCAAATCATAATTTTCAATCACCCAGCAGTCTAGATATGTTCTACATTATCCATAGTCTAGAGTGATACAACGAAAAGACCACATTGAAGAAAGGAGATGAAAGGAAACAAAGAAAACAACTACATTACAAAGAAAGTTAGAGACCAATACAAGATTTAAGAACATTTTCACATACAGTAAGACATACAGGTGTAAGACATGCAAATGTATAATATTATATGTGTATGAAATTATAAAGGCATGCAGAACAGGATGTACTTTTAATAATAGCATTGCATTAAAGAAATTAAATAGGAAGATAAATAAAATCAGAATAACAATCGCATAGACATGTAGAGAAATCAGTGCTTATATCTTAAAAGATATTAATTAGATGAGCTCTATAAACACGTAGCTTTATGCTGTCCGCAACGAAAATAAATTAATAGCAACATAGGCAATACTGATGTTTTAGTTAACAAAGCATCAACATGATTATGTGATTTATAAATGTACATATGTAAACATTATAACATTCTGTACTCAGATATAGATTATTATGTTATTTTCTTCATATTCAAGATCCTTTTCCTTTGAGTTAAACTCCTGGGCACATCCCCCCCCCCCTACAAGAACAAATTGAACTTGTACATACAAACAAGTTAAGTTACCAAGTTAAGTTAGAGACATTTCCAAAGATCCTTGTGTTTCATACAGGTACCAAAATTAGCCATATTATTCAATTCAACAACAATCTAAATCCCACATGATGCAACCGCAAGCCTACTGTATATTTACATCACCACGCAAGCCGATACTTATAAGCAGCATATAATCTAAATCTTGCATTGGTAAATTCTGAAATATGTGATTTGTACCCAAGCAAGCTAACAAGTTATGACCGCATGCACATCCAGTATTTATCTACATCTACATGTAACCGCCAGAAAGAGAATTAATGTTTAAAATCAAAGGAAGAAAGAAAATATACATGAAATACCCAGCACATTTAGATACCTGTAAGAAGCAAGCTGTCCAGGCTACATGTATACTGTGTTTGCTAAGAGCCAGCTACATTTCACATCTAAATGAAATACTCTGGCTCTAAAGCCTAAACAGATGGAATATAAAGAAGATCTCTACAAATCTCTTCTACGTCATAGAGTGGTTATATCAATCTATTTTCGCTTACTGGTACATGCTCGCTTCGGTGTTAATTGTGAGGGATTTTTCAAAGCTACGAGTACTGTATAAGAGGCGGAAAGTTTGAGAGAAAAAAACATACATGTAGAAGTCACAGACAAATCCCATTCTGGGAACGGACAACAGATGTCCCCTAGGATAGGACGTAAAATGAAGGTCCCATATATATATAAAGGAGATTAGACACATCCCACTGTATTTATTTATGCAGTTACTGCCATGTTCAAATTAAATAGAGTATGGGAAATATCGGTTAGGTGGTGTAGTGGTATATTTCTACGTCCGCAATCAGGAGAGGAGGGAATCGAGGATGGCGATGCTAAATAATGAAGACTAATTTTTACATTTTAATAGCCTTGTCATACACAATGAAGGTAGATTTCCGGATGATTAAACAGTAACTAAACAGTAAAAGAAAGATGTTGTCACACAAATTACATGTATGTGCAATGAATGCAACATGAAAACCTACAGGTAACGTAAATGTAACAGACGATAAACATTTAAACTCTATAAAATTAACATAATAAAGACTTAAAATGTACGCTGTGATATATATATTTGTATATATGAACAAACAATACAAAATGATAAACAATTTTTTTTATACATTAATGTGCAGTTCTGCATGGAGAATATCATCTGTACAAAGTACAGAGATGGAGTCTCTGCAGAAATTGTTGCCTTTTCTTCTTATGGAACTGGTATTTATTTTACGACTCTGAATAAAAAGTTATTGAGCCAATTAAACCACAAAATGTGGCAAGATTGTTGCAAAATTCTCACCTGCATCTTTCGTCCCTAGCGTCTCTCATCTTCTCTTCTTGCTGTCCCTTCATGTACCAGGTGTACTCTCTCTTCACGGTCTGCATCCGGCGGAACTCGATGTAGCTGTTCTCTTTCGCTTCTCTGATCTGGTCTCTTGTTCCTGATACTAAACAAAGGAGAGTAGAGGAGAGACTGAATTGAATTCAACATGTTCATTTTTAAGAGGTATATTTGTTTTGTTAGATGATTATGCATTCAATATAAAGTGTAGTATTGGTAAGTCTCATAATATTAACGATAATATATGCATACTTATAAAGTGCATATCACATTATGATATAACGTCTTTATGCGCTTTATAATAACTTTGAATATTATTACCCTAGCTTTAGCTCCAGCAACTGTATCCCCGGCCGTTCTATATTCGATTTTTAACACATTACGTGTTGAATAATCCATCAACATGATGTAACTTGTGTTTCAGTTCATTGTTCTTTGTTTTCCTTAATTGTTCGATGAAAAAATTATCTAAATCATGCAATAGTTTCACTATTTTACTCTCGATATTATGAACCCTCGATATTATCTGAATGATAAATATTCAGATAATATCCAGGGTTCACTGACACAAGGACGTAGCTCCATATTTTGCCAAAATGAGTATTTGATATCAAAATGTTCAGAAGAATATGGGCTTTCCAGGAAACACAAAGACTTACATTTGTAACTCCACCCAACACCCCATTGAAGTCAATGGCTAGTGAACTTAGACTTGACTTCTTAAGGCCCAAGTGCTCAGCGACACATAAACCACTTTTTCTCGAAATGGCCAAAATGGAGTTACGTCTTTGATATATATCTGTACTTACCAACAGCTTGAGCGACAGGTTTTCCAGGTTTTTGTCGTTGAGCTTGGGGCGGAGGAGGGCGAGGCTGTTTGTTCTCCCATTCAATCATGGCCCGGTCGCTACGAACCTGGGAGTGGTTCACCTGTAGAGGGAGCAATTGTTTTTAATGAAAACATGATCTGCAGATTGTACAGACAGAGGTAATAGACACACTTTTCAAACAAAATAAGAGCTTTTATACTTTTATAAGTTGTATGTATGTTAATGTCCCATTTCTACATGTACCTTCAACTTTACCAGATTGGAAAATATATGACGACGGATAGTCAAACTGTTCGAAACTCCTGCCACCCATCCTCTCCGACCGGCGCTATAGTTCTCCTTAGAACTATAAGCTAAGAAAGATAACCACCAGTCTTTTTCAAGACTACACCAACAGTCTTTTTCAGGACTACACACCCTCAAGAAAGATTACCGAGAGTCCTTTTCAGGACTCCTCAATCCTCCCCCTCTCTCACATGGTGCAACCACAAGCCTACTGTATATGAAGGATGATGCTAATGATGCTAATTATGATGAAGTGAGCCTGAACAATGTTGACAAATTTACTTACCGGTGTAAACACTGCCGATCTGTTCAAGTAGCCTTGATCCTCTCGGTAAGCCGGCTGCATCTTGGCCTCTATCGGAGCCTCGAGGGCAGTATCACGGAAGGCGCCGACATGAGCTGTACGAGGGCGTGGCCTCCGCATCTCCCACTCCACCTGGGCGCGGTCACTCCTGACCGGGGAGTGGTCATCATCAACCTACAACATGAATGACAGTGTTAGAGAATTTGCAACTACAAGAATGCACTTAAAGTGACATCGAGATGCGAGTCAAACAAATTTATCAAATAAGTTCAGAAAAGTCTGTAAGCTGATTGGTTGAAAGCCAAGTAGCACAATTGAATTAATTGTACTGACAGCATAGATTATGCATGCATAATTTTCGATATAAAAATTAAAAAGATAGCTTTTCAATATGGCGATGGTGAAACAGCAGCAATATTTGACTTTATTAAGACTGAAAATTAGAAGAAGAATTCACAAAATTTGTAGGGGGTGGGGGAGAATCTTGCAAAAATAATGACTTATAAATCCCATCCCATACTCACCGGAGTAAACATAGATGATTTGTTGACAGGTGCGTAGACATGCTTATCTTCAAAGACATAGGATGACTGAGCCGGTGAGGAGTGGAGTTTGGCGTCCTTGGAGGTGTCCGTCATCGTGTCTCGGAACGGACCGACCAACCCCTGATGCGTGCTGCGAGGGCGCTGCATTCTCCGCCAGTATTTCCAATGCGGTTGGGAGCCAACTTCGGCCTTGGCGGATTTTGGTCGCCGCGGGCCGTTCCGGTAGAGCAGGGAGGAGTCTGTTCCCACAGCCGTGTCTCTGAGTGACATGGTCTGGATACCTGCATCTGTTACGGAACATTCAAACATGTAAAATCTTAAAGGTATAGACCAGTTCTGGTCATGCGATTGCATTGTGAAAGAAACGTGGTGGAATCAATCAGAAAAGGTTGATCATCTAGCATACATGTATAAGTATTGGTGATACTGCAAGGTTCTGGAATCATCAAAATGATAAGAAATTTGACCCAGTCTTGGTATTTTAAAAGTTACAAGCACTGGACACAGAAAGATGTATATGGAACTATCAATATCTTTCCAGTCCGGGCAAAATTTGTATCATTATGTATTAGTCAAAACATATTCTTTCACATAATTGGTAATAAGAGCTTCCATTTCATTTTTGAGAGTGGGGAGGGGGCGGGGGGGCATTTCCAAAACTTGTCTTTACCTTGAATAGCTGAGGATCTGAATAGTCATATGATTAAGAAAATACAACTTTCAATGGATTTCATGATTTGAAGCCAATTCAGCTTTTTATTTTGACTAGGAGATTTCAATGCACTCAAATTCTGTTACTGATGTTCTTATCATTATTTAGCAGGGAAATCAGGAAGATGATGTTTCTTGATATTTCCTATTAAATACGATTGCCATTTCTTTGCCAATTAGATCACAGAACGATCGTGTAGTGTACGGTTGGCTTAAGAGACATAATCTGAATGCTGTCACTTGTTACGGGGGTTTTATTAAGAGAAATCAACAGAAAATAAAAGTCAGAATGTGGAGAACAATTTTGGCCACAGCGTATGTCCTCTGATTCATCTGCTCAACATAAATTATGAAAGATAGAAACTTTGAATCCCTTTATCACTTTGGATTTCAAAGTTTTTAATTGTCTTTTGCCTGACTTAATCATTAAAAGAAACTAGATGGAACTTCGACTGCGCGCAGTCGAAAATGATGCCTCCGTCATAGAGCAAGTTTACAAACCAAAAAGCAATTTCTCATATACATATATGACCCTTTGATCTTTGACCTCATGACCCTAAAATGTACTCAGTTCATTGGCTCTGCAAGATGTCCTGAGTTAAATAGTAATCCATCTGTCAGTTCTAATGAGAATGCGTTCACAAGCTATTTTTGCATACATAATGAGCCCATGACATTTGACGTTTGACCTCATGACCCAAGAATCTACTCAGTTCATTGGCTCTGCAAGATACATCCATGATCTAAGTTTGGCAGGAATCCATCAATCTGTTCTAATGATAATGCGATCACAAGCTACTTTTTGCATACATAATGAGCCGCATGACCTTTGACCTTGACCAAGACCCCAAAATCTAATCAGTTCATCGGCTCTGCAAGTAACATACATGACCTAAGTTTGGCAGGAATCCATCAATCGGTTCTTGAGATAACGCGATCACGAGCTGTTTTCGCATACATATTGAGCCCTATGACCTTTGACCTTTGACCTTTGACCTCGTGACCCCAAAATCTAAACAGTTCATCGGCTCTGCAAGATACATACATGACCAAAGTTTGGCAGGAATCCATCAATCGGTTCTTCAGATAACGCGATCACGAGCTGTTTTTGCATACATAATGAGTCCTGTGACCTTTGACCTTTGACCTCGTGACCCCAAAATCTAATCAGTTCATCGGCTCTGCAAGATACATACATGACCAAAGTTTGGCCGGAATCGATCGATCGGTTCTTCAGATAACACGATCACGAGAACGGGACGTACGTACGTATGTACGGACGGACAACCCGAAAACATAATGCCTCCGGCTACTTCGTAACGGAGGCATAAAAATTAATTATCTTCAAAGAACAGGATCTTGATCTTTCAATAGAATTGGGGGATCCAATAATAAATCAAATCATCCATCCAAGCATTGCTTTTATCAGTCCTATTTCACATCAAAGCACATTTTACTACTGTACCTATCAATGACGATATCTCTCGTTCTGATTTTGCAATTTTCTGCTTCATTTCCTCCACTTCCTTCTCTAGTTTCTCCTCTTCTGTTGCATACCCTTCCGAGTCCTGCTCCGTCCTGATCGAGCTGATCCCGCTGTCCACTCCAAAGCTGTCTTCGTTGAAAGAAACACTTTTCTGCAGGGTTGACGTTTTTGGGGTCTTGGCTAGGATGTTGGCTTCGCCTCCCTCCCTCAGTATGCTGCTCCCCATCATCTTATTATCCATGAGCTGTTTCATGACTTTCACATTGAGCTCCTGGCGGGTCATACCCGTGCCGGGGATCAGCGAATGCATGTCCTCGCTTTTAACTGCGCTCTCCCGGACGACACCACCACCGCTCCTCCCGCCGTAGTCCCTCGTCTCCGCCCCAGCCATCATCATGGGGACATAGACACGCCCCTGCTGCAGGACTGGCAACCCAGCCATAGCCCCGCCCTCCTGATGCGTGCTGGGTACGGTGTAACCGCTGATGGAGCGTTGATAGCTTGGGTCGTTGACGACATAGTGCCGGGCCGTTAGCGGCATCTGGATTTCGATTCGGTGTCGCTCGTATTCGGTGTGGGGAATCCAGACTGCCGTTTGCTTGGGTACCTTGACCGTTTTGCCGTTGAAGAAATTTACAATAAGATGCCCAGAATCAGCAGCACCTATAAACATCAATGCAAGAGAAATGGGATTGAATATGAATATTTTCTCTATATATCGAGGGTTCAATGAAACAAAGACGTAACTCCATATTTTGCCAATATGACTATTTGATATCAAAATGTTCCAAAAAATGCGGGCTTTCCAGGAAAGACAAAGACTTAAATCCACCCAATACCTCATTGAAGTCAATGGCTAGTGAAACTTAGACTTAACTCCTTAAGGCCCAAGTGTTCAGTGACACATAACCCACTTTTTCTCAACGTGGCCAAAATGGAGTTACGTCTTTGTGTCCCTGACCCCTCAATATTTAGTTTGTCATACAGGTTTACTGAATTAAAATATCAGTCTCAAACATCACTTCTTAACCAGGTTTACTTGTGATGTAGTAAACTCAAACAAAATAATACACTTGTATGATGTGCAGAGTGTTAAGGGCAATGCCAAATAAAAAAATTACATTGAATTTGGAAAGATATATTCCCTCTCTTTTTTATCTGCAGGGAAATAGAAATTCATCCATAAAGAATTGCTAATATATATGGTGACATCTAACAATCCAAATTATGCATGATGTTAGACTTTGAAAATAAGTTCTTGCACTGCTCAGTTGACTGAGAAGACAAGGAATCTGTTTCATAAAACTTGTTATCAATATCAAATGATAAATTTCTATGACAATTTTGCTCTCGGCCAATCAGATACAGTCAAACCTGTCTATAGCGACCGCCTAAGTGAAACACAAAAAAGTCGTCTTTATAGACAGGTTCCTTATATGTTTCAACGAGAAACCATTTTCAAGGGAAACAAAAATGTGGTCTTTGTAGATACCGGTAGGTAGTCTTTGTAGACAGGTGGTCTTTGTAGACAGGTTTCTTTAATACATGTTTCAATGAGAAACCATTTTCAAGGGAAACAGAAATCTGGTCTTTGTAGACAGGTGGTCACTAAAGCAGGTTTGACTGTACCACGTTTTCAGTAGCTATATCGTCTTTATAGAAAGGTGGTCTTTTTAGACAGGTTCCTTTTATAGTACCTGTTCCTTTTTAGTACATGTTTGTTTCCCTTGAAAATGGTTTCTTATTGAAACATGTACTAATGGAACCTTTCTACAAAGACCGCCTGTCTATAAAGACTAGCTTATAACAGTTATTGACGAAAAAAAATTATGAAAGAGGGCCCGGGATACTCACAGCCAGTCGATCGTCCCTCGATGCCGTCCAGGACGATACCAGGAGCACAGCGGTATCCAGCCTTCTCCCAGGGAGCTAGGACCTTGTCTCCAGGTACCACAGGATGTCGCATGGTGTCGTTGAGCGCCTTGATGTCATAGATGGAGGTCTCCTGCAGGAGCCGCTGACACTTGCCTCCCGAGGGATCCTTGTCAAAGAACACCAGGAAGGAGCGCATCGCTGACAGCTGTCAAGGTCAAGGGTCAAAACTCGTTAAGGCTATTTTTTAATTCAAACAGCTTGTTTGTATAATGTGACAACGCAGCTAATAGGAGGTGAAAATACAGTAATATGCAAAATTTGAAAATAGAAGAAGGATTATATTAAGTTATTACAATGTATATACATGTATATGCGAGACAAAATGAAACAATTAGTGTTAAGCTAGTGTTAAACAAGATCTTTGAATATATGCTGATACTGGGAATCAGTCATTTAAAAGGTCAATCAAAATGATGAGTGAAGTACTAAAATTGGGTGGTTTTTTCATTTTAGTAATCAAAGGGATAGTTGAATTTTGTTGCAGAGGGCGCTATTCAATCTAAATTTCACACATTTTAGGGTCTAAAATTACCTTCATAGCAATTTTAGGTCCTACAAGGGCACTAAGAATGTCATGAATAAGAATAAGAGCAACAACCATGCACTTTGAATGCATTTGCGGTCTTAAAAAAGAATTCAACTATCCCTTTCCAGGTACTTGGAACATGAATTTTGAGTTGCAACTTGGAATTACAAGTGTGAAAGGTTTACAAAGAATGATTCTTACCCTTTCTCTGATGGTACCTGGACAGTAGTAGCCATCTTTCTCTCTTCTTGCTAAAACCCTCATCCCTTCTAAGAGTTCAACGGCACTCTGGGGTGGGACTGAGATGATGTGGCTTGATGCAGGCTCAGTTCTAAAATAGCAAGAAACCATTCATTTCATTTCATTTATTCAACCATGCATTTAAAACTCATAGATAAAATATGTATGTAGTCATATACAAAGTAATAAAGGTTGGGAGCCCTAAAATAGCAAGACACCATTCATTTATTAAACCATTTAAAAAATTGTAGATAAAGTGTAATCATATACAGTTGATCAACCTAATAAAGGTTAGGAGCCCTAAAATAGCAAGACACCATTGATTTTATTTCATTTCAAAATCGTAGATAAAATGTAATCATATACAAATTAATGAAGGTTAAGAGCCCCAAAGAAGAAAAATCTTGTAAACAGGGCCCCTTGAGCAAATTATACATACATAAAATAAAATCTTATATAAAAAATTGCGATCATCAACACATAGCTAGAAGGAAAGAAAAAGAAGAAGAAATAGAAGAAGTAGTAGAAAACAAAGAACAAGAAACAGAACACGACCACCGAAAAAGAAAAAGAACACGACCATGGAGTGTTGAAGGTACGAATCTAGATCAGCCATGTAAACAAATCTAAACAAAGGCAACTTAGCCAGTATGTACTATACAGTACTGCAATCTTGTCAACAAGATATTCATTCCATAATCATGGAATGCACGAAAAATATATTTTCTATGATTCAATGTTACACTACCACTCAAATCTTCTTTAAACTCTTCCTAAAAAAAATTTTTCCTCTACCATCCTTTGTTGAAATGTTTTCACATAGGCATAACTTGCTTTCATTTCATAGCCTTATTAACCTTCATTTTCCTCTTCCTTGTCTTCCATGTGAAAGATAAAAGCACAATTAACTGAGGTTGATTTGATTTGGAATAAAACATCAAATTCTCAACATTGAGAGTTTTCAGCCAGGATTTGCTATCCAGGTTCTACATTGAAAGGTCATTCCCCAATCAACATCACACTAACCTCACAGTCTCCCAGGCGGTTGCTGCAGGTATCTGGACAACAGTTCTTGGGGCCAAAGACTCCCTGACGATAACTGTCTCTGGAACAGGATTGTAGTCCATGGATGTAGTTACACTACAGTACTTCACTGGACGCTCCTCATCTTCTGTTCTGTATGTCAGTGTGGTACTCTAAATTAAAAGGACATATATGTATATGTTTTAAACAGGATGCAGAAATAATAATAATAATAATCTTTTAAAGTCCACTCCAAATTTTATTTTATTAAGTTAAACCGAAAATGGAAATTCTTTTTGCCCAATTGATCGTGAGCCCGGCAGCCACTGAGCAGCGCCAGATCGACGTTGTTCTATCCCTTATTGTTGAACGCCAAACAAGGTACATGTAGCAGCAACTCCCGTCTTTTAACGTCTTTTGGTATGACGCGGCCGGGGTTCGAACCCACGACCAGTTGTGAGGCGGACGCTTTACTGACTGAGCCAACACACCGGTACACACCGGTACTTGTTAAATTTATTTAACAAGCCGTTGAGTAAATTTGCATCCAGGATGCAAGTTTTATTTCAACCTCACTTGTTTCTATTTCTTTCTTTTTTATTCATGTACAATTATAAAGTAACTCCTCAAGGAAGCAACCAGAAATTTTTAGATCATACTGTCAATCATATTGCTTTACTTTTTTTAAATCCCTGTTTTCTTTTCTTTGTGGTAAACATCTTTCTTCTATTAAAGTCATATCAAAATTGTAAATTGGTTTTGCATTGTATACTTCATCCAAAATACCAAACATAAATGACATTTTTATCATATGTCTGTAGGATGCATTATCTTGAGCTACTGGAGACAACTACTTCAACGTGTATTCCATGGGTTTAAAATGATATATCTAGGATATCTGACAATTTTACATGATTAAAAGAAATTGTTTCCATGTTACACATTTTATCACAGCATTACAAACTTGATTAAAAGATGGTTGAAATCTAATTCAGCTTTTTGAAATAAAGAATGAATCCTACTTACTTCTGGAGGATTATCTAGAGTTGTTTTGATGCTAGTAGCTGGGACTCCTCCATGAACGGAATACGTGGTTGCTTCTGCAATGGGTGGGTTGTCAAGAGTAGTCAAAGGAATCTCTGCTTCGTGCTGCCTCCTGTAGATAGCCTTCTGTATCCTGAGAGGACTATGGTCCGACGTCACAACCGCTTCAACTCTTTCAATGACCCCATGCATGGTCATGCTGATAACATGGAAGGTACCAAGGGTCTGGGCGGCCAGACTCTCCAGGAACTCCTGCGCGGCTACTTCCGTGTGGAGTCCAGTCAGGTAGATGGCGTGGACCGGACGTCCTTCGCTGACCAGTGCGACTTGTTTCCTGATTTCCGTCGGCTGCTGGTCGGGTAGCCCGTCCGAGACGAGGTAGACCGCCTCGCAGACGGGGTCGGAGAATGCGACGGTGAGAGCATCGAGCGTGTTGGTTCCGTCCGAGCAGGAGAGTTTGTTGACCCACTCGCTAGCGACCTTGACCGTTGGTGGTGTGCAGCGTACCATTCGATCCGCCCAGGGTGTGACCGACGATGAAAACTCGATCACATTGAACATGGAGTCTTTCTCTCGATGTGCCCTTGCCAAGAGGACCTCATTCAGGTGATCTTTGACGGCAGGAAGGTAAGAGTACATGCTCCCTGAGGTATCAATGATGAAGGTCACATTTTTGGCATCGATCTCCCCGAACATTGTTTGAGATGCAAAGGTTGGAACAAGGTGTATTGGAGCCATGATGAGCTGAGGACTGGGACTTGGAAAGTTGTCTGCTAGCTTGGTGTCAATTAATCCTGTTGAATAATGACAATATAATGATATACATTATCCATTTAAGAATTAGATCTAAAGTACAACAATAAAAGTAAGGGATAAAAAAAAAAAAAAAAATGTTAATCGCAAACACAGGCATTAATTTGTTGATAAAAAAAAAGTTGGATCTGTATAGGTCACCGTCTAGATCTAAATTTGATTTATTTTTTTTTTTTTTTTTCTTCTTTTTTTTTTTCTTCTTTTTTTCTCTTTTTTTAAATATTATTTTTACCCCAATATCTTTAAAATTTGCACTGTAAAGTCATGACACTGACTGTACATGTACATGTGTGTAAAAGGAATTTGTGATGTCATACAGCCTAGTATGCAATTTATAATAAATAATTAGAACTAATGAAAAATGGTTCCACATCCACTAAACTTTCACTTCCACTTGTTTTATGCAATTCAATTTGACAAAAAAAAAAAAAAGCAGAGACTATGCAATTATGTCAGGAAAGAAATTTATGTGTTTCGCTCTTTGGTCTGGAGTGTTCTTTGTTAAGGTCAGGTGAAGATGTTAAGGTCAGATGTTTTCTTTTCAGGCCAAGATGTATTGTTCCCTATGAATAGGCCTGGGGGAAGTCATTAATTCAGTGTACATGTTTTATCTGTTGTTTAGCACACATTTAGGAAGCCTCTTTTCAATTCAAGTATTTTCCTTTGTAAGTTCATTTCCTCTCCAAATATTTGTAGTCATGTTTTTAGAATTTACTTAGTAACCGTAGGGTATATTAAGAGGTGGATTTTCTGAAATCGGGGAGAACCACCTAAGCTATAATAGACTAAACGTCATGTTAGTCGGCAGTTAAAGTCAATATCTGAGGGTAATTCCACGTCGGGACGAGAGGCTAGCTCAACTGCCACCCGGTTCTCCATATCTTTCGTCGGGGGCTAGCTCTTGTCTGGGATCGGGACACACACCATCGTATCTCAGTCTGCGGAGGCCAAGAATCCGGAGCGACTACCGGGGCCAAGTGGAGCAAAGACACCGTCTGCGGAGGCCAGGGCCAAGTGGACGACACGAGCTGTGACCGGCGTCGATGTCAGACGGGAAACTACCCATCCAGAATTATTTTTGTTAAAGATAAGTTTATTTACATACTGTATTATTATTGAAGCCAAAACAAAGTCTGTGAAACAGGAGAAATGATTGGAAATTAAACATTACAATTTAACTTTAATTAACAAGCTCTATTTCCCTTTATTTTGTGTGTCCGTAGCAATAATAAAAAATAAAAAAAAGTCTCTCACGTGACAATTTGGAGGTCCCACCGAGACATTGCTACTGATAAATAATTTCAAAAAAAAAAAAGGGAATTAGATATTTCTCCCCCTCTTTTCCCCGCATACGAATTTGAGGTGTAATTGATGTTTGGGGTTGAAATACAGGTTAAAAGAAATTATCAATGCTAGGTTGATAAAAGCAATAATGTCAAGAGTTTAGTGGATTCTCCCCAAGGTTAAGCCCTTGGTAACGCCTATAGACTAGGGTAGTGCTTAGGCGGGTTTTGCATTATGCATGGTATTTTGCTCGGATTACAGATTCCAGGTTTGAATTACTATAGGCTTTGAATGTTCATGTTGTGAAGTTGACCGGTGTTTCGCATGGTTGGATTTTTTGTTCTCGTTAGGAGAAATTCTAGTGTGCTTGTTAGAAGGCACTAGGGGTTGATTGCCTGGTGTGAAGCGGACCGGTGTTTCGCATGGTTGAATTAATTGTATGCTCATTGGGAGATACATTCTAGTGTGCTTGTTAGAAGGCACTAGGGGTTGGCATTTGTTGCCGGTGTTAAAGCCTAGGTTTTTGTAGTTTTGGAATCGATGTTTAGTCGCTATGGCTAGTACCGAGCAAATGAAAGAGTTTTCTACTTTAGGTAGGGAAATGGGTCTTAGTGGAGGCGAGTTGAGTAGTTTCGTTTCTGAACGCTGTCAGGCGGTAGAAAGAGAAAGAGAGCGTGAACATGAGCTCAAGTTAGCGCAGTTGCGTAAGGATGAAGGAAATAATGTAGCTCAGTTAGGTCGGGTTAAACTCGTTGTCGGTCAATTTGATGATGCCCACGATAAATTTGATGCTTACATTACCAAGTTTGAAATGATCCTGAAAAGTCAAAAAATCCCTAATGACGTGTGGGTACTACATCTAATCTCTAATTTGAAAGGGAAGGCTTTAGATGTAGTAAATAGAATGAGTACAGATGATCGCCAGAAATATACCGTAGTTAAGAGTGAGTTAATGCAATCTTATAATCTCACTGAGGAGGGGTATAGGCGTAGTTTCAGATCTGTTAGGCCTTTGAATTCAGAACGCCCAAAACAGTTTGCTAATCGGATGAAAGGTCATTTTGATAATTGGATAGGTGCGTCTAAGATAGACAATAGTAGGGCTGCTCTTGAGGATCTAATGTTGCGAGAGCAATTTTTGATTGATTGTCCAAGAGAGGTTGCTAGGTTCATCAGGGAACGGAAATGCACGAAGTTTGACGAGGCAGTGGAGTGTGCAGAGGTTTATGTTGGTGCACACGGACCTCATGTTTTCTTTGGTGGAGAGAAATCCGAAAGAAGCCGATCGGATCCGAAGGGGGGTAGTAAGGGCCCTAATCAAATAGGTAAGAGTAATGCAAAATTGGGCGAGGTTCAAGCTAGGGCAAAGAAAGTGGAAGGTAGTAAGCCCTTCCAAAAGAAGGGGTGTTATATGTGTGGGAATCCCAATCACATGAAGAGGGAGTGTCCCCTGTTGTTAAAGTCTATGGCGGCTCAGGGTATGATGTTGTTAGGGGGTGATGAAGTCCCCGGGGTATATGCTGTTCATAATAAGCCTAATGAGGGTGAGATTGAATCTGATGCCGTAGAGTTGACAGCAGCTTGCATTGCCGAGTCGGTGGTCGATAGTGAAGTCATTGAAAAAGTTGGAATGGCTTACGATGATATTGAGGCGATGGTCAATGATATGCCTGTCGTGTCTGGGAGGTTGATGCCTGGGAATGTTCCCGTTTCCGTGCTACGTGATTCAGGTTGTAGTACTTGTGTTGTGAAAGAAGCGTTAGTTAGGAAAGAGCAATTCACAGGTCGTCATGTTAGAGTCAGGTTAATTGATGAAACGATAAGGCGTTTCCCCTTGGCAAGAATCGTTGTCGATTCGCCTTATTTCGAAGGAGAGGTTGTGGCAGTGTGTATGCCTAGATGTTTGAATGACGTAATCATTGGTAATGTGAGAGGGGCTCGTCCACCAAAAGAGCCTAATTTCCATTGGGTTCCTAAGGCTGACATAGAGGTCACGCCGGAGGTCGTGCCGGAGGTCACTGGTTTGGAAGATTCGAAGTTGGAGAGAGAATTTTCAGATGAGTTGAAGTCTACCGCTGAGGGCGTTTGTTCTGATGAGGGCGGTATTAGATTACAAGCTGTTCAGACTAGGGCAAAGAAGTTGAGAGATTCCAAGCCTAGTAAGGGTTTGCCGGTGGCTGACCCAGTTGCTAATATTCAGTCAAATCACTTTCTGCAAGAGCAAAAAGATGACGTATCATTGCGCCCTCTGTGGCAAAAGGTTGATAATGTTGACAAGTCGCAATTCATGTTTTTGCGTGAGCAAGGTTTTCTCTTTAGGCAGAGAAAGGATGTCAATGCTAAGGGTATAGGTCCTAAATTACTTGTAGTGCCTAAGCCTCGTAGAGAAGAGCTAATGCGAGTTGCACACGATTCTCTTTTAGGTGGACATATGGGTATTAATAATACTCTGTCAAAACTCAAGGCGCAGTTTTATTGGCCTGGGATGTCGGAAGATGTAGCCAATTTCTGCAGATCATGTGATGTCTGTCAAAAGACTGTTGATAAAGGGCGGGTGCCGAAGGCTAGTCTTGGTCGAATACCCCTTATTGGTGTTCCATTTCAGCGGATTGCTATTGATCTTATGGGTCCATTCATACCTTCTGCCCGTAAGCATACCCACATATTAACCATAGTGGATTATGCTACAAGGTATGTCGAGGCGATCCCGTTGAAGTCTATATCGACTGTCGATGTGGCTGAGGCCCTTGTTTCGGTCTATAGTAGAGTTGGTATTCCAGCAGAGGTCATGTCGGACTTGGGTACGCAGTTCGTATCGGATTTGATGCGTGAAGTTTGTAGATTGTTGTCGGTCAAACAATTGACCAGTTCTCGGTACCATCCCATGTGTAACGGGTTAGTCGAGCGTTACAATGCGGTTGTGAAATCGACTTTGAAACGGTTATGCTCCGAGGAACCAGCTCAATGGGATAGGTATCTCCCGGCTTTGCTGTTTGCTTTACGAGAAGCACCGAGCTCGAGTTTGGGATTTTCCCCGTTTGAACTTCTGTATGGGCGGCATATCCGTGGGCCATTGAATGTCCTGAGAGAGTTATGGACGACCGAGAAGTTAGAACCAGAGCTCAAGAGTGAATATGAATATGTAATTGAGTTGAGGGAGAGGTTGGTGAAATCTTGGCGAATTGCGCAAGAGACCCTTAAGTGTTCAGCAAAAAGGTACAAGGGGTACTATGATCGTAGGGCTAGAACAAGAAAGTTGAATGTAGGCGATGATGTGCTCATTCTACTTCCTACTGAGCACAATAAATTACTGATTAGGTGGCAGGGTCCCTACAAAATCATAGGAGTCAAATTTGACTACGATTATGTCGTAGATGTTCGTGGCATTGCTAAGACGTATCATATCAACTTGTTGAAGCAATACTATAGTAGACCCGTGAATGCCCCAGTAGGTGCTTGCTTTGAAGTCGGTGTTGACGATGAAGTCATTGATGTCAAAGATGATGTCGGTGAGGTTGAGGAGACTGAAGTTGATCCCGATTGGGGGGATGAAATACCCAAAATGCCAAGTGCAATTCAAAGTGAATTCGTGGACAGGGTGGGGATAGATGGAAACTTAGATGAAAATCAGAAAAATCAAGTACGAGACATTCTCTGTGAATATCAAGACATATTCACTGATATCCCTAAGAAAACGTCTGTGTCTAAGTGTGAGATCATGTTGACAACTGATCAACCTGTACGGACTTCACCTCATAGGGTACCACAAGCTATGGAGAGTGAAGTTGATAAAGAGATCGATTCCATGCTTAAGTTAGGGATTATTGAACCATCTAACTCCCCATATGCCCATCCGATAGTCATAGTTAAGAAGCCAGACGGATCGAATCGATTTTGTGTCGATTTTAGACGTTTGAACAAGTTAACTGTCTTTGATCCAGAACCGATGACAAACCCCCAGGAAATGTTCGCTTCCCTTGCTAAAAGCAAATATTTCACGAAGCTAGACTTAACAAAAGGCTATTGGCAAATCCCGATGCGTAACGAAGATAAAGCCAAAACGGCTTTCCTCACTCCTAAGGGGCAACACCAGTTCAAATACATGCCTTTTGGGCTTGTGACAGCCAGTGCCCAATTCACTAGGATGATGAGAAAAGTACTAGCGGGAAAACAGGAACCAGCGAATCGCGGTCGCCGTTATGTTTAGTTGGTTAAGTTTTAGTTACGTTAAGGAAACATTGTCTGTTAGGGCTTAGTTGTAAATTAGTATAGGTTAGTTTAGGGCCGTTAGGATTAAGTTAGGTTGCTTTAAGATTGTGAACGTAGTTTAAGAAACAAGCTTCATGATTTTATGCGGTGTCATAGATGTAAAAAAAAAAAAAAAAAGATGTAAATAATTTGTTTAAAAAAAACAAAACAATGAAGTTATATTAATGGATAACAAAAAAAAAAATATATACATATACCATAATCAAGACAAGCATGTAAAGTTGTTATCGGTTGAATGTTATATGCAAGAAATGAATCAATATAGTGCATTTCAGATGACAGTTTGGTTATAGTGAATATAGAAAAGTTGCTTAATAACTGCAAAAGTACATTCAGAGTGCAAACATAGATTGAGCAATCTGAATTTATATTGCCTGTTTCATAATCTCTTGTCTTTTAATATGCTTATACTTTTAAAGAAAATGATCAAACGAAATAATGATACATATTTCATACAAGGAGTGTGATTTCCTAATCATATTCAAAAGAAAATGTAAGCCATGTTTTTCATGGAGAGACAGAACTCACAGCATAACAGTCAAACTTGCTTTAAACACGGTTTTGGATGCTGTGGTTTATAGTTCTTTGGTTTTTATACATACATGTACAGTTAAAAAAAAGAGAATTGAATCATTAGTGTTTCCAGTAGGTTATGTATGTTATATCTTATACTTAAAAAGCTTTTCAAATAAATGTTTTTATAGTGGATATAAGTTAGATCCCCTAATTATATCTTAAGGTGGGGGATATTGTCAGGAAAGAAATTTATGTGTTTCGCTCTTTGGTCTGGAGTGTTCTTTGTTAAGGTCAGGTGAAGATGTTAAGGTCAGATGTTTTCTTTTCAGGCCAAGATGTATTGTTCCCTATGAATAGGCCTGGGGGAAGTCATTAATTCAGTGTACATGTTTTATCTGTTGTTTAGCACACATTTAGGAAGCCTCTTTTCAATTCAAGTATTTTCCTTTGTAAGTTCATTTCCTCTCCAAATATTTGTAGTCATGTTTTTAGAATTTACTTAGTAACCGTAGGGTATATTAAGAGGTGGATTTTCTGAAATCGGGGAGAACCACCTAAGCTATAATAGACTAAACGTCATGTTAGTCGGCAGTTAAAGTCAATATCTGAGGGTAATTCCACGTCGGGACGAGAGGCTAGCTCAACTGCCACCCGGTTCTCCATATCTTTCGTCGGGGGCTAGCTCTTGTCTGGGATCGGGACACACACCATCGTATCTCAGTCTGCGGAGGCCAAGAATCCGGAGCGACTACCGGGGCCAAGTGGAGCAAAGACACCGTCTGCGGAGGCCAGGGCCAAGTGGACGACACGAGCTGTGACCGGCGTCGATGTCAGACGGGAAACTACCCATCCAGAATTATTTTTGTTAAAGATAAGTTTATTTACATACTGTATTATTATTGAAGCCAAAACAAAGTCTGTGAAACAGGAGAAATGATTGGAAATTAAACATTACAATTTAACTTTAATTAACAAGCTCTATTTCCCTTTATTTTGTGTGTCCGTAGCAATAATAAAAAATAAAAAAAAGTCTCTCACGTGACAAATTACAAATTTACTATACAGTACACCTACCAACTTCTAGTTAAAACTGGTTGTTCAAAACTAGCTACTCACTCGATATAAAAAGTAAGGAGAGCTTTTTAATATGAATTGAACCAGGTCCAAATTCCTGCACTATATGACCAGGGGGGTGTTTCACAAAGATCCTAAGTCGAACTTAACGCTAAGTTGGACTTAAATATCATGGAGAGCCATTTGTAGCCTTATTTTGAAATATATTCAAAAGCAAAAATTTCAAGTATTTTAGACTTGTCATAAATTCCACATCAAGAACATGAAATCTCCCAAGATAAAAGAAAATATGAATGATTTTGAATCAACGTGTTATGCCTTATAAAATAACTTTTCCAAATATTTTCAATGATGCTAATGGTTTTCCATAATTGTTAAGTCCAACTTAGAGATAAGTTCAACTTAGGATCTTTGTGAAACACCCCCTCCCTGGCCCTGATGACTATTCCTGCACAGGACTCGCCCTCTCACTTTCACTTGTCTCAGGAGTCAAGTCACGTCAAGTGAGTTAATTTTATTCAATTCCGATCGAAACATCTGAACACAAAGGGCGAGGTCTCGTCACATCTCTTTAGAATTTACAATTGCACTTCTACTTCTTCAAACTAGTTAGACAAAGACTTCTTTTCTGATTCTATCTAGCTTCAAACTCATCTTACACAGACGTCTACTCACTAGTGCGGTCAGTTTCATACATTTCAGGATTGTATTTCAAGTTATTATCACACTCACACAGATTTTGGGTGAGATCGAGATATACATAATAGTCTACACACCCTGGGCAGTGTTTCTCGAAACCGTCATAAGTACAAGTTCACCGACATCCCATTGACACGTGTGTATTAAGTTTAACACGCGTTTCAATGGGATGTCGGTGAACTTGTAGTTATGACGGTTTCGAGAAACGCTGCCCAGGTAACTAATTGGCTCCTGCTCTCACACACCTCTCTTTCCGACTAGATCATGTAGATCAACCCCTTATTTTTCACAATCTGATCTCTCTCTGCTCTGGGCAGCGTCTTATGAAACCGTCAGAAGTACAATTCAAGTGCGTGTACATGTAGGCCTACTTAAGTTTAACACACGTTTCAATGGGATGTCGGTGAACCTGTACTTACGGAATACGGTTTCATGAAAATTGAAACGCTGCCCAGCTCAGTTTACTAAATTCATCATCATCTTGATCTCCACGACAATGTGATGTCAGTATAAACTCACCAAATCTTTGTAGAGGTCTATACGTGTTCTACCTACACCTGCACCAACTGCAGTTCTCCAAACTGGAGGACCAAGCAAAGAAGAAGAAGGTTAAACCACTCATGCATATCGTATTGATATGGAGAGAGAATGGAATGCATGCTCATCTACACCTGTCTACGCTGGATTGTTATTGTTTATGTGCGTTGCCATATGTCTGAAAACGTGCGCTTAAATAATAGACAGACAATGGCGTCGTTGTTATGTGTACTGTAAAACCCAAGTGATGACAGTGTGTCCGATCCTCACTTCGCATTCATTTCTTATATTATGCGAGTATTATCAATTATATCATTGTAATTGAACATATGAATATTATTTATTTGAGATATTAAAGACAGTATTAGGCCCTTCACTGTTGCCTGATGATTACCGGTAGCTTTAAAGAATCACGAGTAGCTGTCTACTACAAAATGCAACTGCCATTCGATAATTGATTGAATGTTCAATATCTGACGCAGAGGGCCAGTGAGATGTTGATAAAAAGATTGGAACGCAGCTGTCTACTACAAAATGCAACTGCCATTCACAGAATTATTATAATTCTGTGCTGCCATTCGATAATTGATTGAATGTTCAATATCTGACGCAGAGGGCCAGTGAGATGTTGATAAAAAGATTGGAACGCAAAATCTGACCGTTTTAGGACAATCACCCCCCCCCTACTCCTTACAAGTACCCCCGAGGACAGTCCCCCCCCCCCCGTTCTTTAAAGGGGAATTCCACCCTGATCACAAGCAGGTTTTAATAAAAACATTTTTTATTGTTCTCGGGGGGGGGGGGGGGTGGGGGTGTCCAAGGAGGTAGTTTGCAGGGGGATGGTTGTCCTCGGGGGGTAAATGTCTACGGGGGGGGGGGGGGTTATTGTCGAAGGGAGTAATTTTTCCTTAGGTCATTTTCCCTGGGTTAATTGTCCCGCCGGGGGGGGGGGGTGATTGTCGAGGGAATATTTCATTTCATTTCATTTCATTTCGTTTATTTCCATTTCCAACAAAATAAATAAAGTACATTGGCTTGCATTGTACATAGTAAAACAATGAAACTTAACAATATAGTTGTAATGGGTCCACAGTGTACAACATGCATATAAAATAGGTTGGTCATGGAGGGGACTGCTGAAAATCTGGGCTTGTAGATTGCAGCCCCCTATAACTTATAGTTGCAAAAATAGTATATCAATAATATTGGCCTATAAATAGAACCGAATCAGACACGATCATGGTCGGAATTCTAATCAAATCGCTTTAGAAATAAAAGTCATAGACAATCGACCCGCTAAAGCCAGCAGCCATACACACCGTTGTAAAATCATCCAACCTCTTCAAATAAACGCCCTCCCTATGAAAATTATTAACTATCATTCCTTATTTGTAACCCTCTGAATTAATGGCCGGTTTACCACACTATTCAAGGCTCCCATTTTCATTGAAAACTTTTTTCTCTGATTATAGTGGAAAGAGAAAGGGAGGAATTAGAAGAAGGTGAATAATTATGATGACGATGATGATGATGATGATGATGATGATGAAGATGATTGAAATTGAAATTGAAATTTATTTCCATCACTTTATGACAATATATACAAAGATAAAATATGGAATTTCATAACATGTAACAATATCAAAATTACATATAAAATTGACATAATAGCATTCAAAATATAAATGGAAAATGGTGCATCCGTAAAAGCCAGTAAGGCTTGACAATTGAATGCACCAGGCGCAGAATTAATAATAACATATACTTGAAGAAAAAAGGGGGGGGGGGGAAGGGACAAATAAAAAGGAGTATTAGTAATATAGGTGTGGTCTTAAAATAAATTATGCGTAATAAAGAGAGAGAAGATGTTTCTTGTAAAGTCTTTTGAAAGAATTATTAAATCCAACAGATTGTAAATGATGATGATGATGAAGATGAAGAAGATAGGAAAAAGAACAACATAAAGGACAAGAATAAGAAGAAAGAATAAGAGTAATAAAAAGGAACAAAAGAAAGGAAAGAACAAAAGGTTACAGGCGTTTGAGGTCAATTAATTTTAGTACTTTTTATAATCTTTGTTTTGTATAATAAAAAACATATATTCCTTGCTTACTTGCCGCATTAAACATAATGGAAATGTGACACTCTCACAAGCGATGTCGGCTCCATGGCAAATTTGTCCTCTGCGCCTATTATTCCATTATGTGTATTTGCATAGTGACAGAAACCCATTTGCATTGTTTGCTTTCGTCAGCTTTCGTCAGCTTTCGTCAGCAGATCTCAAAACAAGTGCCAATGCTAATTTTCAATTAAGACTAATTGAAAAACCTGTTATGAATAGCATATGTTTGAATTGTGGAGTCGGGGTAGAGGTGGCAATATTTTCCAGTAATTATACAAAATTGCCATACATAATGGAAATGGGTTCAAAGATGACGTACTCTTTTACAAACCTTTGTCTTTTCGATATTGGCAAGATCATAACGTAATATCTGAAGATTTAGAAGCAAATTACCCCCATAAGCGTTCCCGCATTCAACACCAATCGTAACAAGGTGCTCATGGAATCGTCACTAGTCGCATATGTTGAACGCAACATCAACCACAACACAGTACACCTCCAGTTTAAACACCTTTACGGCATCTTTTAGAGGAATCCTACCAAGTACCAAGATACAAGTCGCAACAAACAGCATACTAGGTGGATGCAACGTCACAACCTGATCCCCGGACCTGATCACAATTATCATTGTAGGAAGCAACCTCATTCGCAACAACAAAAAGAAAAACCTTGCACGATGGATGCAACATCATTCGCGTCAAACATGACAAACTTCTCGTCGAATTCCTCTTCTCTAGCTTGCAGAATCACCAGATATTAATGACCCTCTTCATATCGTATCATTGAGAGTGAGTGCCAAGATCCTGATGTACATCTCCGGTTTCCTAACTTTATCGACTCTGCTTTGTATCCTCCTCCACAAGAAACTGAGAACACCCAAAAACATCATTCCTTTCAACATCGTTCTTTGTGACTTTCTTGTCATTGCTGTACGGATATCTTATCAAGTAAGTTAAGGCAAGATCCTTGCTTATCAGATTGTTTAACCCCTCCTTCCTCGTAGTAGTATTTCTTTTACTAGTTAAAAAGGGGATTTGTTTTATGTTACTCCATGTAGGCCTACGTATTATTATAATACTTTGTAAAATATGAACAGATCTTATTTCAAACAGAAATTCGTGTTATACTTATATACATGTAGGCCTACTTGTATTTTTTTAAGAATTAGAAATTGAACAAATGATATCCTGACCACGTGCGGAACTTTAAATAAAAGTTTGGATGCTTAAACGCATGTATAGTAACAGTCGGGGATACCAAATCTGACAGACAAGCATGAGCGCTATACAAGGATCCACTATTTATTTTTTTATTATTATTATTATGTGAAAGAGGTATAATTGAGTTTAGAATGCCTGGTCTGCAATCACTCTATGTTGGGGAGCAAGATTAAACAGTGACAATGGTGTGAAATTCTTTTTATTCTTTAGTAGAATAAAATCTCTCTATTAATTCATATAGGGTCCCGATTACAAGCAGTCTTGCTTCTCAGGGACCCTGACCATTATTATTCTGTATGTTGCTGTTATTTGATATCATTCTTCTATTGTATTGATGTGTTGTATATTTTGTTGTTTTTAATGGTCAATAAATGAAGGGACTTCCTTCCTATTCAATAAAAACAATTATCTTTATGTTTTTCCCCCTCCGCCCCGTCCCCATCGTTTGCGACCGGCAGATCACCGACAGAAATCCGTCTGTCATCTACTCTTTGATATCGGCCTGCTCCTCCTAACCGGTTTCTTCTACGCATTTGTTTACAAAACTGCAGCTGGAGGCTCTACAACTGTCAACTTCACTGAGCAGCGAAAACAGGAAAATCGCAGAATATTCGCCACCATAGCACTGATTTATGTCACAACGTTGGTGTTTAGAATGATATTCACAATTGGGTATTCGTCCGTCTTTTTCCCTGAATCTCCGTTTATGTTTCTCATTGGGATTAATGCTTATTACCTGAGCACATTGTCCAACGCACTTGTATACTGGTGGCGACTGAAGGAATTTAGGTCGATACTGCCAAAGTGTAGAGGGGCCAGAATAGACGTTTTAAAGTAAGATCTATATACTTTCATAGAGTTATTTATGAATACAAAATAGTTAACCATTTATCAAGACCCCCCCCCCCCTCCCCCTCTGTCAAATCAAAATCACAAACTCTCAAACATGCATAAAACATTCTTAACAACTTTGTAATCCTCTTGTATTCGCCTCAGACTTTACAAACTTAAATCAAATTCAAAAAGAATTAATGTGACACAATTTCTTTTGTTTATTACGTATCCCGAAAGATTACATAAGATTATAAGAGACAACCAGACTACCAGAGATAAACAAAGCTCATCAAAACAAAAAAGGTAATACAGAGATCAGCCATCTGGCTAAATTAAAGAATATGAATTAAGATCACATCTCATTCTTACTGACCCTTAATAATATTTTTTTAAAGCAAGCAAAGAAGTATAATGTATTATGCAATACTTTAGCTTATAATCATGTCATTGCAAAAATGAGAAACGTTGAGTAAACAATGAAACGTTTTGTTTTACATGATTTAATCTTTGGACATTGATGGATTTAAAACATTATTCTTCTGCGTGCCATTTTGTACTACCAGGCAGACCGAATGCGCTAGCATATAGTGGCGTAGATAGGCTACCGATGGTACGGGGCACCTGCCCCCCCCCCCTATCAAGAGGTGGGAAAGTAAGGGGAAAGGAGAATATCGAAAAAGGAGAAGGTAAAAAGGAGAAGTGGAAAAGGGGCGAAACAAACGGATGAACCACCAACGGATAATAACAGTTTCTTAGGATACCTCAATGTATGTTAATTATGCATTCAATATATTTGTTTAATTTCGATTATTATCTGTATAAAATTATATACACTTAACATATTGTATCAAACCATATTATGTTCATGAAAATGTATGATGAAAAAAAAATTAAAAATGCAGAAACCAATAAATAAAATAAAATAAAATAAAATAAAATAAATATTTTTCAAACCGGTGATGAATTATATTAGTACGTGTAGTGCTGGTTTTATAATAATCATATAGATTAATGATAATAACAAATAATGATAATGATGATCATATGAGTGGTAAATGTAGATTGAAATGTTGCTAAAGGCTGTTGGTGCCACGATGATACTGTAACCATGAACCCTGTGACGTATCCACTAGACCGCGACACATCTACACGTTTCCTTTAGTTCATCGTTAAGTTTAAAAGATGATGTTAATATATACGAGATGCATTTAATAATATATTTATCTGACAAAGATTTAAAGCCCATTTGTCTTAGTTTGGCTAGGAGGGATTAGACCGCCCTGCAAGGTCACTGGACAGGTTGGTATCTCATCAACTCAGCTCTCAGTTAACATAAAGAAAAGATGATCATGGGTAACCAATGGTCACCGATTAGGCATTGTTTTTCTATATAGAGGGAGCAAATAGCTACAAGTAGTACAATGGGCCGTTAAGCTTAATTTCCAATAGACTTCGCCATTATGCCGATGACGGTCTCGCCGGTAATGTCAGCTGCCCCGGCTGGGACCGCATCATGAAATTCAACCGGTAGAAGATGTCTAAGGACGGGCTCGTCGACGTCCAGACACCTTGTCTTTATCGCTTCTGCGACCGCGTCGGGCGTGGCACCAGGCATTGCCTTGAGGTAGTCATCCAGATAACGGAGTTGACGACGATCGATGTCGTCAACGGAGTCGCCTTGGGCTCCTGAGACAAAGCCGGCGTGGAGTTGGTCCGTGAGGCCGGTGTTTACCTTACCGGGTTCTACCAGACAAACTCTAGAACAAAAGTTTTTAGAAAATTCGGACTACAATATTATTGTTATGGAAAAATAGGCGAATTCATGACAATCACTACCCCATCATAATTTTATGGCATCGTTCCCTCACAACTCACCAATTATTTAAATAATTTATTGATAATACAAAATTACAAATCGATAATACAAATTTTCAAATTTTGTCAAAGAATCATGATTTTGTCATAACTTACACGTATAAGCGTTCTCAACACATTTCAGTAACTCAAAAGATTGAGATTGATTTCGAAATATTACATACACAATATTCATAATCACTAGTTTGTTATGCATATCATATCGAAAACTCAGATTTTTCATGATAATTCAGAAAATATTTAAAGGGGCATGTTTTCACAAAAGGCCAGGTAACGCGACCACCCGAACCGACGCGAGGATCCGATGAATCGAAGTCAGCCCTAAAAAAAACCGAGGGCAATAGACCAGTTCACGGTTAGCACATTACTGCAATGACCCCGAATATCAACAGATCTTTAAAATATGAAGAGGTCCCACTTTGTACAATTTTGAAATAATCACTCCTACAGCGATGGATCGTGCTATATAAGTAGCCTTTGTTTCCTCTTTTCAAAGAATACTTCCACCTGTGTATCATGGAGAGCACTGAATGTGCATGAATGAATAATGATTACATAACTTTCAAGAGCACGTATCCAGTATTTCGCCTCAGTGTATTTCAAAATTTGTTCTGCAATGACCTTTATCTGCTCATGCAACACCGATAAGGTTAAACACTTAATTGGAATGTTACTGACTTTTTAAACAAAGATACATTTAATCAAAAAGTGCATTTCATACCCGTTTTTAAAGGTAACACTTGACATTAATCCTTTCTGTTACGTACCCTTCCTATCTAAAGATGGTGTTTAGTCGATTCCTTTACTGTTTGTCGCGGGTGTAATAGTAAATGTGTACCGATCGCAAAGACTTTCACGAAATCTACTTAAAGATGTAGTTGAGTTTTGGTCATGCGATTGCATTGTGAAAGAAACGGTGTGGAATCGACCAGAAATGGTTGATCATCTAAGCATATAAGAATTTGTGTGTATTGCAAGGTTCTGGAATCATCAAAATGATAAGAAATTTGGCCAAGTCTTGGTAAAATTACAAACACTGTACACAGAAAGATGTATATGGGACTACATGAACACGTGGCGTAAAAATCCTACCCCCGAGTTTTACGATGTTACATGAAATATTTAGAATATGAAGTCATTTAAAGAGCCATGCTTTTCAGGGAACATGTCTTATCTGATGTTCTTCCACACTTGCATAATAAGAATGATAACGCTCACAAATTATTTTTCACCTCTTCACAGAACTCAACCTTAATCTCTTTAAAGGAAAATTCATAGAAAGCATGTTCAGATTAAGTAATCTGTCCCTGTTAACCCATTGCTTACGGGAACCTGGTGGTCCCTATGTTAAGCCTATGGGAATAAGATAATTCAGTAGTCAGCGGGTTAAGTATACTTTTCAATCGGTATAAAAGGAGATGGACAAAGCTAGTGAAATTGCTGTAAGTTGTTTTTTGAAAGTCGATGCGAGCCTGTTCCTAATATACACCTACACAGCTAGGCAGTACATTTAAACCTGAAAAGACCACATTTTTTGTTTCCCTTGAAAATTGGTTTCTCATTGAAACATGTACTAAATGAACCTGTCTACAAAGATCACCTGTCTACAAAGATCACCTGTCTACAAAGACCATGTTTTGCGTTTCTCTCGGGCGGTCGCTATAGACAGGTGAAGCTGTACAGGACACTTATTTTCATTTTTCTTTCCTCACCTGATATTAAATGAACGTAATACTGTCGCAAGACCCTCGAAATATCCCTCAACTGCAAATTTAGTAGAGCAGTAGATCTCCGTATATGGCCAACCTAAAACAGGTAGAGTAAAATTATTACGAACTGAACCGTAACGGCTGCTGTTGTTGTTGTTTTGTTTGTTGATTTGTTTCAATGAATTTGCTAATAATATAAAAATACACGAACCTATATTATACAAATATTCGCACTATTGAACGAATGACAAACATGCAGTATTTGTTTTATACAACATCGAAGAAGATCTTATAGAACGTTAATCAACAAATTATGCTATACTCTATATATATATTAAAGATAAACTAAAGTTGGAGTCAAGCCTTCTCGATTACATTCAGATTGCCTTCACGTCAGATGCACGCAGTCTGCATATAACCAAAAATGCACGCCCGTGAACATAGGCGCCGGAAGTGGGGGGGGGGGGGCAGGGGGGCAGTTGCCCCCCCCCCCCCCCAATCAAAAAAGTGGGGGGGGGGGGCAAAACGCATTTTTGCCCCCCCCCCAAAAAAAAAAAAAAAAAAAAAACGCTCCCCCCCCCCCCCTCCTCTCCAAAGAAAAAAAGCAGTAAAGGAATAAACATGGTTTGTATTTTTAACCCCAAAAAACATAACAATAATAAAAACCTGAATTAAATCAAATATACAATTCCATTCAAAGAAAAGGAAAGTTCACAGGAATTAAATTTCATAAATATTGCGCATGCCACTTATTCGGTATTTATCAATGGAGGTCTCTATAATAGCGATACGCGCATATTGTGGGCATATTGTGCGAGAGAGGGAAAGCGTGTCTGTTTGTTTTTTTGTTATAGGGGTGAGAAGACATGAGCCCCTGAACGCTGGCGTACTGATGGGGGGGGGGGGGGTATTTCTTATTCGGTACCAGTGATTTACAAATGTTCCTGTTATGACATGATTTTCCGGTATTTTTTCTCCATTTTGGGGTAAGTTCTACCTTTTTATGCGTTTGTTGGAAAATAAGAAATTCCCAATTTACAGTCGGGCGAAAAATACGCTTATTTAGAAGCCTTTATGTCATGGTCAGCAAAGTGGCTGGGCACGAGCCCCCCCCCCCCCCCCCCTTTCCTCACTTTTTGAAAAATTATGTTAGAGAGAAAAAGAAAGAAAGACGGAGAGAAAAAATAAGTGACCTGCCAATGTCACAAATAAGGTATAAAAAATGCTCATTTGACCGTTATTAAATACCTAAAACCCCTGAACTTCCGGGGGCTCTACCCCCTGGACCCAACCAAGGGCCCTAGGGCGGCCCCTGGATGCTCATCTGACCATAGTTAAATATTAAAACCTCTGAGTTTCTGGGGGCTCCCCCCTGGAACACGTCAATGGCATAAAGATGGCCCCTGGATGCTCATCTAACCGTAATAAAATCCCTAAAACCCCTGAGCTTCCGGGGGCGCAGCCCCTTGACCCCCTGCCGAGGCTCATGCCCTAGACCCCACTCCAATTTACGCTCTACCTGATCGTTAATACTCTACTTTGAAAAACGTTCCGCGGGACCTGCATGTAACGTGTTAGACTGGTGGTGATGCCGATTTTTCGTCTGCCCCCCCCCCCCACCCCTTCCGAACATTTTTTCTCATTACGTCACTGCCCCTGGAAGGTGAGCCCCATGGAATGTTTGCCCCTCCCCCCCCCCCCCCCCCCAATCCCAAACTGCTTACGGCGCGCCTGCCCGTGAATATCATGTGACCAACAATCCTTCAATCAAATGACAAGGATCCACGTAGGTTTTGTATAAATTGCATTAACATTTGATTAAATACACTTTGCAATCTGAGGTAAAGTCCACGTGGCGAGAATACGTTAACTGGTAAATAATATCAACACGGAAGATTAAAGACAATTAACCAATTAACCCCCCCCCCCCCCCTTGAAAACAATTTTGTTTTGATAAAAGCAGATTTCCTTCGGGGGATGATTATCCTCGGGGGGTAATTGTCCACGGGGGTAATTGTCCAAGGGGGTAATTTTCCGGATTCAGAATTGAATATGGTCATTTACAAGAGATGAAAAGGGGCACTTATGATTATGAAAAGGAACCATTTCATAGATAAAAAGGGGCATTTAGGGAAAGGGGCTCTTTTTTAAATGGGAGCACTTATCATAAGGAAAAGGGGCACTTATTAAAAAAGGAAGGGAGCACATGTGAAACTATAAGGTGCGCTTAACCGAGTTAAAAAGGGGTAGTTATTAAAAGGGGAAGGGGCACTTTTTTACAAAGGAAAAGGAGAAACAAATGCAGTATACTTAACCCATTCTTCCTGCTATACTCGAAACTGTTATTATTTTTCCAGCTTTCCTCGTTTTCATCTGAGGTAAGACGGCTTGAGTGAGTCGTATTGCCCCGAATACATTCACGTTGAAGATCATCTCCATACGTTCCCGTGTAAGGCGTTCGGGGAGTCCGGACATAGCCATCCCAGCTACGTTAACTGAGAATTAAAAAAAAAGTATGTGGGATTGAGAAGAGAGGTGGGAGTGTGTGAGGGACTTTTGTCCTCACTCAATGCTCATTATCAACCAATCCTAAAGCCCCTCCCCCCCCCCCGCCACTCAGTATCATTTAGGGTACGCGTATGCATGTTCCCTCCTTTTGAAAACACCCCCTAAGTCTGGTGTGTAAAGTAAATATGGGCCGGATTTTTGTTTACTACGAGCCGGACTTTAATTTGGTGCGTGAAAAGTATCCTTTTGCCGGACCATTTGGGAACACGCATGCGGTCCCTCCGACCCCGGATCTAGGGGGGTGGGGGTTCCCAAAGGATCTTTTGGGAATCATCTTATATGACAGAGGTATTGATTAATCATAGAAACAACTTTCAGTATAATATCCAATGGCAGTACGTATCCAGCCGTATCGCCTTTTTTTGAGCTTGCATTAGACAAATGAAAACGCACATCTTACGTCAAAATATTTTCAAGATTCCGTAATACAATTCACAAATTCTTTGAATTAACATTTGGAACATAACTTGAACTTGCACGTAAATGATTATATAGCGATTAAGATAGCTCGATCATTTTAAAAACAAGTCTTAATTTCATCAAAATAATGTAGCAATAGAGGGCAGAGATGGATAGAAGGAAAAGATGGCATAATAATACACAAGATCAAACAAAAAAAGCTCAAGCTAAATTCAAGCTGAATTACCTCGATTCTTGTGGAACGTCATAAAATCCCAAAAGAGAGCGAATATTAACGCAGTCGATATGTCTTTTATATGCCGAATTGAAACAATAATAAGAATGCTTATCTTATCATGTTTATTGAGTAAAGATTGGTTAAAACATCACGGAAAATCTGAGACACTGTCTGTAATCTTTGCTTGAAAAATGACTGAAATTTTCAACCATTTAGGAATCGCAGACAAAAAGCACTGTATGGTGTCCGCGCTCGCACACAGAACATTTTAACACGTAAACCCATGGGTATCGCAGCAAAATGTTACTTTTTTCATGGTAACCGGAATTTTGAGGGATCTCACTCTTGGACTATTAACTGGTATTGGCATTTTTCGTTTCTTTACAGGAATGGCTAACATCACGACTGCAATTTCGACCAATTAGATGGCTGGATTTCTTAAGTGAGGTATATAATAAAAGCTAAGCGACGTTATAAACCTGAACAAATCTGAAATACTTACGGAGTACGTCGATCCTGCCATACTTTTTGAGGGTGCCATCCACCACCGCTGCAATTTCCTCATCCTTTGTGACGTCAAGCTTCTCGATGAAAACAGTTTTGTCAAGAGCGCCCGAAACGGCGGCCTCTAGGTCAGTTTTCTCCGACATCTCAATGACGGTAGCGATGACGATGTATCGCTGATCGATGTCGAGAGCGAGACATTTAGCTGTAGCGAGACCGATACCCGATGAGCAGCCGGTCATCAGCACGATTTGAGGAGCCATGGTCTGTACCTGAATGTTGACATAAAGGAAAATAATCAGTAGGCCTAACCACTCAATTGTCAACCCTTCACTTATCAGTTTTATATGTTCAGTTGATTTCCAATCATAAATATCTTGATAATCAGACAGGCGATCGGCTTATAACAGTAATGGGGCTCCTGATGACTGACCTAAAGGTTTATAATTATCATTGCAGCATGAGCTAAATCCAGGATTTTGTTTCAGAATCTGAGACAAAGACACATAATTATTTCCCGCAAGAAATTATGGAAATCTTATGATGAAATGATGATTGTTTGGTGTTAGGGGGGGGGGGGGTGCCAGTGGCGGATTCCCTGGGGAAAAAAACGTGTAAAAACACGTTAATTTTACCTTGGCGCTCAAGGAGAGGGTGCGATTTTTCAAATTTTCGAGGCCCCCCCCCCCCCCCAAAAAAAAATAAATAAATAAATAAATTTTAAAAAAATACCGACCCCCCACTGAGCGAATTATCGGCCGGCTGTTTCGCCGCTAAATATTTTCTCAGGAATTGGGCCCCCTCCCCTGCCGCCGGCTGGATCCGCCCCCGGGGGGGGGGGGGGGTACTCACATATTAAGACATACGGGGTGTGCCGCTCTAATGGATCACTTTTCCATAAAACAATCCCTAAACATGGGTCCGTTTTGTCAAAATATGGTGAAAAACAGGCTTTACTTTGTAAAAAAAAATCCCCCCAAATAACCCTTAAAAATAGGTAGGGGTGTAGAAGCTTGAGCGGCATACCCCCGTCCAAACCAAATCTGCCCCCCCCCCCTCCCTCCCTCGGGGTTCAGTGATTGGTTGACTTAAACGTCAAAATGTTTATCGCATGCATGATGCTAATTTCTGAAGAAATCTTGTATAACAATGAATCAAATATTATTTTCGAAAATTCAGAGAAGGATTAAAAGTCGAAAACGGTACAACGAATCGTCTTCTAGTTTCTCTAATAATATTATCAAACGTCAAAGCTTCCTGCGCGTGCCTTCGCGTGCCCAATAACCCCCCCCCCCCCCCCCTAACATAAAATCCTAGCTACGCGCTTGGTGTATCACGCAAGGTTTGTGTGTTTCTTTTTAACAGATGTGTTTTCGTAGTTTGCCCTTCAAGTTCAGAGGTTATTTGTATTTACGTCATAAAGTCAATACTACGTGTAGTTCAGTAATGACTTTGAGGCCTGGTCACCTGGATAAACCAATTTCATTCACTGTGTTATAGCTAGTTATCGTTATATGTTCACGCGTTTCGCAATGTTAAATTCTAGATCTTTACTTCTTTCCGAATTCTAGAAACAAGAACGTTTTGAAGTATCCTTTGAGGTGCGCGTTATGAATGTACATTATGGAGGGGAACTCAATTCAGCACTCAGTATGCCGTGTCAGCATGAATTTTTCACACGCAATAATCCGTGGGGGCATGTGAAATTGAGAACATCAAATAGGCCTAATGTGAATTACAAGAACATGGTAATTAGCGCACAAGCAGAAAACTTGGTTGGGAACTAAAGCAAAACTATGTTATACTAGGGCTGTCGAGCCTCGATCTAAGTATGATAGGGAGCTATTTCTGCGCACCTCAGACATGCTTTACACTTTAACAATACGTATACTTTATATTCATCTTTTGCTTAATATTATAATATTTTCTAATATCCCCAAAGATTCAGTGCGAAAGAAATATCACCAAAGTTTAAGAGAAACACAATGCCATGTCTATATAGTCATTTACACGCTCTGTGGCATACATAAAACCGAAATGAGACCATTTTCTCAAAACTGTTTACTTTTTGCATGTACGCATTGCAGTGTTGTTGCGTGTGTTTATATATACTTATCTCTCTCTATCTCTCTCTCTCTCTCTGTGCCATATCGTTTGACTTTGGCGATCATGCTGTTCCAAAACCCTCGGCTCCTAGCCTTCTGTATTAGTACCACTCCCAGTTCTTTTACTCCTCTCTCTTCCAACAATTTCTGCAGACTGTCCATCCAAAGTATCCTCCTTCTTCCCCTACTCCTTCTTCCCACAATTTTCCCTGTCAAAGCAAGATTCTCTAGGCCTTCTTCACGTGTAATGTGACCCATGAACTTCAATTGCCAAATATTTATATACGACTTCTATTTAACCATATACTAATACAAATCTATACTCACTAGTTCTGTGTGAAGATATTATGATTAAAGAATAAGGCGACTGATTAGTTGGATCCCAGACAAGCGTGTGAAATATAGAATGATGGTCCTCTTGTATAATCCTGAACTGTGACTTATAAATATGGCTTCAATAATTAACCATGGATTTTGAAATTGATTCACTGAATTCTAACAATACGTATTGTTAGAGATCAGCCCTTTACTTCATGCACAGTGGCCGGAGGTTAGACATCGTGACGATCACAAAGCCCTTTTTTAAAGGGAATTTCCGCCCGGATTTCCACCCAGATATAAGTTCAGTGGCGGATCCAGGAATTTCTTACCGAAATAGTTGGACTATTTTTGTTTTATCCCAACTTATGGAATTATTTTTAAAAATAATTTAAAAATAATAGATCTAGATAATAGTAAACATTCTCAGATTTTATTGAATAATAATTTGACAATGTGTGTTTTGCGCGACTGCTAAAGCATGTGTATGCTTCTATGCTTATCAAACAGTGGACCTACGCCCTTAAGTCATAACTGACAGTAATGAGGATTAATGCCCCACAAAAGGGCACTAATATAGCACATCGACACGGTTTTGATCTTGGGGCCTCACAGTTACGAGGCCATTGCTTTGTCACTGAACCATGACTGTACGCAGCGGGGGCTAGGGTAGGGGGCAGTTTCCATAAATAAAAAAAACACAGAAAATGCAAACAAATTTCAATAATTTATTGCATTTTACCCCGGTTCCGAAAAAATAATAAAAATCCTCCGTGTGCCCATGCCTTGAGCCATAATGCATGGCCCTCCAGAGGATTTTTTTTATGTTGGGGATGAAGTGTATATGAAAAACGATGGAGCGAGGCGACAGCGGCGAAGGAGCGGAGTGACCAAGCGGGGGTGGGTCTGGGAGGGGGTCAGAACCCCCTCCAAGAGTAGGGGCACATTTTATGTAGAAAATCTAATCATTTTTGCACAGTATACGAATAAGGAAAGAAAAATGTTTTAAAAAAACAAAGAGAACTTTTAAGATAAGATGAAAAAAAAAAAGACATAGAGAAAAGAAAGGGGAACAAATGGTTTACAAAAACAAGAGGTAGATAAAAGAAGAAAAAAGAGTGAAGACATGGTATTGATATCTTGCTCTTTTCCCCCTTTCTTTCGTCTTCTTTCAATTTTAATTTTCTTGCAATTTCTTTCTTGCTTTCAGAATATTTTCATAATTTTTTTCTTTCGTCCTTGGTTTCTTTCCCCCATATTCTTTATTTCTTCCATTCATTTATTCTTTATATTTGTTTTATTTTTAAAAACTTTTTCTTTCTTCTTATCCCATTTCTGTTACTTCCTTTCCTTTCTGATATAATTATACAAGATACTTCATGGATCGCATGTCTTCCAAAGTTTAGCGCCATCTTGTGGTGACTGCGTGTTAATCGCTCGCGCAGGCTAAAAAGCAGCCCATGCATTCACCCAACCAGAGGGTCCATCCGATTTCTATCATATATGTTCTATGTTCTTTCTATAGTGTCTTGAATTAAATGATATAATAATGATCATGATGAAAAGATGAAGAAGAAGGAGGAGGAGGAGGAGAAGGAGAAGAAGAAGAAGAAGAAGAAGAAGAAGAAGAAGAAGAAGAAGAAGAAGAAAAAGAAGAAGAAGAAGAAGAAGAAGAAGGAGGAGGAGGAGGAGGAGGAGGAGGAGGAGGAGAAGGAGAAGAAGAAGGAGAAGAAGAAGAAGAAGAAGAAGAAGAAGAAGAAGAAGAAGAAGAAGAAGAAGAAGAAGAAGAAGAAGAAGAAAAAGAAGAAGAAGAAGAAGAAGAAGAAGAAAGAGAAGAGGAAGAGAAAAAGAAAAAGAGGAAGAAGAGGAAGAAGAGGTAGAAGAGGGGAGAGACAGAGAGACAGAGAGAGAGAGAGAGAGAGAGAGAGGGAGAGGGAAGGGGCACATTAAAAAGTATCTCACTTTTCAAGAGTAAATTACCGAATATTTACTTTTCATTATTGCGATACAATTTATTTTGAACTGCTTGGTCTTGTTTAGTATAGGTCCCCTCCCAAGGGGCCTTCCCTACTGCTGCTTGAACGAAAACATGAATTATACATAAATGTATATTACATTTATTACACAACTTTTATGCAATTGTTGTCGAGTTACTATCATGGAAATAATATAAAGTTAACCATTACTGCATGTTTGGCCCCCGCTTTAGACAATTTTTGTTGTTCCCTTGACGAATATAATTATACGGTGATTAGCTCGATATGAATCGATAAAGCCCACTCAGTTTTTACAAACGAATAACCGGCTTACAGTATTGTTCTTTATTTGGCAAGAAGCGCGGAAATAAATTATGAAATTAGACTTTTAAAAGAAAAAAAGGCAAAATACATTCAGCTGATGTTGTGCCTCATAATTGTTATCCCCTCCCAGCCCAGCGCTATAACTAAGAGTTAATTAATTATAACATCGAAGTTTATAAACGTTGCGATCCAAACAGAATGAAGTCAGAATAATAAAATTGTGTTTTGTGCGCAAGTAATATTTCTACCAGGTATTGTTTTTTATTTTTCATTTCAAACCTCATTGATGAAATTAAAAAAGATTGTTTGTGTTAAATTACTAAATGAGCTAAATATAGGCAGTACAATACAAAACAGTAATTGTACAAACAATGGAAGATATTATATAAAGTATATTTTATTACTTTATAAATGAAATCGAACATTTTAATTCAATTCGGAGATTTCCACTTACAATATTGATAACATTTCGTCTCTTATAGTTTGTTTACTTTTATGTAACAAGATACATTATACCTATATATCTTTTGCAGTTTCAAGATTCATTTAATATTTTGTAAGGCAAGGTTGTTGATAATTATGGCTAAACAGAATATATTTCCAGTCTGTTTTGTATTGATTAGTTAATTTTCTTTTTACATAAGAAAAAAAAAACAACAGTTAACGGCAGAATATTGCAATTAAGATATCATCCCCAAATCGTGGATTTCATTTTTCTCTTGGCACAATAATTAATTGATTATTTATATACTTTCTTGAAAACTTTTGAACTATTGCTTGTAACCTGATTTGATTCTTATTTTTGTAATATCGTAATTTATTGATTATTAACTGTATTGATAACTTTGAACTCATAGATCATTTGTAACCTGTTTGATTCTTCTTTTGTATATGACTATTTATAAACTGTCCTGATAAATTTTACACTTTTGATTTGTAACTTGTTTTTATTCTTTTTTTGTAAGAGCATAATTTATTGATTATTATATATTGTTTTGATAACTTTTGAAATATGTTATAATTTGTAACCCGTTTTGCGTCTGCTCTTGTATACGTGTTTATCAATGAAAATCCAAATTATTTTATAAATTTTGTTTCTTTCATAGTGGTGGGTCCAGGAATTACTGACGGAGTAGGGGTGGGCAGAGAGAGAGAGAGAGAGAGAGATAGAACTGTCAAAGTTTTTACATTTCGACATGCATTCTTGATATATAAATAAGTTGACTGGCAAAATGAAAGGATAGAGAGAAAAGGTTCTCGAATCACCCAGCCCAGCCCCCTGTGTTTTAAAAATGGATTTGACCAGCTTTGTGCCTGGGGTGGGGTCCAGGGCCGGGAGAGGGGAGGGGGCGTTACACGTGCGCGCCCACAATCTACCTGTTAAAAAATGAGCAGTACGAAACATGCAAACGGTATGCCTGATTATTTAGCATAATTCATTCACTTAGCTATCATCATTGTTCTAAGATTTGAACTTTGAAATTTTGTAATTAATTTCACTGTCGATATGATATTCATGAAATTGAGATAGGATGGAAGTTGTAAGCCTACAAGATGAAACGGTAACTCAACTAGTTTTAGGCAAATTTGATGCCTTCTCTGATAGTTTATTCTGGAAACTGCACAACAATAGTTTCATGACATGAGAATCATTTTGAAAGGAATGTGTTCAATATATTCTTTTTATTTATTGCTGACCCCCCCCCCCCTTCTTTTTATTCCGGACGGCGAATGAAACTAGCTATAGCTCAAAATGTAAGATGACAATGTCCCGAAGTTTGCGTACTTCGTATACCTGTGAATTGCTTCTTCGCAGGTGAACATGTATTGTTATGTACAATTATTGATAAGCCGATCCTTTGATGTTTACGGTCCGCAGGTAAATTGAATTGATCTCATCACGTATTACATTTTGATGATAATACAACACACAGCCAGCATGCTGCGGCAAATCCAACGATCGCATACGGTGTTTACATGTGTACGTGTGGCTAGCAGCCCAGCATAGCAGCCAGGCGCCAGATTTCGTGTAGCGCCAGTGCAGCATACACACAATAATACATGGTGCCGGGTATTTGTTGTTGAGCAGAGCCAAATTGTACGCAGATATGGCAACGTGAAGCTTGAAGAAGATGGACGAAAGACGACCTTCTGCCCGATATGGCCTAAATAAGGGATATTTCAATCTTGACAACTCGGATAATAACGGATATATTGCCGGCACAGCATCACCAATGGAGAGAAGGAATTACAATCCATACCTAGCTTGGTTTGGGCTTAAAAACATGAAAAATATCGGTGCGGAAAGCCGGTCAGCTTTAGCAGCTGGAGTTGCGGGGGTCGCAGTGCTCCTGTACATTTTACAAGACTCGTTCGTCACTGCATTGCATATTTTATGTGGACTTTTTGCCCCAATGTTCAGCGTTATCTGCGCATTTTACTGGCTTGCTATCTATCTACGGAAATCTTGGACGGGGAACAATGTCTACGTTTTCTTCATGGCCTGCTATGTCGGGGAAATTTTCGGCCAAGTCTGCTTCGGGGCATGGAACTTGTTCAGCCCCTGGCTTGTGGCGAGTGTTCTCGCCTCAGCCTCCCTGGTTAGCATGACATCCACCCTCTCAACCCCTCAAAGTGCGCTAGTTATAAGCTTTTTGAGTTTCATGAGGTTCCTGAACGGATCAACCCTTCATGGTCTACCTATGTGGATGAGGCCCTATTTCGCTTATTTCTGTGGAATTGTAGGGTGTGTTTTGTCGAAGTATACCGAGGCCCATCTATTTCGGCACAGCTCCATCGTGGCACAGTTCGCAAACGACGGCAAAATTCCAGTCCTGCGGCGCAGGCGCACCTCGTCACAGAGCTCCGTAGCAAGTCACAGCCATAAAACTCGTCGGACTTCTTTGCCAGCGCTGATTCAAAGACCGCAGGTAAATTAATCCGAAATAATTAATTACTATCTCTGACAGGGTCCTTTTATTGGTGTGTTATAAAACGTAGGGTTTCTTATTAAAGGTCATCTCATTGTGAGCTGGCTATTAACATTGTCCTGTTAATTTGGTTTTGAAGCGAATGAAGGGATGACTCAAAAGTTAATGTGCATACAAATAAATGATGCTGCAAATGAGATGACGAGACAAGGGAGCTGGGAGTGAAGTGAGATGAAGATATACTGTGTACTTTCTGTGTGAGGTGCATATAATGTTTAATCTTGATGCTATTTTGTCTTCTTCTGTATTTCTTTTTATTTGATGCAATCATTTTAATATACAAAGTGTACAATAGACCTATAAATTTTAAAAAATGACAATGAACATTTTTTTTCTTCTCAAACTGGCTGCAAAAAGTAAGGATGCCGTAATTGTCAGGCTGAATAGTTTGTGTGCCATATTGAAAACAGTCATTAATGGCAATGCCAGGTAGACATCACCATCACCATCACCATAATGCATATTGTTATTGGTAGCAAACAAATTTATGGAGATTGATGATGTACTGGTATACTAATTTGTAAACAGGCCTTGAAATTTTAATTCCATCTACATGTATTTCCCCCTATCAAATTTGTTCATTACCTTGTAGGCTCTACATGAAGATTCAAGTCGTATTGTCCAAAATAACACAGAAATGTGTTTCCCATTTGCGTTACAGGTGTACGTTACATACAGTCAATACAAACACAGGAGGCATGGCCATTATATAATGTACATGTAGTATGCTGAGAGCCAGAAGGGAGTTTAGTTACATGTAATGTTGAACAAGAATGATGTAACACCATTCTAGCTGGCAGACGGTACATAACATGAACATTAATCCGAGGTCACAGTCATAAATGCATTCATACTTAAATAGCAAACTGACGTAAATAACAATACTGCAAGTCTGCAACGTCACCCAACCAAGCAAAACGAGGGAGAGAGAGAGACAGCTAGAGCAAATGAGAGAAAGAAAGAGAAAAAGAGAGACAAAGGCAGAGGAAGAGAGAGAGGGAGGGAGGGGTGGTAGAAATGAACAAGAGCCAGGGAAAAATTACTTTAAAAATTTGGGGGGCTACTTTTCAAGCTTGCTTGCATGAAAATAACACTCTTTAATTTGTTTTGCATTGAGCTCTATGCAAAACTAATGCTAGATTACAAATACTTAAATATTATGTTCCTGTTTAACTGTTAAAATAATAATGTCCCAATGCAAACCTTAGTTAGAAACTGAGGTTCTGTCTAAAACTGAAACTGTTTGTAGTTTTGTACTGCCCCCATGTACATGTATGTACATTGTACATACATGTACATGTAAGTATCAAGCCTCTTTAATACAATTGTAGTTTTATAGCCTACAGTGTACATGTACTTGTATGCCCCCTGCACTATTATGCATACCGGCACATGCATTTTCAAGAATGTAGCCATACTGGGCAACTTCTTGACTTGGAGGCCTTTTACAATCTGTCTGTGCATGAAGCTGGCATGCAAGATACAGACTGGAGTACAAACATGTCTCAGCTTCGAGTCCCAGCAGTTCAAGCCTGTACCATAGTGATAACTCACTGCATAGATGAGGTTGGTCACCTGTCTCTTAGCCTCAGCTTGTGTGAGGTAGTGATTCAATAAATGTCGCCCGAATTGAACATATGCACATGTGGTGCTATACAACATTGATTCCAAACACTCATGTTCCTTAACATACAGGTTTATAGACAAAGTAGTGTAACTGCTGTGTACCGGTTGGTGTACAGTAATACAATTTTAGTTGTCTGTTATATATAGACACAAATAAACAGTTACGTGCATACATGTATGTAAAACTAATGAACTACTGTATACAACAAAAGACGTCTTCAGTGCACATGTACATGTATAACAGTATTACAGTATTTGATAATTCTTTGAATTGTCGTTGCGAACTACATGTACATGCATGTGTGTACAGTACATGTACATGTTCGTGTATATTGTATTGCATTAGATTTGAAGAAAATCCTGAAACTCCCATTTTCTCCTCGCTTCCATCAAGCTGTTTGCAGTTCTACACATGTTCATGTACTATACTACTAGTTCTGCACACACTATTGATTATCAAATTATACCTGCAACAGTGAATTCCCCGATTGTTATTTCCTCCTGAATGCTAATAATTATGAGTATGGCCAAGTTTAAATGCATTTACATCTTAATTCTTATGGCCCGTCAATGACCTTGACCTTTATGAAGTACTTACACAGGGATTGATGAAGAAAGCCGCAGACGTAAACACCCAGGGATGACTGACACACATGTACCATGTAGGTCCATGCATGTACTGTAGATCAACACCGAACAGAAATTTACTTTTCAGATACATGTACATGTACTGTATGTACACCTGTAGAAATGGGATGTACACCTGTACATGTAAATTGAACATTATATATTATTGTTTCCTTGACAGAAGCATGCTTACATATTTTGTAGACAACAGGTTCTGATTTTATGTAGTTTTAAAACAGATTAACATGAGTATGCTTTGGGGCCTTTAAAACCTGTCTGTACTAGTTTGGCCAGGGGGGATTACACCTCCCTGTCAGGTGGTTACCACAGGGCAATTCCATTGTAACGGAAGGACACTCAGACAAGATTTTTGAACTTCAGGTTCATACTAAAAGAAATGTTTTATTAGTATGTATTAAACTATGGGGAACAAAATGTGTTTCAGTCAAGTGGAAAGCTTCATCAACTTCACAAAGTTTGGATAAACACTAATTAACTGGAAAAACCATGTCCATTTTTATGTCCTTCCGTTACCGAGATAATTAATATGCACATTCTTAAACTACTTAACTATAATGACAATTTTTTTGGGGAGAATTAAAGGCACTTATATTATATCTGTACTGTTTCACATCTTATACTAATAAAACAGTTCTTTTAGTATGAACCTGAAGTTCAAAAATCTTGTCTGAGTGTCCTTCCGTTACCGTGGAATTGCCCCACATCAAATCAGCTCTCAATTAACATAAGAAAATGAGGATCCTGGGGGACCAACAGGCACCGATTAGGCATTGTTTGCTAGAGGGCGCAAGTACATGTAGCTACATGTTATAAGTAGTGCAGTGGGGCTTTAATAGGCCTTCACATTTTTGACCCACCATTGCAATTTGTTAACTTGTAATTTGTAAAATCGTTTTAGATACATTGATGTCTTTTGCTGACGTAGGAAAGAGCCTTTAGAGTCTTGACAGAAGGCCTGTCTTCACTATCTTGAGATTGCCAATTAGATATCCAGCTATTTGAACTATCCCGATCGCAAACTATCCAGCTAATTTGCGTCTTTATCAGACCGACGTAGCAATTAGCGGGATATTTAGTCGGGATTGTCATCCTAAGATATCTTGGGATAGTTTGCAAAATATCCCACTATTAGGCAAAATATCCAGCTATTTTGTCCAGTGCGTCTTCACAGGACCGAAGATTCGCAATACGCGCTAACGCTGAGCAAAATATCTCGAGCTAATTTCTCAAGGTCGAGTTTCAAGTTTCGAGGTCGAATCTCGAGCTGATGAAGACGTGATTTGTAACTTCAGGATTATTTCCCAAATCACAAATAGCGGGCTACAGTATATGGCAATATCGAGATGATGAAGACGCGCCTACTGAGCAGTGCGAATCTTTGATTTGATGTGGAGATCTTTTGAATCGGCATGAAGCACCCTCTGAAAAGCGAAATTAATTCTGGATTGACAAACAGGCTCAGTCGAAGACGAGACAATCTTCCCAAGATTGAATGTTGTCTCCCCCTCACTCCCTCATCCTGACTGCCATTAAAGGCATCGTTTAACAATGTTAAATCTGAGATGCATGGCCCTACATGATATACATACATGTACGTGTTAATATCAGTGTCTGTGATACGGTGTAATAGCTCGAAAACGATCACGAAGTGCCTCAAAAATAAAAATCTTTGAGTGACTGGTTTTACCATACTCATTTTCCCCAATAGACTGTAGTGTTATAAAAACCGTAACGAAAAAAGAAATTTCATTTCCAATCATAAATATCTTGATAATCAGACAGGCTTGTAAAGTCATGGCATTCCTGACTGACCTAAAGGTTTATAATTATGATTGCAGCATTCAGAGTTAAATCCAGGATTTTGTTTTAGAATCTGAGGCAATGTTACAGAGTCACTTTAAGTTTACTCACATCTGTTTTTTCTGTGCTGTCAATCAAGGGAGAACTACATGTAATAGAAAGCTTGAATATGAATTTTGCATACTACTTCCAATAGAAAGCTGAATGCTGACATTTTACTTGATGAAAATAATGTAAATCTATGAAACAAATTGTCAATTAGAATTATAATTCAAAGAAAGTTGTTTGGTCGATAAGGTTCTTTTATGTAATTCGACTGTACACAATAGAGTTGCCATACAATGTTGTCTAGTACAGTATGTCAGCAAATGTTCTCTTTATTGTACAGTTTACAATACTGGCTGATTATACACGTACATGTAAATGGCTGTTTAGTGGCCCCGCCTCCGCTTCCCAATTAACGCAGTAAAGAATCAATCAAATTGATTTATTTCTCTGTCTGCAATTCAACAATACAAAGTTATTTTCTAGTCAGAATACAGCATTGTATGTAGGTCAGCTATAAAATTTGTGCAAAAATGTGTTTCGATCAGTCAAAATAGTGAACCAGTGAAAGGTACAAGCTGTATACTGAGATGTAATTTTAAGAGGTACAGTACAATATGGGGTGAGCAATAAAAAAAAAAGAAGAATATTTAGGAATCGTATAATAATAAAGATTGATTTATTAAGCGCATGATAAGCGGAAGTTTTTCTATGCGCTTTACAAAGTAAAGATAAGCATGTACATGTACATTACAAGTACATGTATATTTAACTAGTTACCAGAAAAAAATACAAAAACCTTAAACTATTAAAAATGTACACTGTAGCTAAAAATATAAATTGTTTAAAAAGCAAAGTGATTAAGAGAATCGTATGTTAATTTATTTATAAACTGAGAGCTCTCAAGTTCTCAACCAATGCGATGATAACATTGCCTTTGTTTGGGAGGGGAAATTGATGTGGTACATGTAAAATTCTGAATTGTAGATCCTTATCGTTGAGGAATACCCAATGCTACATTACATACAGGTGTATCGTTAATAATGCCTGTGTAAACGGTAGAGAGGCTTGGGAGATGGGAGATGGGTGCTACAATCTTCCGTCCCGTCGTCCGGGTACATGTACTGCATGTAGCTGGATTCAATAAGAAGACACCATGATCATACCA